GTTAGTTCTGATACTCTGGAATCTGATTCGGACATCTAGCGCTACATTTGGGCGATAAATGAGCGATTGGTGCAACTTTCGCAGTAAAAACAATTTTAAAATGGGGGGAGGGGGGAGGGGGGGGGATTGTATGTCTATATTTGTGGCTTGACTCCTCAAAATAGTTGCGACTGTTGCGCCCCTGACCTCGAAGCCTACCTCGAAGCGTTCACTCCCCGTGTTGGGCAGTTATGCAAAATACTAGGAAGCGCTGTGGCGACTCCGCCGGCAGCGACGAGGGTGACGTCTGCTCCGCCGTTTTGTTGGTTGTCTGTGTCGGCGGCTATTTCTTTGGGCTCTTCAAACGCGCCCCTTCTTGTTTGTTATTACTCGTTAGTCGGGCCCGTTTTACGTTGTTCGCTCTCCACTGGTGTCCCCTTGCAGTTTCCCCCCTGGCTGATGTCCAGTTCTTGCGGCAACAGGAGCCGACAGTCGCGGTTTCGAGACGCGGTGCGCAAAAGGGCTCGATCGACCGAATCTTTTGACTGGACTTAAATATTTCCGTCCGCTGAGATTTAAGAGAGCAGAAACCGCCTCATTCCATGGCAAGTTCCTGCGAGAAATTTTTGTCGCGAAAGTTCCAATCGATTTCCTCTAAACTTTCTTTTATAAAAAAATTGCGTAGTACAATCAAATGCTTATTTAAAAAGAAATTATTGGATCATCCTAAAGTTTAATTCCCTATCAGTGCTGATTTTACGAGATTAAAACAAATATATTTGTCAAGAAGCGAAAGTGTACAGGCGAGCTGGTCAGGAAACATCATGATCTAAAACCTGAGACACGGAGGGAATAAAATAGTTCCCTGTGTCTCAGGGCTCAGAGTATAAAGTAATTATTTCTTTAGCACAAATTTTTGATTGGGTTCGTTAAAACGAAACTAACTTACACGTAAATCAGTACGCCGGTTCAAGAGCTCTGCAATTTCGAAATTCGAAGCTTTTTCTTTTTTTTAATTATACTTTGTGTGTGTGTGTGTGCGTGAGTGTGCGTGCGTATGTGTGTGCGCGTGCGCGCGTGCGCGCGTGCGTGTGTGTCTGTGTGTGTGGCAGATTTGTTAGAGTAAAGCAGGTTGTACTTTCTCCACTTTGAAATTTAAATTCGTGAAATTTAAGAAAGATGCGTAACAATTTTAGTTTAAACTAGTTTATTCAGGCGCACGAACTCAATGGTCAGATGCTTGGAGACAATGCTTCGAGGCAAAACCGGGAGATTGATTTTCTCACAGGAGAATGCTGAATCAAGTGGATTCATATGTTCCTCGGTGAAAGTTAATTCAGCTTAATTATTGAGACTTGCCGCCAATCTGAAGAGCAGTTCTCATTCTTTGGGAGATATATTTTTTAGAATTCCGTCTGGTTCGGAGTAAATCGCCGTACCCATACCACTCTTGCAGCACGCGTCTTAAATATTTTTTTCGGATGTTTTGTTATTTTTGCTGAACAACACGTGGAAACGATCAGCTAAACACAGGACATTCCCCAACTTTCTTGGACATCACGCCTCGGCGCATGCTGCAAAATTACAATTTTAACTGAACAACAATAAACATATCAATGTTCCCCGGAAATATTATAGATAAGAATCATGACATATCAATACGCAGTAATAAAACTTTCGATTGTTTTTCATTGAATCCTACGGGCCACATTCACAAAATTGTCAATTTCTGCTTTCCCGAAAAAAAGATCGTAATGTTCCCGAAGTCCGTAATCGCCTGAGTATCATAGAGTGCAAATCAATTAGAATTTTGATATTTTCTCGAAAACGCTTTATTCCACGTAATGTCTCAGAAAACTGGCCACATGAGTTGGGCTAGGTTGGGCAGCTGCTTTTGTTTCCATAGGCAATATGCTGTCGCCAAACCGTTTTTTTTTTTGTTTTTTTTTTTTTTCGTGTTGTTTGTAGTTTTGTGGGAACTCTGCACGCTCGCTTGCTATACTTTGTTTTACCTTACCATGGACCGCAAAGGACGCTACGGGTCACCCGAGCCAATTCATAGCGCGGAGGGAGTCACATGTCCTTCCGGTTGAGCGGAGCGATCGCGGGGAGCGCGAAGCCACGAGACACCCGTGTAGCTCGTACCATCGATGTCGGCTTCTGCTTCAATGTATACCTCTGTCATTGTACGGCGACCTTCTCCAGGGCCGGCTCTAGGGGTGGGCGACGCCGCGAACCGCTTTTAAAAATTTTCTAACTTTTTTTTTTATTTATTTGAACACGGCGCCCTTCGTTTTTGCAATGCGCTTCTCGTCTGACGAAACGCTCGTGTTGGTTCACTACTCACACAACAACGTGATGCCGTGCCTAGTAAATAGGCACGGCATCAGCAAAAGAGAGCGTGCGTGCGTGCGTGCGTGCGTGCGTGCGTGAGTGTGTGTGTATGTGTGCGTGTATGTGTGTGCGCGCGTGTGTGCGTGTGTGTGTTTGTTTGTTTGTGTGTGTGTGTGTGTGTCCGTGTCCGTGTCCGTGTCCCGGGGGGGGGGGGGGGGGGGGGGGGGGGGGGCACGGCCGGAGTTTGTTTAACGCACTTGATGGTGCAAGGCCGGCCCTGACCTTCCCCTACATCTTCGAGTGATGTTATGCCACTCTTGAAGCGTGGGTGCACTCAAAACAGCTCGCCCGTCTCACTGTTCTTTTTCGCCATAAGCCGCGAATCATTTCAAATGTCTTTGTTTCAGAGTTGCCGAATCTGACGCAGAATTCATGTTTGCTCCCGCTCGGGTTTGCAGTCTATGCTGAAATCGCCATTGTTCTCGAGCACGTGGTCAGAAAAACACGTGTAGCGCATCTCCAAATCTTCACAGAACGAAACCCCGGCCTTTGGCATAACGAGACACGATTTTAGGATCTCATCCGCGCAGACAGATGTTACAACTTTTCTTGGTTACAACTTACAGCCCAACTTACAGCAAGCGCGACTGTGCTAGTCAGTCGCTGGTGCAGCGCGCAGGTCAAGGGGCAACGTTACTCGGTCAACTCAGTTGGCAAACTCCCACCAAAGGTTTGCTCCCACGGAGGGTGGGACCAAAGGCGGCTTTGGTGGGACTCAGCCGGGCTAACGAGGGCTAACGAGAGGGGCTTTAGGCCACCCTGTTTGAAGCGCCAACCTTCTGGCTCGCTGCGGCGCGTCTTGGAACAGCAGTTCAAAACACGGCCGCAGGGAGCAAGAAGGATGACGCTTCAAGCAGCATTTTCGAATCTAGGGGTTATCAGTGGAAACTGACGTGTGTCAGCGCGTGTCTTAGGAGGGATTACGCTCTCCGTGGGAGTTTGCCAATTGAGTTGATCGGGTAACGTTGGGTCTAGGGCTCAGCCTTGGAATGTCGATCACGTTTAAACAACTAAGTATTATGGACACAAACAGCGCAAAGGACGAGGACTAGTAGATGTGGACAAGACTAGGGATGTTCAGTGGCGTACCAACTTGTTTTTAAGTTGAGAAGCAAACCAAACCCCCCCCCCCCCCCCCCCCAGGGCCGGGGGGCGGCGATGCTCTTGGGATCTTTGGGCGCCGCCGGCCAGTGTTTGTCCTGCCCAGTGGCGGCTTGGCGGTGGGGTGGATAGCACGGGAGACAAGATGCTCGTCAAGGTCCCTAGACGGGCATTACAAACTAGGCTTTAGCGACATCCACCAGGTGCTCTTTGCTAATAACTTAATTTGTTTTAAAATTCCTTTCGTGTCTTTTTCTACGAGATTTGTGTGTCCGATTTTATACTGCTCCTTTGAACACGTATAGACCAAAGAATAAGCGCCGAAATTTCGTTGTAGTACAACTTTAAAAGGACACCTGACAGCCCCCATATATATATATATATATATATATATATATATATATACTGTATACCTTTTTTTTTGGCCAGGCGATTTATTATGGTGTTAGAAAACTACCCAATCAATATTTTGCTACAGTGTCACATATATTTTAAGAAACTGTTCGAAAACGAAACCGAAACTGGACTAAGGAAGAAGAAGAAATATAGAGAAGGAGAGAGTTGGCGAAAGTAAGTTACGTGGCTGTGCAACTTTTTTGTTTCCAATTAACGTATTTGCAGCTTTTTAGAAGCCACAAAAATTGGGTATCATATTTCTTTCCTGTTTTTAATATTGTGTAGGTGCCTTCGATGACCCAGGCCTTTGATTATACTTGGTGGCTGTGTCTAAACCATAAAAAAAACAGCACGTGACCACGGAGAAGAGAGTGAGCGCGACTCTAACCAGTCAGTTCTCGATCGGCAGCTTTCGGGCGGAAAGGAAACAAATTGCGAGTAGGGGTGTCGCGAACTTTTGTCGAACCGGATTTTTAGGTCGAACTTTCGGGGTTCGACTGGGTCGAACCGGTTCGACGAACCTTCGAAACTTTTCACCAAATTCGACCGGTTCGACTTTCCGGACAGTGTGGCCAGACCTTGATAGACGCATGTCTAGGTTTGGAGAATTTATTTTTATGCATATGGTTATTTTATTTTATGAACAATTGGAATTAAAAGAAACCACTTCTAATCACTAAAGACGTTAATAACTTAATTTTTTTTACTGTATTAACTGAAATAAGCAACCAGCGGTGCCCTTAATTCATCCATTAGCCATTACCATCCAATCCGAAGCCAACTGGCCAGCCTGTCGCGCATGCGCACACGAGTCGAACCTCAATACAAGGTTCGTCGAAATTTCTACGAAAAGTTCGAAAAAGTCGAACCAGGTCGAACTCGAACCTCGGCCGGTTCGCGACACCCCTAATTGCGAGTCGCGAATTGTTTTCTGGGTAGTTGGGCTCTCATAATTCATGCACAAATAAAAACCTTGGCGAGCGTAAATACCCTGTCAGTGTCACTTTATTACAAATAGCCGACCAGTTCATTTTGTGAGAACAAAGTAACAAATAAGAAGTTCAAAGAAACTCAAGCAGCCCCCGCCGCCCCCGCAATGATCTCCCAGCCTCCCGAGAGGAGGCGTCAGCGTCGCCCCCAACACAAACAAAATCGAAATCAACAATATCAAACGCGGAAATGGCCGCAGTTCATCCGGAGCCCGCAGAAACATTGCCCTGCGGCTGGGAGATACGTTTCGACCCCAGGACGGGTCGCAAGTGAGTAACAGCCATCCTCAGATCCCCGAGCACCAATTGTCAGCGGCAAACGCCAAGTTAATCGACGTTCGTTCCCAGACCAGGCATCGTAAGCCTAACTTCGGAGGCGTCCTTCCGCGATCGATCTTACGAACGCACGCAAAGTTCAAGCGTCATGTCGTTCAAATCTCTCCTCGTCTGTTTGAGTCTCTATTCACGTTTCATCTGTGGTTAATCACTTGGCGCCCCAGAACACCCGAGCACGCTGTACGGCGCTCAGCTGTATCCAAAAGGCAAACGAAGAGTGATGGTATTGGGGCTCTCGCGTGTTGTCAGTGCACCTTTATCCCGATGAATTTCGAGTTTATTGGGTTAATCGTTTAACTGGCGCAGTCTCAAGTCCCTCCGCCAACTGCTATGCAGCCTTTTGTGCCTCGTAGCGGGTGAGGGGTGAACGTTTGGTTGGATAACTTTCAGGAAGTGCATGCCATCGCGGTATTTGGATAGACTGTTGGCGGTGCAGTACCTTCGCGAATTGGAAGTGGTCGTAATATTTGCAGATAGAGAGATATCCGCGTTAATGTGTTCCCAAATGGCGTTCAGGAACTCCTGATTCGATTATACCTACATAAACGCGGAGTAACTGTTGCTTTCTCGCTTGCTTTCCAGTTACTTCATAAACCACAAAGAACACACGACAACATGGGAAGATCCTCGCTTGAGATACCCGCAGTTACAACAGGTAATGAGCCTAGTTAAGTCAAATACCGAGCATGCGCCCGTGTCACAAGTGCCCACCCGTTACTTTTAAACACTTGAAAACCACGCAAAGGACATATCAAACGCCTATTCCAGGCGTCTGAGCCGACCTAGAACCGAGATGCTTCTCCGCGTGAGTCGCTTCTCCGGGCACACCGGTACAATGCGGTGAAGTACCTTGTGCCCCTGCAGTATTTTTGCTCTCGGGTCTAATAAGCTTCAATCCTCCGGTTTTTAAAAATTACGTCCAAATCTTGAATGGGAGCTTGCTCGGTATTTTATGTACTCAATTGTGTTACGCTTCACACACAGGGTGACTGCCTTCCCACTGCTGGCATGCAGGGGATGTAATGTGAAGTTTTTTCATCTTGTTTTTGGAATATTAACTTGAAAAATATTATCAATACTTTCTGTTATCTAGGTCGAAGAATTCATTTCAATTGAACCACATTGAAACGATTTGCCTGCTTTCTATGGAAGTAGCACGTTACTAAAGTTGTGAGGTAACTATAGTCAGTGACAGGTTAAGAGTGAAGTGGAAGCTCCTCCCACTTCTGTCACCAACTATAGGTAAAAGTATATAAGTTACTGTAATTACCTGCCACTATTTCTATGATGAAATATTTTCTAGATTACAATGTAATTTGCGTAACTGCAAGTCAGTTACAATTTTCAATTAACTTGTAATAGTTCAGTTAAAGTCACCTTTGCAACATATGTGGACAAATGCACCAATTCACATTTATGTAGACTCAAAATTAGCGCTGCTGTGCATTGTTGCTGCCTGAAACCCTCCTCGAGCCAATGTTCTGAATCAAAACGAAAATGTGCCAATATCTTTTTCTCGTGGGAAACCGAACCTTTCATCAGCAATCACAGCAAACCTTGACGTCACGGGATATTATAAAAGTTATTGTAATGTAGCTTACTTTCCCTGCAAGTAACCGTAACCAGATTGAGAGGATGTAACTCTATTTGTAGCTTGACTACTTAGTTGCTTTGGAGGGTGACTGTTGCACTGCTGTGCCTTACCTTGAAGCCAGCCCCTGTGGCATGTGGACTGCTTCTCTCCCGTGCAGGGCAGCTATGCAAAATACTACCTCTACGGAAGTGGCAAGCCCACTCCGGGGCAGGCGGCGGCGGCAGCGGCGAAGGTGACGTCTGCCCTGCCTTTTTGTTGGTTGTCTCTTGCGGTTACTCCTTTCGGCTCTTCAGAATCACCCCCTCTTTTTTTTGTTCTCGGTCAGGCCCGTTTTGTGTTGTTCACTCTCTGCCAGTGGCCCCTCTCGGTTTCCCCCTGGCTAATGTCCAGTTCTTGCAGCAACGAAGTGAGGAGCCGCCACTCACGATTTCGAAACGCTGCTGTGGTCCAAGAAAGCTCTATTGAACGAGTCTTATCACTACCGTATTTAAATTATTATTTCGGAAGAGATCTCGTGCCTCCCTCCACTGCATTTCTTGTGAAAGCTTTTCAGATCCTGTGACTTGTAAATGATTAAACTGATTCCGGTTCACTTTTAGGCTTGAACAAGAATGATTGCAATTGAGATTTTATTAGAAAAAATATCCTTCATGGACTAATTTTTTAAAAAAAGATTTTCTGAGTGGGGATTATATTCTTTAGAATAATTTATATTTTTTTCCCAGAAAAGTTTGATTTTCTTAGCCTTATCGAAATGAAACAAAAGGATAAGAAGAGCCAAGGGTAGTGTTGTGTTACAGGTGAGTATTAGCTGAACTGTAGAAAGAGCTGTGGTTCTTTCTACTTCGAGGTGTCTATCTAGTGTGCATTTGTAAAGCAATATTTTTTGGGTGAAAAATTGTAAATCCTGGTGTAGTATTTGAATCTCTAAACTTCATGAACATGCTTTTAAAAGGTTTCATTGACATTTGTTCATGCACACTTGAATGGGAAACACAATTTGTACCATGAAAATGATTTAAGTAAATTGTATGCTCGAGCCTTAAAATGTTTTGCTTTATATGCATGTTATATACAGTGTTTCATCAATGACCGAGAATAATTTAAGAAAAGAAGGACACTTGAAATAAAAAAAATATTCCTTTGTAAAAAAGTTGTTGATTACGCAGGACAACAGTGTACGAATGAAAAGGGATAGCTAGCAATGTCATTGCCTAAAATTCATTATTTACCTTTTTAAATTTTTGCCTTATCTACCATCGTAACAACAACAGTGCAAGACAACAACACACGCACACAGGAAACACACCCAAGAGTCATACAGGTGTCTCTCGGGTGTGTGTCATGTGTGTGTGTGTTGTCTTATGCTGTTGTTGTTATGATGCTTTACCAACTCGCCCAAGCTGCTGTTATCACATGCCGTATCTACACATTTTAGTTAGAGATTTTTTGCCCATCCTCCCAAATATGTTATAGCAGTGGAGAAGTTTCAGAAATTTAAATTCTTCTCTGCACTATTCAGCAAAGTTAGGCTGTCTATCATGCCAAAACTAAGGGGGGGGGGGGGGGGGAAATGCCAAAAGCAGCGGGATGTGCCATGCCTCATTTATGACCTAGTGTCCCTTAGATGATGCGGTGCTGTCAGATCAGCTCACGACGACTCACCACCCGTGCCCGGCTGTTGTTGCTTCTGGGTGGGAATTCCGTCAGTTGTTTTATTCATAGTTTCATTATTTCAGTCTCTTAAATTTGTTTAAAAATAGAGCAGAGTGAAATTTTGCTCCGTACATTACAAGCAACATATCATAAATGAGAATGTGCAAGCGAAGCCAAATGATTCCAAAGTTGATTAGGAAATTTGCTGAAATTGGTTCACTAATTAATTATTACTTTACACTCATACCTCATAACTAAGGTTCTGTGCAGAGGCGTCACGAGGGTCAGTGGCACCCGGTGCAAACACCAACCCCCCCCTCCGCTCGTCGCCCGCCGCGACTCCCCCGCTCTTTTGGCCCGCCGCGACACCCCGCAGAGCGCTGCACCCAAGGCAATCCCCCCCGCCCCGCACCTCCCTTGTGACGCCATTGGTTCTGTGCTTTCGTATAAATCAGAAAAACTTGGAAAAACTCTCACCAGTGAAAATTTTGTCAGTTCGGATTTATCCGAGAAACTCAGAATCTCGAGGTCCCCGTTTCAAAATAAAAGAAAATAAAAAGTAAAAAAGATAGTATTTTACAAATGTAGTGTGTAAGAGCACGGGGTTGGTGGTTTTGGGGAAAGGCTACTTCAGTTTCCTTTGAAAGGGAGTTCAACGTTTATCTAGTCTAGGTTCATTTAGAACAACAGGTCATTGCACTTCTGGGTCACGACAAAAAAAGCCACTGTTCCAGTTTCCAGTTTAAAGATTACTGTTCATACTTCTTAGAGGGAGGAGGAGTTTTGTTTTTATAACAGTAGGGGGCAGGGCAGCTGGAGCTTCCTTGCTTCCCAGCGACTAGGTCCAGGTGTTATTTCAAAGTATGATTTTAATTGAAGCAACACTTTTTTTTTTGCAAGACTTGTAGGACAATCTAACTTTGCATCGAATTTCACGCTTTTATGTTCTTGGGTCTCTTATGTGGTGTGCAGCCAGCTCTTCACTTAACAAACAAGGCAGCTATATGAATGCAATGCACAGCCAGTTGTGACTCATGTCACTCACTCTAACGCTGCCAATAATAAATTTACCGTAATATCCCGAGAGATAGCCCGCTTAAAATTAAGAGTGAATCGGGTGAAAATATGGAGTGGGCAAACTTTCGGTGTACAATTGAGAAAAGTTGAAAAAAAGTGTTATTTTGAGGTCACGTGTCCTTTCCAAGCTTGTTATCACGGCGAGGGGCAACGAAGCAAAGGTGACTGTACTCCCCAGTCAGCAATGTTCGCTTACATCACGACATAGCTGACTAGCCGCATTTATGCCGAGGCCGTCATTGACCCCAGCACTACTATTACTATATAACAGTAGGCTATCTATCGGCGTCTGAAATAGATATAGCAAATCTAGCCAAACATAGGGTTGCGCTATCTTTTGAGGGTGGGGCATCTCTCGGGATTTTACGGTAGTCAATCGGAATCAGAGTCTTCATCATGTTCCTGACTGTAACTGTTTGGTTACGTGAAATTCAGCTCAATAAGTGGTGTGCGGCTGCAGCTGTGGTGAGCATACGAATATATGACTCTTTACAAGTTAATTGATTGAGACCGTACAGTACTGATGGTTCATGTTGTCGGAACCCTCAGCAGATGTAAGTTCAAATTAAAAAATTTCTATATCTGTTTTTTTTTCTAAAATTACACGCGCCTTCTTTTTGCAGCAGAAGTATTTTCCAGATGACTTGGTTACGGTGAGTGAAGTTGTACGACATCATTCCTTCTGCCATTTTTTGTAGTTTTGTAGGGAGTTGCAACTGTGTTTGTAGCCTATTAAACATTGTTGCATGGCTGACACTATTTTAAATTGTGATATAACCAATATTTGCAAAGCATTCCAGATCCTTCATTTGACCTCATGGAAACCCCTGAATTCAGAATGTTACCACTGCCTGTTAAGTTTTTACCCAGTCTATTCTTTTCTACTGTACTGACATTTAAATGGTTAGCTTCGTTCCTCTTGTTCAAACCAATTATTCAATCCTGTGATTATTGAAGCTTCTCTTTCAGTGCATAGAAAATATTAGCTCAATATACACCTTACACTCATTGTCATGTGAGGACTAACTAAGTTGAGGACAAAAAATTTCCTCTAATTAAGTGTGCCACACGTGAACCGCTGTGCTTTAGTTTTTCAAATTGATGAGAGTAATGGTTCATTGTGCTATGAAACAGCTTCATTTTTCACTGACCTGCAAAACTACAGGGGTGCTTGTAAGTTGCATGCATTAATCAACAAGGAAAACAATAAAGTATTTACAATTTTTAATGGCTATCAATGACAGCACATAGCCATAAACAAAATTCCAGGTGTACAAACCCCATGCAGCAATTCAGGGTAATTTTTGATGTAGCAAAACCTCAATTCCTTTTAACAGTTCTAAGTCACTGAATTTCATCTGGGAACTTCTTGTAATGGGGGGGGGGGGGGGGGGGGGGGGTTTGCTTGATGAGATCATAAATTTTTGTTGTTCTCAGAACCCTTTACTTTCCTAACGGTTGCCTGTGCATACTGTTGTAATTATGATTTACTAAAAGTGCATAAACACGAACTCTCTCATTTGGCAAAACTGGTAATGGCCTTTTTTTTGCGTCGTCTCTAACTGCGCCTGTTTGGTCACGTGCGAGATATTTCTAACGGCAGGCATTTGGGCGCTTGTAAAATAAAAACTGGAGAATTTTACGTTTTCCTGAACGGTCACACTTCAAACTATGTGCCTGGAACTAGCCTCTTACTGACTCATTTACCGCGTCCTAATTAGCGGTCCCTCAATTTCCGCCTGATGACGTCGTAGAAGTGTCGCATTGTCGCCAGCTGCAGTCCTAGCAGTGTCACAGTGGCGGTAGTGGGCGTGGCAGACGCCCGTTCTGCTGCGGGTCACTCTCCAGCTTGATAGTCCACGGAAACTTGGAAAGCCAGGGGTATGGTCGCCGTAACAACAGCGACACTCGCATTCCCTCATGCTTTTTTTTTTCCGAAACTCGGACGCCCAATTGTTGGGATTGCAACATCCAACACTCTGGCTCTTGCGACGTCATTCGTTGCCACTTCGGACCCGCTTTGGATGCGTGGACAGAATAGGACGCTCAACGCACCAGTCGGAGACACGTTCCGGGCACTGTGCTGCAAACATGTGCGGATTCTGTTCAAAGAATCGCCCCCTGCTGCGCAAACGCTTTCTTTACTCTTTGCACTTGCCCGCACATTTCGAGGCACCTGTTGCAGAGTTGTCTTTTCGTAACGCGTGCAATGTCGACGAGGTGGGGAGGGGGAAAATTCGTGCAATGGGATGCTTGGCTGAGCAGCCCACTGGTTGCTTGCAGGCATATCAACCTTATTACGGAATGGTGTACTACCCACCTCCAGCCCCCTCAACGACCGTTCCCAGTTCGGCCACGGTAAGAGCTCGCACGTCGCCAGTTTTGGCTCGCCTGTCGTCGCAATTCCTCACTTTGCTTCGGCTGCCCAGTTTACGTTGGGACCTCCGTATCAACTGCCTGTTTTGTTGTGTACTTGTGGTGGGTCTTTTCAGCGAAGAAATCTCCTGTCTCTGGAGATTTTTCTTGTCTTTATTTTTTTACTGTTCGCTTTCAACTGACTGCTAGAAAAGTCAGACAACAAGTTCATAAGTGGAAGTGCCTGAAAAGTTTTAACAGTCTTTAAGAATTGCCTTAATAGAAACCCCTGGCTACTTAGTCAAACAATACATTTTCTCAAAGTGATATTTAAGTGGTCACTCCTATGTTCTAAAATTCGTATCTAAAAAAATACAATTTTTTTTTTTTCTGCGAGGGAGAAGCAGCAGTTTAAAACAGCTGTTGCATTTGAAGGTGCATCCAGCTTTTGACGTGACCTAAGTATCGCAACCGTTTGTTGTTAGCATAACTTGAGCCTTTGGCTATAGTGCTGGATGTAGGGGCCGGCCTTCTCTGCAGTCTTTTCCCGACCTGTAAAATTGCGCATAGATACTATTAGGTTGTCCAATCACATCCGAATGAAACCGAAATGTTCTGTTCCGATTTGTGTGGGGATATTTGATATAATGGTGTGACATTCTCTGTATTTTTGCTCAGACTTATTGCTGGGTTTCAAGCGTCATTGAATTTTCATGCTTTATTGCTTTGCTGTAATTTTTTATTTCGAGATGCCTTTGGAAATAGGCTTTTTTATCAGTAGTATTTTTATTTTGGAATAAACTAGAGAAAATACTTTTATAGCGTGTTTTCTATGTTCAGCTTGGAAGTTTTCTAGATATTAGTTCTTTTATGTTTTTCCTTTCTAATTTTGTTCCCACTTTTGTAACGTTTTGGGTTTTTCTGTTTTCATTTTCCTTTGTTGCAGAGATTGACACATTTGTTTCAAGCTGCTGCATTGTGTTGTGTCCAAGGTAAAGAAAGACCTCGCAATACATTGCAATCAAAATTGCTTTTATGATTCTGCTTTTTGTTTTTACTCAAAATGCCTTGCATTGTAGATTTTTACTGTAGAGTGCACTAAATTGTTTCATGCCTTGGAAAAAAAAATTCTGTCTACAGGCATCACCTAGAGAAGGATTCTACACGACTGCAGCAAGACAAGTGGTATGTTTGTACCCTTTTTTTTTTTTGCATTGCATTTACTGCAACACTTTTAGCACCTTTTTAGCCTTTTTGTTGACTGCAAACATTCAATTCAAGTTGTTTGGAATTAAATTATTTTGTATAAACTGCATGACTTGGGCCACTTCATCCAAAAATATAGTTTAGGTTTCCTTAGAATCAGTAATTTTCGTTTTGTGCTACATGACTGGGCCATAAAAGTGTATGACGACGAACAACCCTATTTAGGTGAAATTCGCGATTGTCGCACGAGGTATATTGCCACGTGCGTCGCCAAGCAAGCGCGTGTGTGGCCAAATGGTTACGGTGCTTGGCTTTCGCACGGAGGGTCCCATGGTTTGATTCCTGGGAGCGGACGCTTCTTTTATTTATTTTTTTATTCTTCCAATTACGCATTCTCGTAAGTTCGAGAACCTAGTCGCCTGATCGAGTTATGAATGTTCTATGCACCGAACACTCTACGCCGAAAGTTCCAGAAGCCCACTCGTGTACATAAGCGGCCCTGCGTGGTGAGCTGGAGTCAGTCTTGCCTCAGCGCTCGATTTCGCTGTTACGCTGCTATTGACGCCTGCGACGCTAGCCTCCGTCTATTTTGTTTTGGCCACGAGTTTGCCCCATTAAACGTTTAGTTTCCGTCAGTTATTCGTCGCCTCATCAACTGTCATTCGAGACCTTTTGGTGATCAACACTACGAGCGCGTGGCGCGCCACAGCGGATGGACTGCGAAGCAGAGCCTGCAGAACTTCTACTTTTTGCTGGAGGCTACTGCGAGGCACTGGTTCAAGAACCACGAGCCTTCATTTATGTCGTGGGGCATCTGTGTGACCAAGTTGCCGCAGATGTTCGCCACCCAACACCAACGGGAGAGGGCAGGGGATCTTCTCCGGATTCGAAACCAAGGCTCCAACAAAAACGTCGCCAGTTTTGTGTAAGATGTCCTGCGCCTAAGTGCCCATGCCGACCCAAAAGCCACAAACGACAAGAAGCTGCGGGTCCTCATGCACGAGGTGAGAAACGACATCTTTGGAGGCCTCGTCCGCAACCCGCCGGCAGCCATCGAAGCCTTCATCACTGAGACAACAAACATTGAGCACACCCTAGTTTGCGCTTCCCACTACCAGCGACATCCTGGCGTCGCTGCATCCACGCTGCTTAGCGGTGAAAGCGCTCCTGGTACGCCAGGCATTTGTGAAATTATCTGGGAGGTCGTCCGAAGGAACTACGAAGGTTGCTGCCAGCCGCCAGTCGTCCAGCGACCCTCTTCATCGTCGAGGCTGTCCGCGAAGAAGTGCATCGGGCGCTCCAATCAGAGGTCCCATCACCATGATGGCACCAGAGGAGCCAATGCTGACCTACGCCGCCATGGCCCAATGACCGCCGCAAGCTCCCCGCCAAGCACCGGCACCATCCCGACAAGACACCAGAATACCGCAGTATCCTCGAAGCCAGGAAGAACAAGCCCAGTACGTCCGCTCGGAACGACTTTTGTCGAGAAAGACTGACGTATGGCAAATAGCCGACCGACACCCGCTCTGCTACCACTGCAGGGAAGCTGACCACATCTATCGTGGATGCCCCTATCGTCGACCTGGGCTGTGTGGGTTTCACCCGAACGACCCATGCCCTAGGCACGGCAAACGCCCTCGCGACATTAAGGAGTAACTCCAATGCTCACCCACCTCTGCGCTGTCTCTCCATTATGAATCCCCCTCACCATCGCCACGACGTTCAGCGTCTCCAGTGCCACGACCCTGCCAAGAGAGCCTGTCTCCCCTGCACTGCTGGGAAAACTAAGTGCGGCAACGCCTGGAGGTCATGTTGCCGAAGACAAGCAGACTACTAAAGAGTCTCCAAGAACGCCAGAGCGCTTCCACTCTCCCGACGCGACGCATTGCAACGACGCTCCTGCAACGGTGCCCAACAACCTAAACGTTGTTATGGATGGCCACAACACATCGGCCCTCATGGACACCGGAGCAGACTATTTAGTCTCAAGTGGGAGGCTTTCTCGCCACCTCCCGAACGAAAAAATGCGATGCCCTGGGGAGGACTATAAATTCAAACTGCCGGAGGACACCTTATTACGCCTGTGAGAAGGTGCACTGCCCGAGTCAAGATTCACGGCAAGACGTGTCCTGCGAAATCGGTTGTTCTATGGGACTATGCCAGAGACGTCATTCTCTGCATGGACTTTCTGTGTGAACACGGCGCCGTCATCGATTTTGGAGAAAACAGATTGATGCTACGGACACCTGCTCTGCCTCCAGAGGAACCCCAAATAATGTCATTTGCTGTCTAAGTTGCTGGCGACCACGTGAACCTACCACCACGATTGAGTGTCCCTGTACCCGTTGTGACCAATGTAGTTACCTGCAGCGAAGTTGTTCTGAAGCAACATTCATTTGTTCCTGGGAAGAAGAATAGATGTCACAAGGGGGGGGTCACGGAACTTCAGGATGGATGCACTTTGGTCCTTGTCATGAACTGCCGACAAGAAACGCAACACCTCTCAAAAGGTGCCATTGTGGGGTTCGTCGAGGAACTCTGGAATCCTCACCATCTCAACTAAAGAGTATGTCGCCTGCGCAGCTCGACATTGACCCCAAGCTTCCGGACCCGACATGACGGAAGCTGATTAAACTCCTCAAATACAGCGACTGCTTTGTGACGTCGTCAAAGGTGCACCAAACTGCCAATGCGAAGCACCTCATCGTTACCAAGTACGACGCGCTCCTTGTGCATCGATCACCAAGCAAAGTCTCTGTAAAAAAAGGGAGGTCATCCAGGAGCACGTTCGAGAGATGACATAATCCAGCCTTCAAGCATTACGTGGGCCTCCAGTTGTACTGGTTAAGATGGACGGAACGCTTAGGTTCTGTGTAGATTATCGGCAGCTAAACATGATGACGAAGAAAGACGTCTATCCACTCCCCTGCACAGACGACATGCTAGACCAGCTGCGCCGCTCTCGGTACTTTTCATTGATGGACGTGAAGAGTGGTTGCTGGCAAATAGAAGTCGACGAACAGGGCCGAGAGAAGACTGCCTTTGTCACGCCGGATGGATTGTACGAGTTCAAGGTTATTCCTTTCGGACTATGCACAACACCAGCAACTTTCCAGCATGTCATGGACACCGTACTGGCAGAACTAAAGTGGCAGAGCTGTATCGTCCACCTTGACGAAGTCGTAGTGTTTTCAGGCGACTTCGACGAGCACTTGCGACGACTCCGAGCTGTTTTCCAAGCCATACAGACCTCCGGACTTACCCTCATGCCATTGAACTGTCGATTCGCCTATGACGAACTGAAGTTCCTAGGTCACGTGGTTAGCAATGATAATGTTCGCCCAGACCCAGAGAAGACTCACATTGTCGCGGCATTTCCAGCGTTGACAGACAAGAAGGCCATGCGAAGATTCCTTGGATTATGTTCATACTATCAGCGCTTCGTGATTTCGCAAGGATTTCCGCATCGCTCACAAACTTCACGAAGGATGCCTAGAGGTTTGAATGGGCTAAGGAGCAGCAGCAGGCATTCGATGAGCTGAAGTAAAGACTCCAGACTCCTCCTGCTCTTGGACACTTCGATCAGGATGCAGAAACCGAGATTCACACGGACGTAAGTAATGCAGGACTTGGTGCAGTACTGGTTGAAGTGCAAGAAGGCACCAGGCGAGTTATCGCCTATGCAAGTCGGGCCCTGTCCAAGCCAGACAGAAATTACTGCGCGACTGAAAAAGAATGTCTTGCGGTCGCCTAGGCAATCGCAAAGTTTTGCCCGTACTTGTACGGTAGCCCGTTCCACGTTGGTTCCTAACCACCCCTCACTCTGCTGGCTTGCAAACCTCAAGGATTCGTCGGGACGCCTCGCTTGTTAAAGTCTCTGACTAGAGGAGTTCAACATGACTGTTGTCTTTGAGTTGGGCCACAAGCACAGTGACACCGACTGCCTGTCGAGAGCCCCTGTCGAGACACTTTTCGGGTGCTTAATAGGCGCGGTGAACAGTGACAACATGGCACAACGTCAGCGAGATGATCCTGAACTGCGCACGCTAATTAAGCACCTCGAAGGACAGGGGCATACTGTCCCCCGTGTCTTCTCGAGAGCCCTGCCGACCTTTGCTTTGACAAGCTGTACTTTACAAGGAGAACTTTGGAGACAACAACTTGCCATGATAGCTGGCAATCACTACCAACCTTAGGGATTAGATCTCTCAAGCCTGACACAATGACCCAACATTTGGACACCCTGGTCACAGCCCTATGCTGGCCCAAGCTCCCGAAGACAGTTCACCTGTACACGTGATCGTGCGGCGTGTGCCAGCGATGCAAGAAACCACCGACAAAGCTGGCAGGTTTCCTGCAGCCAATTGCTCCCCGACCACACCATTCCAGCAGATTGAAATGGATCTACTTAGCTTTTTTCCTCTGTTGATGTTTGTGAACCGCTGGATAATTGTAGCTACCGATTACCTAACCCGGTACGCCGAGACAAAGGCCTTTCCATTGGGAACAGCCAAGGGAGTCGCCAAGTTTTTCGTCAAATCGGTTGTCCTTCAACATGGCACACCCCAAGTACTCATTACAGATCGGGGGTCATCGTTCATGGCACAGCTGACCCGCGAGATACTTTTGTCTGAGCCACACCAAACACTGTCAAACCACTGCATACCGCCCGCAGACGAACGGACTGACAAAATGGCTCAAGTCCATTGCCGACATGATTGCTATGTACGTTGACGTTGAGCAGAACACATGGGAGGAAGTTTTGCCATATGTCATGTTTGCCTACAACACTGCAGTTTAAGAAGCCACTGGAATGACACCATTTTAGCTGGTGCATGGCAGAGAGGTGACAACAATGCTCGACACAATGCTACCCCACGACCTAGCAGACGATAGAACCGGCAATGCCCGGTTGATAGCCCAACAAGCAGAGGACGCTCGGCAGCTTGCTGGTACAACCATCGTCGCCGCAACGTCCACTTCCAACCCAGAGACATGGTATGGGTGTGGATACCAATTTGCCGCCGCAATCTCGTCGAGAAGCTGAAAAAAACGGTACTTTGGACCACACGAGATGCTTCGTCAACTCTGAGATCTAAACTACGAGGTGATGCCTGACGAAATGTAGACTTCATCACGCCACCCTCCACCACCGGAAGTCGTCCACGTCATGCGCCTCAAGCCGCACTGCGCTCGATAGGACTGTAAACTGCATTTTTGTACTACACTCAATAGGACTCTGTTTTACAAGCCTCCATAGTTTGCCATTCTTTTTGTTTGTTTTGCTGTTTTGTTTCCGGACACGTTGCATAGAGACAATGCATTTTTCAAAGAAGGGAGTAATACCACGCGCGTTGCCGAGCGTGCGCGTGCGTGGCCGAATGGTTACTATGCTTGCCTTTCATGCTGAGGCCCCGGGTTAGATTCCTGGGAGCGGACACTTTTTTATTCATTCAATTTAACGTTCTCATAAGATAGAAAACCTTGTCGTCTGATCGAGTTACAAACGTTCTACGCACGGAACGTTCTACGCCTAATGTTTCAGAAGCCCACGCATGTACATAAGGGGCTCCGCGTGGCAAACCGGAGTCAGTCTCCCCACAACGCTCGATCCTGCTGTTACGCCACCATCGGCGCCTGCAATGCTAGTCTTCTTCTATTTTGTTTTGGGCACAAGTTCTCCCCATTAAACGTTTAGTTTCCTTCAGTTATTCATCGCCTCATTAATTGCCATTCGTGACAATATGAATTACGTGAGAGTAAATTCGCTGATTTTGTTTTTTGCTCGGTAAAGTATTTTCTCTGTAGCGTAATTGTTTTAGAATGCAGCTCTTTAGTGCCCGTTTCCGGATTGAGCGGCGTCGCCGTCAGCGTAAGCGCGCGGTGCATTATGGGAAATGTCCCATAATGCACTGCGTGGGACCTTCGTGGTGCATTATGGGACATTTCCCATGATGCAACAAGCGAGGAGGAGAAGGGGGAGGGAGAGGAGGAGAGGAGGAGCTTAAAGGATGAGGGAAGGAGGAGGTGAAAGAGAAGGAGGACGAGGGAGAGGAGGGGGAAAAGGAGGGGAAGTAGCGGGGAGGATGAGGAGGAGGGAGGAGAGGTATACCCTCCCCTCAGTATCCTTCCCTCCTCAAGAGCTGCGCTCTAATTCGGCATTACAGGGTGTTGTAAACGTCTTTCATTTTTTTTTCTTTGCATTTGCAAATGTGTTTTTGCTTTGTCTGTTTGCACTTGCATGTTGTACATCTGTCATCACTGCCATTTCTGTTACTAAAATTATCTTGGCAACGTCAGGTCGCTTAGGTTTTTCAAGGCAGCAGTTTTACTTTGTGATAGAACACTTAGTGTCGTATTGTATTTGATCGTCATGCTTAGGATAGCCTATTTGATTCGCCCGTTTTGATAGTATTAAACTAGTATTTTTAGTTCCAGTATTATCATTTTGATACATCGGCACAATTTGTTTTGCTGTCGGACAGTAATCTTTTGTTTAGGTAGTGATAACGTAAACATGAGAAGCACAAAGCTTTAAAAGAAAAACAATGCCCAAATAAAAGAAAATTGGTTCGATTTGGTACATAATTAGGAGACAGCAATTCTCAACGAAATGCCATACGTAAAAAATTAACTGGCTAATTGCGTCTGTCTGCCTCGGTACGAAATACAAAGTAGATGTTTTTGAGGGTTATTTTGAGCCATTAAATTTTCATTCCTCTTGGTTGTTCCACCATACCCGATCGCTAGCGATTAGCTAACATTCCAGACTGCGAGCGTACGAATGATTCTGCATGTGCCTTGGACTGAAAGCGACCACCCTCGCTTCTCTTGGCGCTGTCTCTTCAGGGCACCTACTCCCCTTACTTTGGAAGCCCCCGAACACCCTATCGCTTCAAGGTGACGCACCCTTCTGCAACGCATCTCCTTGTTTGCGCTCCACTCGCAGCGCGAGGGCATCACAAGAGCACCGCAGTTGCACTTTTTTCACGACACTATGGGGCCTGGAACATACTTCCGACCAATGTTGTTGCCGCATCTTTATTTGTGCCCTCCATCTCCACCTCATGACGTATGTCATAGGGTTCCGTGTTTTTGGCAAATACCCATAAACACCGAAAATGAACCCGGGAAAAACCGAACAACCCCATCCTACGTTCTGTGACACATTTATTGGCTGTGTTAATGGAATGTCCAGTGCGCGAGCAGGACGGGAATTTAAGCAGAGCAGTTGGAGATGTGTTCCAGGCATCGTAATAACCCTGCCCGTCATTGCAAAGACGCAGCCTGCTTTCTTGGCTTTCCGGTCTAATTGGCATCTATAGGTGCTTCTGTGGCACAACTGCCTTTTGTTGCCCACGTGTGTGTGTAGCCTTTGTTGTCGTTCAGACTGTAGATTGTTTAAGGGAGAGCTGGCTTTGTTTTTTCGCAAACATTTCTGAGTTTCTGTGTAGGCTGGTTAAAATTCCTATGAGTTGATCTGTTAACCCCTTAAGTGTCAAATTTTTTTTCCAAAAATAACCTAAAAATGCTTTTTTTTTTAATTGTTATTCCTCTAGTATTACAGATAAAATTTGAAAAGTTTATTATGCAAAAATCAGCGGAGGTGAAAAAAATATTTGCCAACTAAAGCGAGTGCTGCCATCTATGATCAGCGACACAAAACTACTCGGACGAGCCTAGCTCGTCCGTGGAATTGAGGGCTACCGAAACAACCACTGGACGAGCTAAGCTCGTCCACGGCATTTTTAACCCAAAAGTGGCCGACGAGCTCAGCTCGTCCAAGGCACTTAAGGGGTTAATGACGTCGGCCACATGAAACATGAAAGGGTTAGCTTATGAACAACAACAGTTTGGTGGTTCCTTATGGTGCGGGCTTTTTAACAGCGTGACCACTCGTAATAAAATTTGGTCGATATTGCCTCGTGACTTGCCTTGTGGGGTTTACATAATTTTGGAGTATTTTTTAACTGCACTACAAAACCCTTTTTTATATTTAGATTAATCTATTAGGACCGAGCTTTTAGGTTGCATGCTAAATTTTTTTATGGTATTGCGACAACTAGAAGTTGCATCTTGATAGACTGATGTGCTCTAGCTCTGCTTCTAAGATTTAGGAACAATTTACTGCAAACCAAACTAAAATATGTCAAGTTGAAGTTCTTGAAGTATCCCCTGTACCAGGGGTCGATATATGCCTATAAATCTTCTAATACCGTGCCTTCTTTCTTGACTCTTGCAAACTTAGCATCATCGGCAAATACTTAATAGAGTTAATAAAATTTAGTGGTGGCTTTATGACATGATTAAAGGTAACTGGACAGCCAATGAAATTTGGTAGTTTCTTTTTGACCCTGAAACCCACCTACCCTCTCAAAGCCAGCACAAAGCCTAGTGTTAAAAGGACAAAAGTGGATTCTATGACAGAAAGCCATGCCAAGATGTAAAGTTGGCATCTCTTGTATGATCTCATCTCGTTTAATTTATTAGCCATCAGCCTCACCTGTGCAGTTTCGCTTTTAGTCGAGCAATAAGAGCATTGCTGGTAGTTGTAAAGATTTGGCTTCACTGTGCTTCTCGGTATGATGCAGACTGAAACGGCCGTTCAAGTCGACGAAAGGCAGCTGATGAAGCTCTGCCTCCAGTTCCCCACCGTGGAAGAGGGCCATATTTTCACTTTGCTAAAGCAGTGAGTGGTCCCGTTTGCATTTGACACCATGCTTCGCTCTTGGTGGCATTTGTTTTTATTAATTAAATGTAGTTTAGTTGTCAATTCTAAAGGAACCTGAGGAAGCTATGTCTCTTGGCAAAACGTCAGCTGATGCATCCTGGTAACCATCTGGACATCAAGGCACGCCATACGAGCAGGGTGCCTGATGGCGTGTCCATGACATGACGTTCATCCACAATTGGCCTTTACTGAACCGTGGCAGCTAGGCCAGGTCCCGAATCCTCCATCTGCGGATCCATAGGCTGACACGGTACCCCTCATAGGGGTCACTGACATGGCACAGAGGAGTTGCAACACTGGCTGTATGGCCACTGCTGTTTGTTGTGCCTAAAAGTGTAGCTTAATGAACCAGAACTATGTTAATTGTTTGTAAATTCATAATTCTTGAAACTTCTAATCCGGTAAAACATGTAGGCTACCGCACCTCGGGCAACAAACCTAGAACCTGCTAGTTCTATCGAGCTGCAATGACCTGTCGTAAAATATCAAGCATCTGCCCATTCCACAATAAGCGCCCACTCCTCAATTTCGTAGCATTCGGAAAATACACAAAGCACATAGCTTTACATATTGCTTTCCTAAGGAGCACCCATCCGCCAGTTTTACATAATAATCGCCCAATTTTTAGTGTGCGCTTGCTCGGGATTTTACGGCTCTCCAAACTTTGCATTTGTACCTACTGTGGATTCTTCTAGAACCCAACGTTTGCACAAAGGAAGAAAAAAGGACCAAATACTTTCAGAACGCTAATTTGGAGAATAATGAATTCTCTTAGACTTTAAAAAAAAAAAAAAAAAAGGTAGAAAATCAGGTTCAGTTGCACGGACAAACCGTGGCTCATCATTTGCCAGACTCTTTTTTGCAAACTGCGGTGATTGGCTCTCTCTCCACACTGTTTGTGGGGGAAGTAGGTGCACAGGACTCAGGGCGGTGCGTTTTGTCTCGTCCCAGGTATCACAATAGGGACAATGTGGTGGTGAGCGCCCTGCTTGCAGAGGGACACCCCCGTGCTCAGACACATCCAAATGCCCACGAACACCTGCCACCCAGGCTGCTCAAGGTATGTCTCTTGTATTCCTTGCACCCCAACATTCTCTGCAGGGAACTGGCTGCTGTGGTCTGAGAAGCTAGGGACTTGGTGCAACCAGGTTCTCAAGAGACTTCTTGTGTTTTTGAAACACCGGAAGTCCAATTGAGGGCACCGGGCATTCCTTAATTGAGTGCCCAATTATCCAATTGTCACGGCAATAACAGCATGTTTATCTCTTCTTACTGCAATCGAGTTGGTTTGCTTTTTGACAAAAATGTAACAGCGCTCAAACTCAATCTTTTTATTTATTTATACTTCCTTAACAGTTCAAAGTGGTGCATTATTAAGAAAAAAAAGACTTACTAAACATTGTGCAAAACATTCTGTATTCTATGGCAGAAAGCATAAAATGGCTCGCCTAATAATAAACAAACAAATATGAAGACATCGAAATTGATGCAAGGCTAGGGTGAAAATGCGGGGCAGTGTGGGGGGGGTTGGGTTGGGTAGGGTAGGGTAGGGTAGAGGAAATTTATTAACACACATACCAAGAACCAAAGCTCTGTTATCACATATCCTGTGCTGTTTATGCTATACACGAGCAAATTGTATTGCAGCAATTAACCTCAAATAATTTTCACTCCCAGTCCAGTGATAAATTTTTTTTTTATGCCAAATATGTTATTAAATGTGTCGAAGTTGATCAAACATCAAAATCGACTGCAGCAGAACTCAATGCATCAAATGGAAAGAAGAAACAGTAAATCTTTTTCGGGTTTTCGTTTCCTGTCAACGCTTACTTGTATCAACATGGTCCTACACAAATTGATAACATTATGTTCTTTTTCGATCATTGTGAGTTACAGGCTTTTTGCCTTGTGTGGCTCTCTTCACTAAAAAAAATGGCCACGGCAACCCTTTTGCATTGACACAGCGATATGAAAATAATTACTATAACTTATGTTTAAACTTTTGGTGTGCAATCTTTTTTTACAATATTTTGCCACCATGGGGATAGGTGCAACGGTGCACGCACCCCGGTTCTCCTGCAAGAACGACGGTCGCTTCTAGCAATACTCGGATACAAAACGGCGTACCATTGCGATTCACACGATTCCCAGCGACCTCTGCGCTTCCCCGCGTTTTGTTGTTCGGCAGCATTATGAGTTGCAAGTGAATTTTACGACAGTGTGAGATGCGGGACATTTTGAAGATTTGGGAATTTCTCGCGGGACACGAGCCCTTAATGAGGGGCAGTCCCGCGAGTCGCAAGACGGGCGGTCGCCCTATGCAAGGCTGCTTTCTGTCATAATTGACCGATGCTTTTCCACTTCTCAGGTTGATGAGACACTCGTAACCAAGCTTCATGGATTTTTCCCCACGATTGACCAGGAGCACATCAGGGCACTTCTTTACAAGTAAGGATTCTTCTCCAAGTACAAGTTTTGTGTTTTGGAAACTGTACCTCAATATCTTTTTCATTGCAGAACGTGTTTTATGAGTTGTCTTCAGTTGTAAAATTGTCACGAGCATTGCGAACGACCGACCTGATCGAGTCTCCTGAACGACCGTCACACCGGGAGTGTTGCATGCTGTTAAGGTCATATATAAAGCTTACAAAGGCCCACCTAATATCAACAAAAGAAAGACGCCCCAGTGGAGCTCGAATCTGGGTTGGTGTGGTGCCAGTCAGATACCACTACAGCCACTCAACTGCGTAGCACAGCTGCTCCGAAAGAGTAAATAATTTGATTTGCATGAAAACATGCCGGCGAGAACGGCACGTCTTGAATGAAGATAATAAAATAATGAATAAAATATGTGCAAATAAATAAATGGAAATAAAACAATTGAATGATTGTAGAAATAAATAATAAAAATAAAAATCTTGCTTAAACGATACATACGGTGTGGTTTGTGCGGGACACATTATGTGCTCCCTGCTGTTTGCCAGCATGATCAAGCCTGTACAATTTTTTCTTGTCCTTTTCTCTAAGCTGACTAGCTGGGCTTGACTAATTTTCCTACTCCTAACCAACAAATTCTGGCATTCTACCACTAAAGATGAAGTTTCTTGAAATCTCACCTTCACTAAATGAAATTTTAACTGTGAGTGCTGCTGTAATTTTAAAAATGAAATTATGGAAGCACCCACAATTCCATTGTGGGTTGCAATTTCAATTTGAACCGACAATTTCAGTTTTAGTAAGTGAAATTTTATGTGTGGGTGCTGCCATAATTTTATTTTTAGAATTATGGCAGCATCCACTAATCTTTGTCGTGCAAACAACTGCTGCATGACGTGAACTGACGAATGACCGACAAAAACTGGAAGAGTGCTGACAGTCCAAGTGTAGTTCCCGAGTGGCTCTTGGTGGTCCCTCTGCCCTGGAAGCTGAGGCACTCGTTGCCTCGGTTGCTTTGAAACATAGAGGTTCCGACTCACCTCTCAACTTCTTTTTGTTTTGGTGGCAGGTGCTCTTTGTTTCGCCGTATCGATTGACACAACAATCAAAGGCCCGGTGTTTGGCTCGTCCATGGGCAGCTTCCAAATCGCAGTTTGGGGCGGCCCTCCTGGCACTATGGCCTAAAGTGATGCGACTGTTTCTCCGTTTCAGGCACAACAATCAAGAGCACGAAGTGATTCGCATGCTGGTGTCTGGGCCAGGCAACTACGTGATTCGCCACCAGAGTCCGGCACCGAGCTCCCCCAAGATGAAGCTCCGCTACCTCAAGCTGGTCTTCCCCGAAGCGGACGAAGCACTTCTCTTCAACATGCTCTACAAGTGAGTCACAAGTCCCGGATGTCAGCTTGCTCGTGCAGTGTAGCTCCGACGGTTGATGCGGCTTGGGGCATGCACTGCCTGTCCCGTGCCAACTTTTACAATTAGTGATGCAGAAACCAAGCCGTCAAACCATACCTCCACGTTAAATGAAGGAACTGGTTTTATATGATTGGCTGAAAGGGCTGAGCAGCTAACATTCTCTCCATCCATAATTGTGCCTCGAGAGCACTACTGTGGAGATGCCCCATGGAAACTCGCAGTTTCGTGTTTTTATGTCTCCGTGATTGTGATCCTTCGGCCTTTTCTCTATCGTAATTTAGAGGATGCGAGACCTCAATCGTGAAGAAACAGTTGCAGATTTGTATGAATTGAACCAAGGATTGATGAAACTATGAATGTGAAACTCTCAAACTGAAAGAGGGGAAAGGTTGAAGTGAGCGGTTGGTGAAGCGACGAGTACACTTGCAGAAAGGATAAAAGATAAAGAGGCGATTAGATGGCAATTCTTCCAAAAGCCTGGCAAAGACTGCCGAGTTCTCGGGAACGGGCTTTTTGCTTCTTTGCGGTCGAATTCATTTGCCCTTTCATGTGTGACATGAAGCTTGCACACTCCCTTGTGGGCTAGCCCTTGCCCATTTCCAGCCTGCCTGTTGCGTTTGTCCCAATTTCTTTCTATGCCTATTTAATAGCCACGCCTAAGCAACTTTATGGGCTTTTTTGGAATTGGCCATTTCTCGATTAAAAATTGGAAATATATAGGCATGTGTGAATAGTGGATTTTGAGTTTGTAGCGAATTCAAAGCAACTAGTGACTTTGACCGAATATTTTTGAATTGAATATAGAATAATTTCTTCAAACCTTGTACCATCGTGCTCCATGCTTCAACAAAAATTCAGCTGAACTCGTGAAGGTTGTTCCTAACCTTCCACTTGTCCCCTTTTAAACTTAGTTAATATTAAAATACAGTAAAACCTCGTTATAACAAAATGGGATATAACAAACTAATGGATATAACAAAGCAATCATAATTCCCCTTGCTTGCTAATAGGGAAGAAATGTACATTGGCTATAACAAACTAATGGTTATAACGAAATAATTACGATCGCTCCTTCAACTTTGTTATAACGAGGTTTTACTGTATAGCTATTTATGAACTCTGTCATGTAAGCAACAACTTTGTCGCAGACATCCTAATTGAGGAGACATAACTCTTCTTTCTGTAAACCAATATTCTTTCTTCAATTTCAAATTTGGCAAAAACAAAACAAGCACGAATGATGAGCGCAGGTTATAAAGGCATTTCTACCTAACATATACTCGCATAATCGCGGCGGGTTAGCCCCATTGAGGGCACTTCTCACTGACTGCTTGTGCTCTGCAGGGAAGCAATACCTGCAGTGCTCGGATGCTCGGTGTGAAGCGCACTCAACAGGGATTGCTCCCCACGATTCACACTTGAAAAAGTGTGAATATTGTGGTTAACCTCGAAGCAAATGTCGAATGGTGTATTATAGGAACTACCATTTTAAACTTTGAAAATTTGCGCAACCCTATAATATTTTCTTTAATGTTGCAAAACTTGGTGCTGGAAGGGCTCTGGGGCTCGCTTTGTGCAGGTGGTCCGAACATATAAACAAATGCACATATGAAGCATCAAATGATCGACAAGTGGTAAATAAAAAAATAAAAAAACATTTGGGGGATTATTTTTGCATAAAAAGGGGTCATAGCAGAAGCAGCCCGATTTAAATCGTATATATTTTTAATGTTTCCCCCTTTGGCAGCACGGACAACAACGCCCAGGAGGCCATGACGCGCCTGGGGGACATGGGGTTCAAGAAGCGGGAGGCCCCCCTGCCGAGGGGCACGCCCGCCAAGCAGGTCCCCAAGCCCCCCGTCGCAGAGGCACGCCGACCGTCCCAAGCACATCCGCCCACCAAGGCCGACAGGCAGAAGCGTGAGAGCCCTTGCTTACGCTCAAGGCTGGCTTGCATATCTACATTTGCCCACTGAGCTCGTTTAAAGAACACACTGCCGCCATATAGCATCGAGTATCGTTGGAAACACCTCCAACCTGCCTACGGAATATATTGCTATAATTTTTACGCTTCATTCTTTCATCATGGGTTCAAGGCAACGCTGACAGCGTTATAAGCGACCATTTGATCTCGCAAATATTGGATATCCTTCGGCCCTGGAATACCTCCAATCTGCGTAGGAGGTGTTCCAGGGCTACCTGATAGATGCCACTCTTTCGTCTTAAGCGGTCATGAGCACAATGCACTCGATCGCACACAAATGCGAATCAGCTAACCGGCCTTCAGTTAGTTTCACGCTCATTTAGCCACGCTTGCTCTTTCACTCAAACTCATTCACCAACTAGCAAATATGGTGGTACAGTTGGCATCTCTCTCGCTCCTTCCTAACCCAGCGATAGCCGGATTACGTGAGAGTGTGCGACTGTGGTTGATTCATGCGCCGTCGTTGACGGTGGTACGAAGGCACGCAATAGACAGATTTCACTAACGAAGTGAACGTAGGCAGGCTGGTATAAGCTCACTACAAATGTCAGATACAAAAGGTTTTGCAAACTTGCCGAGGTATGACTTAAACCAGGTGCAACTTCCAATAAACTTGCGTCTGTGTTTGAGGCTTCCATGTTTGCCCGTCCGTGTATTTCATACCTCCAGTCTCGGGTGATCATTGTGAACTGAATACGTCGTTATTCGGGCTGGCTATTGTAACTTTGGTGTTTTTATGCATGCCCGTGTCGTTTCCGGTTGGCTTGATGCAACAAACGGAGCAGTCGAATCTCGTTAATTAAAACTCGAAGGGGACCGAAAATTTGTTTGAATAAAGCAAAGTTTGAATTACCAGGAATTTCCTCCCATAGAGACGCATAGGATGGGACCTGAATGTTAGTTTGAATTATCCGCAAGTTTGAATTAAGAGAGGTTGAATTGATGAGAGGTGACTGTAGTGCGTGTCTCGAATTGCGTGGTTTTCTAACACGTGTCATGTCTCGGGACGGGGCCGATGCAGTGGTGTCTAGGATCCACGAGCAGTTCCCGGCAGTGTCCCAGACGCTGGTGAACATGGCCCTGGAGAGCAGCCAGTTCAACGAGGAACGAGCCATGCAGTTTCTGCGCGCCATGACGCCCCAAGACAGGTGACATTGGCTTTCGACGACACCCATTGTTCGCTCCCAATCAAACTTCACTTCCAAATACCCAAAGGGTTTTATTTTGGTCACTGTTAATGCGGGAGCGAGATATAATTTGCGTCTCGCAGAGTGAGTGAAGTTAGCGTTCATAGACAGTTTGTCTGCTAATGCCAGCGAAGAACGCAGTGCATCTGCTACGAAGTGCCATCCGCAGACTGAAATCAAACAAGAAAACAGTGTACTACATTGTCTGCTAGCAGTCCGGAAAATAAGTTGATCGCGCGCTGCGAATTGAGCGGAGCGAAATCGGACGCAGGCTGAAATTGTGATCGTCTGCTATTCCACATTGGAAATTATTGACAACCCATGCTTTCTTTGCAAATCTCAAGTTGTTCTGCCTTTTGTACTCAAGCTGACATTGACCGGTGGATGAAGGTGTGACAAGCACATCAGAGGCTGCAAAACGTCTCTCGTTATTTCTGTGATGACTGTAGACATTCTTTTTAAAATATTGATTAATTGGGAGCTTGCAAACGGCTCAAAAATCTCATTGATTGATTTACGTGCAAGCTGTGGCACCATGTCCAGTCACCAACCGAGAACGATCTCGCTCTCAACTTGACCAAGATCTAACTGCAGGTGTAGCAGCTGTACCGTTGGGGTGCTAAAAGCTTTTTTTCTCGAAATATGAAATCATGTCTTATATGCATTAGCATTTATTGCCCTGGTGCATGCAGCCGTCTTTGGTTTGATCTGGACTGGACCATGGATTGAACTGGTGCCGTGACTCCGTGCCACGGTTCCCTTCTTAGTCTTTCGCTTTGTTCGTTCGCTCGTTACGTTCACTTTCCCTTTTGAGTAGGAGGGAAAAGTCTTCTCACATGATTTCACTGATGTGCCGCCGTGCACTCCTCTAAAAGCTGTGGTGGCTGCATCTGAAAGCACCGATGCCCGGAAGAACAGACTGGTTGCCTGAAGACAATGAATGCCTGTGCTCAGTAGCGATTTCCTCATAATTTTTTAATGCGATAGCGTTAAGGAGTTTGTGTCGCAGAAAAGCCGGCGTTGGTGGCGGGAAAATCCTGATTGGTCAATAGGGTCAGGACGTCACAGCCACGTGACCTTGTGCGGGAATTTTAAACAACTCACAATGCTCACATGAAACATGACACTACACGTGGAATGAAAGGAATTAAAAAACATGACATGTAATGTGAATTAAAGGTCACCGCATGTCTCAAATGATTTCATTTTATAAAGTAATTCATTTATCTTTAAAGAAATATCTGAAGAATTTTAGGTGGGATTCGAACCCACGACCCTTCAGTTGCGAAGCCAGACACGCTACTGACTCGGCCATGTCCGCAGAACTTCCTGCTTACTGGCAGGAAGAGCATGAGAAGTGAATGAGAAGGCGATGCGAACGGTGCCTGATAACACTATCTCATTTCACACTTAAAAGCGAAGCTTAAGCGTCCTCCAAGTTATAATATAACAGTTAATCTTGAAGCGAATGTCAAATAGTGTAAAATTCTGAACTAGAAACCCGTTTATAACGAACGGCAGGACACGCTATGATCAGTTCAATATAGCAAATGGTTCGATATAGCAAAAAAAACATTTACAACGAACTTCTACGATGCGTCCGTTATAAGGCGAGAGCTTCTCTTTCTCTCTCCTCTCTTCGCTTCCACCTTGTAACAAAGTGCTGGAAAGTCTTTTTGTTTCTCTTTGCAAGCGTGTATTTTTTTAGCTTATCTTCCCTTCTGAATTACTTCTCTTCGAACCGCTTTGTGATGAAGTATTTTTTTCCTGTGCGTGCGTGCAGTGTTTTTTCTGGCTTTCTCCCCTTCTGAATCGCTTATCTTTGTCAATTTTGTTCCCGGCTTGAGCTTTTGGAATTTTCTTTCTTTCCTTGATATTTTTTTTTCGGGGAAGGGACAGGCTAGAAGACGACTGCTTCTGTGTTTTTGAAAGCCTTCCCGGGGGGAAAATGTTTGATATAGCCAATATGTTGTTCGTTATAAAAAGTACTTTATACATGCATTTTTATTTAAATTTTCTGGGAGTTCGATATCGACAATAATTCGCTGTACATGGGTTCGTTCTAAACGGGTTTCACTGTATTTGACCATTCGCATGCCCCTATTTGGTTTACATTATCAGGCTTTGCGAAAGAGAAACTGAAAGGAGTAGCCCACTTCTGTTCTCGAAATTGCACCTTGTAGAAGAAGCTTCTGGCTCAGTGGCATTGCGTGTGAGTATGCTTGGGTCATGCAAGTACCAGTATGCTTCTTTAGGTGACAAAGATTTCGACCCCCTGTTGTTATACAGCCCTTTGAGGGGAGAAAGCTGTGTTGCCAGTTTTTTATTTATTATTTATTTACATATACTGCAGGCAGCGGCGCTGCCCAAGCAGGGGAGGGTTACAAAAGGAGTTTAGTTAACAAATGATCGAATTGGTTGACATGAGTACATTCCATAAGCAATGACGGCAAACAGTTCCATTGTTCAATTGTGTTAGGGAAAAATGACTTCTGAAAAAGGTTAGTTCTGGCATAGTATGGGCATATGACTTTGGAATGATTTAGTCGAGCTGACCTTTGTGGCACAGGGCGAAGATAAGTGTCACTTGATAGACCAGATGAATTGTTATAAAGTAAGTAAAGAAACTTCAGCCTAGAGATTTGTCGGCGAAGGTGGAGCGGTTCGAGGTCAAGCTGCTTTAACAAGTTAGTTACTGATGATGAAGTGCGGTAGTCAGATAGGATGAATCTTGCAGCAAGACGTTGGATCCGCTCCACCTCCGCAATATCTTTCACCAAATACGGGTCCCACACAATAGAGGCGTACTCTAGAACTGGGCGAACCAGAGAACGATAAGCTACAAGTTTCACAGCCGACTGACACCCTTTGAGTTTTCTTCGAAGAAAGCATAGCTTTCTGAACGCTTTGGCACATATGTTGTTGATGTGCTGGTCCCATTTTAGGTTGTTTTTAATTGTGAGACCTAAGTATTTTACAGAGGAAACTTCTTGAATGCACTGGTTGCCAATATGGTAAATGTAAGAAAGGGGCTTTTTTTTAGTAGTCAGTGTCATTGAGACGGTTTTAGAGAAGTTAATTTTCATTTTCTGAAGGTCGCACCAGTCCGCAAGTTTACAAAGGTTTTCATTCAATGTAGTCTGACAGGAAGAACTTTTGACAAGGCTATACATTACGCAGTCATCCGCGAACAATTTAACACTAACACATTCATCAATATTTTTGGAAATGTTGTTAATATAAATCAAAAAAAGTAACGGTGCGAGCACGGAGCCCTGTGGTACACCCGACAAGACCTGTAGGTTATCAGATTTAGAGCCATCACGTTCAACGAATTGAGAGCGGTTTTGTAGATAGGCCTGTATCCAACGAACCAGCCTATCAGGAAGTCCTGCCTCTTTCAATCTATCAATGAGCAGATTGTGAGGCACGCGATCGAACGCCTTAGATAGATCTAAAAAAATTGCGTCGATTTGGTGACGATTGTCTATCGCGGCTGCAAAATCGTGGACTACAGATATTAGCTGAGTCGTTGTGGAAACGTTTCTACGAAATCCGTGTTGGTTCTTGTCAAAAAAATTGGTCGACTCTAGGTAACGAGATATATGGTTAGCGATTATGTGCTCAAGTAACTTGCAACATGTGCTTATTAAAGAAATAGGTCTGTAATTTCCGGCGTCTAATTTGTCACCTGATTTAAATACTGGAACTACTCTAGCCGTTAGCCAATCTGCTGGTAAGGAACATTGATTAAGTGAGGCACTGAAAAGCAAGTAAAGGTACTCGGAGACTATTTCCGAGTAGCGATGAAGAAAGGAATTAGGTATAGCATCAGCACCGCATGATTTCTTTACATTGATATTCAACAGTTTTCAGTTTTCTGAGTTGTCTTGCCGGAAAAATTGCCATTTAGTGGTTGGCATGATTTTCAGCACTTCTCAAATCACGTATGTTAGCGTGCTTTCTGGTGGTCTAAAATGTTCTCCACTTCATATTTATCAATTGTAAATAGCTTAGTTTTTGTGGTAAGTTAGTGTCATGGAGTCATTATTTTTCATACTCTCAATACAAATGTCGGGGAAAATTACGCTTGCGACGCCATTGAGATATTATGGGGGCAAACATTGAAACATGGAGTTCAAACAGTCATTCTTGTCCTGCACCTTAAATTTAGGGGTTTATACCGGGTATTCGGACCACTTTCGGCCACCTTGACAGGGCGAGAAAAGTACTTCCTGTTCCCTTACGTTTACTTTGTGTTTGGTTGGGTCCGCGACGACTCGTGGTTCTGTAGCGAGCAATTGCATGAGAGCTACGCACTAGAAATGCCTCAGTGTTATGCTTTTAAGTTTCCGATGCACACCGGCACAAATGAAGTTTCTCGAGACAAGGGGCGCCACCGCCAAGCTTGGCTGATGACAGGACAGCGCCATTAAGCAGACGGTGCTCGCCTACTTTGATGTGCTGCCGACAGATGGCACAGTGTGAGAAATGAGGGGATGTGGTGGCTCGACCGACCATCTCTGTACAACGATGGGTGCCAACCGAGCCATTACGGCACATAGAAATACAAGGTGACACGGAGCTCTGGGAAAGGAACCTCGATCACCAAAGCACATTACAGAGACTCGCGTCGCACTGAAGGAAGCATAATAAAATCTTTTGGGAGATCATCAGCTAAAACCGAGATCCCACTCGGCGACCCCTGCGGTGGAGCTGGGTACACATCTTTGGCACCTGGGGTCGTAGGTTCCCATCGCCGATGCCTTGCTGTTTACAAAATCGTTTAAAAGGACTTTTTAAGTCATTCTTAAGTATATATGGGCCAGGTGGCTCGAATGGGTGGTCGTGAAAATGCCCCCACACTCCCTTTGGCAGATATGTCATTCCTTTGAGGAACAAGTGCTCTTTCTTCTCATCGGAGGGATCAGCGTAAGTAAATTTATTGAGCTACTGCAATTGGTTCTCGGTGGTGAGAGTTTTAAACTATATGTTACTTACGGCGGGTTCTCGCAAAAAAAGCAAAAATAATGGTCAACCGGAGGCAACATACTCACTGTATAGCGGTCTTCCAAAATTCCTTTAGCGTTTTTTTTTTTTTTTTGAGATGGCAACACTGGGATAGAGGGGGTGGCAAGGAAGATACTTTGCGGGTGGGTCTCTGGAGCTGCGTCTGGTTGCTCTCCCCCGCAGCCGTCCCCTGCCTGGAGAAGAGGCCGTGCCGGAGGCCCCCAGGGGCACCCCTCCCGTGCCGCCCCGGGCTCGCCACGCCTCCCCCGCCCAGGCGGACAGGGGGCCACCCGCCTTTGCCAAGCTCACCCCGTCCAGCCTAGCGAAAGGTGGGCATTGACACTTGCCGTCCCGTTGTCTCCTGGCACCCCGCATCATGCATCATACTCTTGTATCGTGACTTTGGCAGAAAGCCTTAGGGCCCGTTCACACTCTTGCGACCTCTTAAACCTGGGTTCCTTAAAACTTGTTAAACCAGAAAACACACTGGCGCCATCTATTGGGAAGCAGTGTAAACTCGGCGGTCCGGCATATTTTTTTTTATTTCTCGAGCATTATCCTTTCTTTCTTGGCTCGGAAAACTTTAGATAATGTTATAAACGAGCCTTGCTATGGGTATTACGCATATTTGACCTCAAAAATCTCGCAAAACCTTCGCTTTTGTGAAATGCAGTTCCAGGGTCACCGCATAGATGGCGCCACAATGTCAGTGTGTTCCCTCATTCTAAAAACATTTAAGAAGTTGTAAGAGATCTCGTCTCTCTCAGTCGTACTCGGTCGCAAGAGTGTGAACGGGCCTTTACACTACGCTAAAAATGTACTAATTCTCTCATTTTATGAGATGGAATGGTTGACTTTGGGAAGTGTATCTTTAGAGCCGCATTAGCCACTGCCTCTAGCTTGCCGATGCGAAGCTCAATGCGCATGCCACGAACGTGCCACATGCGGTGCATGATTAAGGACTGAACCCCACGCAAAATGAAACTAACAGAAACAGAAACGAAGCACAACAAAAATGTGCGTGCATGCTCGACGAGGTCGAGAAAACGATTTTTCGCAAAATGTTATCTCCGGAGATAGAATTTTTGTGCGAGGACATTATTTCTGTCCCTTGGCTCTTTCTGTCAATTGTGATGATTGGCTATCTGCCTGCTCTGTGAGAAAGTGGATACACAGCATTTGCTTATGAGCAATGTGTCTTTTATTCGAGTAAAAAACGGTAAGTAGTCGTGACTTTTTGAAATTGCCACCATATTGTTGGCACGTCGGACAAGGTTTTTTGGAAGGGCTATTTTGAACTCCTTTTTGTTTTTTTTATTTTGTAGACGAGTTCTGCTTCAAGTGTTAGGTTAGAATACAAGAAATTACCGTGCGCCATACAGAGCCTTAGATTTCTCTCGGTCAGCCTGGGGCTGCCAGTGCTTTTTCACTGAGTTCACAAAGCGTGCTAGGAAGCAAGGTAAAATGCATCTCCGGCATGCCTTTCTGTGTTGGTTCTTTCAGAGGAATCTTCCAAAGAAGGCACACAAGCCAAAATGTTGAGGTGAGCCTGATCTCCCACTCACTCCGGGTTTGCGCTTCTGCATGCTGAGTGTCATCTACGGACTGTCGGGACGCTCACTGTTTTTGTCGCATGTCGCAGCGACAAGGCCACTTCTCCGCCTCCCAAATCCGCGAGTGAGCGGTCGTTCCGGCCCAAGTTTCTGCGCAAGATCTTCAAGTAAGCCACTTTTCGAGAAACTGAACTTGTAAAGTAAAAGAAAAAAGCAAGACTATTCTCGCAGACAACTTTCTGTGGCATTTCAGAAGTGGAGAGTGGGCATGCGCACAGCTTTGATCGGTGCTCATGGTGCGCGAGAGCCTGTGCACCCGTAGCTGAACTCATAGCCACAGAAAGTGGTCTGTGGGCATAGGGGCTTGCTGATTTGATTTTCAGCTGCCACTGGTGTCTGCTAACTCAAGCAGCATGACAGAAAGTGCCTTATTTGATGCACTGTTGGGAAGTACTTTGGGCACATTGTACTTAAAGTACTACTACTTCAGTTAGTTTCAGAAAACTTGTACTTTACTTGAAGTATATTCTCCGTGCATGTACTTGTACTTTACTTAAAGTATTTTTTTCTGGTACTTTCCCAGGAAAGTACAACTCCTGACTTCAAAGCGGAGGCATGCGGTTTAGAGAAGCTCGTTTTAGTGAACGCCGTTTACCGACCCCGGTTTATTGAGTGCCTTTATAGAGAACCCAGTTTAGAGAAAATGGCGATAAGCCTCCTTTTAGCGAATTCGGCCGCCGCGAAGCGGCGTGTACGGGTAAATCAGGTGAGTTATCATTTTTGTAATGAGCCGCCGCAGACTGCCGCCGCGAAGCGGCAGGAGCGCACTGGGGGGCATGGCTAAACACGTGCACCAGTGATACACGCAAAAAGTAGGAAAGCCATTTTTTAAAAAGCGGCCCCTTTTCGATAAACGGCGTTTCTCTAAACTGAGGCTCTGCTTTCTCTAAACTGTACTTCGATAAAACGTGCCCATTCTCCAAAACGTACTTCGATGAAATGGCATTCAATCAACCGTAGTAAACCAACTTCAAAGTACATTCCCCTAATTTGGTCTTGTTAAGTTTGTATCACAAAATTATGCTTTGTCAACTGTGAAGAAATGCTGGGAGGGATATTTTACTCTCACCAGAAATGCGAGCAGACGATGCATTGTTTCGTGTACACTGGGGGCAGCTTTCCTATAGCTTTGGGAACTTTCGCTACTTCTCGCTCGGTCAGCGCAAGGGAGGAGGTTAGAAATATCGGGAGAGAACAATTAATCATGATGTAACACCTGAAACTGTGATGCGAAAAAATAAAGAAATTTCAGGTCGAAGAGAAGACAACAGAGGAAACGTCTCACTGTTTTGAGACACTCTCCTCCGTTGTCTTTTCTCTCGACTTGAAATTTTCCTTATTTTTCCGTATTACAGTCTCAGGTGTCAAATTATGATTAATGATTATCAGGTCGCCCGCACACATTGTTTTTTCGTGAAAGAGAGGACACTTCTCTACGAGAGCATTGCTTGCAGAAGGTATGGGGCCGACATGCTCTCTCCTAGAACGTCCCTTGGGTGCAGCAAGCCAGTACAAATTCAGAAGCCTGACTTCTGAATTTGGTGCCGTTTCTAAAAATAACTACTCTGTGGCCACTTAACTTCATCTAATACTTGCCGCCATTTTTGAAAATAAGTGATGCACCCTGATTACCCCTGGGGTAATAATGCATGTACCAGTTAAAAAATCCCTGCATAGGGGAATGAAAGGGCATCATGAAAGATTATATAAAAATGCACTCATACATTGCATCCAGTGTACTTACTACTTTACTTGAAGTACATCACCTCTCATTTACTTTGTACTTTACTTCAAGTACTTTTTAGATGTACTTTACTCGACACTGATTAGATGCCACTTGCCTTAGTGCTCAGCGTGTGTGATTAGGTCGTCTGGGTTTTGAGTTGGAAGCAAGTAATACAGTAGGCTCGCGATAATTCAAACTTATATTTCATACTACCGATTAATTCTAACAAATTTAGAAATTTTGGTTGTCTTGCTATGTTTTCAATGTATTTATAAGCCGCTTTATTCGAACAGCGTTTTCATGTAATTCATATTTTTTGCTCTAGAAGCCCCGTTGAGGGCGCTTCTTTCCGAGCACTGATGCACTGCAGAGAAACAACACCTGTGGAGTTTGCTTCTGCAGGTGTTGCTTCTCTGCAGTGCACCAGTGCTCTGTAAGAAGCACACTCAACAGGGCTAATAGTTTAGAATGGACTTTTCGTGTGGATGAACAAGCTTAATTTTGTTTTGAGGTGTCATGTGTTGTCTAAACAGTCCACAATAGAAAACATATTTGAAGGATGAATAAACTCATACATTTCACCAACAATGTTTCATATGTAGCACACCTGCTTATGCTTAGGAGGCCTGTGTAGAAGAAATTAAATATCTGGTTTGTATCTGTAGCCATCCATATAGCTAATTATAATTTTTATCTCGCATCACATTTAGATTAATTTCTGATGATTCAAACAAAATCTGGCTTCCTAAAGTTTGAATTAATGAGCATCTACTGTACTATATGTTTTTGTGATGAATGTTCCTGAATGGGATACCTCATTACTGGAATATTCCTGCAGGTTCTCTAAGGGCACCAGTACTCAGGAGGACCAGCAGCAAGCCTCGACCCGCATCTGCCCCAAGGGACCCAACTCGAGTCTGCTCAGGGGACCCAACGACGGAAACCTCCTGTGAGACAACGCCCTGCTCACATCAAATACCCCACGGTTTCGTTGGTTTTGAGATACCGCATCTGCTTCCACAAGCTTTTTGGAAATAGAGCCGATGCTTCTACTTGCCGTTGAGAAAAAGTCGAGCAACCGGTGGTCACTTTACGAAAGGGGACGAACGAGCAAGAAGGCAGAGGCGACTTTCGGACTCCGAATAGCAAGTGTATGGGGTTGCCGAGAACTATTTTTTGGCGTTCGGAATCCCAGTGCAGCTGGCAGTTTGGGTCTGAGGGTCAGCTAAGTCCACCAATTCACCGGTCTCTCCCCATAAATCACGATAGATGGTTTGCTTCTGCGAGGTCAGCTAAAACATTGATTGACTGAAAATTCCGGTGATGTTGCGTCGTGCGGTGCTTTACGTAAACCATGACCAGTCACACACAGAACAGCTAGCACCAAACACGCTCTCGCAGACATGCTGCACAGATTGCTTGGTTGCACCAGCGTGACCATTCTTCACTGTAACATTCTCTTCTATGTGGCGCTTTCTGTTCACGCACGCATGATCTTGACGTCGAATGTGTTGTATCCTAACTCCTGTGGTGAAACCGTCGGCGCCTGCACATCGACAACATTCTCTCTCACGGGCCCATTTACACTGTCGGGCAGCCGCTGCTTGCTCCAGCGTATGCTTTGGCTGCCCCATTCTTGCGCGCAAAAACTTAGAGCTCCGAGGGAGAGGGCGACTGAAGGCGAGAAAAAGCAGGTGGCGAGGAGCGGGATCACGTGACCCCCAGTGTAGTAGCAATCGGTTGAACGCACTACAACTCAACTGCATCTATTATCAGCGAAAGGGCAAGGGTACGACTGCTGTACTCGCCCTCTCCCAGCACCAAAGCCACCTGCGACAAACGCGCGTGTGCTCCGTTTGCCCAGTACAAGTCTAGTGCAGTTGATGCTGTAAAAGTAAATTTGTAGATCATCTTGTTAGACATATGCGGGAGAAACAGTTGTAATGGGTAGCTTACGGGGTTATGCCAGTAATATAGTACATCAGACTTGTCTGCGCTGTATTTACTGTGTCAGATTCTATTATAGAAAGGTTTAGGTAAGGCTATACAAAACACGGCATGCTGAGTGCTACAACAGCGCAGTTGCCATTTTTCCCCATTTTTATGTCTTAATGTAATCGTAGTAATCCAAGGTTCATAGGGTGTGGTGCGCATTCGCCCAAACACTAGCTCAGCCGGTAAACTTCGCTTTTCCCCAATGGTCTACACAAGCCGAACACATAAAAAAAAAAAAAAAAGGCTTGAGATACGCCTAAGCATTTCTAATGAGTTGTGAATGTGAATGCATGCAAGCTGCTCGTCCGCTCCCTTGTTTCGTCTGCTGCATACTTTTCGTCACTGGTCAGCGGGCACGCGACCTTGGACGCTCTGTGTTAACGGCACGCTGGAGGTCACGCAGCATCATGGGGTGAGCTGTCGTTGAAACTGACGCGCAGCGGCCAATGGGAGCCTCGTCGACGCACGCCAGCCAATGGGATTGAAGCCGAAAATCCATCAGCTTTACTCCGCTCCTTTGGCATCAAGGAAACTAGGTGCCGTTGTTTAGGCTTTTCACGTGGTTTCATAGCTGGGAGCTGGCTTCACTTGGAGAAAGGAATTAAGGTGCCGTTTTCACACTTCGAACTGATGACGTCGGCTCACTTTATGGGACAGTTAATGCTTTCATATTAAAACGCCAACACTGCATGTGTTTGCACTAACTGTTTCGTTCGGCGTGCTTTGCTCTAAGTGTGCATGATCTTGAACACAGTGATTGGGGGGCCCTTCCTGTGATTGGCAGAATGCGTACGACCGAGAAACAGACTGGTGTTCTGCCTCCCTCCCCTCCGCAGGAGGGAGTACACACCGTGGCAGGGCCCGGACCCCGACAACCGGCGTGGGCCGGACCCCAACCTGCGTCGGGGGCCAGACCCCAAGAACCTGACCACCAAAGAGGCGGGCGCCAAAGCCAGGGGCCCCCAGCTGGGGTTGTTCCGCAGGGGGCCCCTCCGGGACATCACCTTCCGGTCCCTCCTCACGGGCTCCTCTTCTTCCACGAGCAACAACTCTTCCGCCGCATCCGATACTACGCCCCCTCAAGGGCCAAAGACCCCGGCCCCACGAGTGCTGCAGTCCCAGTGATTTACTATTTCTCGATTGGAGCGATACCTTTTTGGGGAAAGGGTTCCTGCGCAGCCAGTCTTTCGCGGAGCATCTTTGGCTAGCGACGAGGTTTGGAGAACACTTGGATCCAAAAACTGTGATTTGCGTCGGAACACTCCACAACAGAAATTTCGTGCTCTGTGCCCCGGCGCGGGCAACGCTTTTGGCTCTAAATGTCATCTCTGTCTCACCGTTTGCCAAGCCCAGCGAGTCGCGAGGACTTGAAATGCTTCTAAGGGAAAATACTGCCACGACCGGAATTTAGAGTGTAAGAGTCGTGGTCGGTGTCCCGGTAGATACCATTATTGTCGATTCATGTGTCGCGTCTGCCTCGGTGGTTGCTGGGTGCCTTTCATAGGTCGTGCTCCGCGGCAATGAATGTGCAGGATTTTTTATCAAAAGGTTCCCTCCTGCTCTAGTCCGTACAGGTTGTAGAAATTGGCGCTGGCATTTGCTCTGTATTCTTAAGCTTTCTTTCCACCTGTCTGTGCCATTGGAGTCAATCGATGCACGCACAAAAACTGTGAGGCACCTCATTTTTCAGAAACATTCCAGTAGGGTGTGTTTGTTTCCCGTCTGTTTTGCTCGGTATTGGAAAAATGCAGTGTTTTTTTTTCATTAGAGAAGTTGTGCCCGGAAGGCCTATTTGAAACATGGAGTGAAAGATGCATCACTGCCCTTCCACTCTCTGGTATGATTAGTGCTTCATGGAGAACAAATGCAACTAATCGATAGTGTTAAAAGAAACTGATGGCAGTTTTCTGTGTAATTCTGGGCCATCCGAGCTCTCAAAACCGCGACTCCTAGAGTTTTTTTCTCTGTTGCACCGTCCTTTGTCGAGCATTTTAATGCCACTTGTTTCCACAGCCTTCAAAGTTTACATCGTTCGCAGTTAAGTTGTAAAACCGTTGCTATACTTCTGTCAGTCTCTCCCAGCATATCTCATATTTCCTGACTTGGAACAAAATGTTTATTATTTTATTGCCTTAATATACCGAGAGTTAACCCACCCCCCAAGAAATAGCTCACCCACTGTGTTCGAGGTCGTTAGTGTAGGGAAGGGGAAAATGAGGAACTGATGCCACGGAACTAGTAAAGTCCGTGACGCCTGCTGCAAGACAGGGCAAGTCGAACCAGCGCAAAAAAGTGTCGTGAACACACGATCGTGTACCGAGCGATTTACGGCACAACGACTGCTCCTTCCGCAACTAGAAAGTGATGTCAAAAGCGGCTGATATAGGCAGAAGTAGTTGAAGAACCAAGTCGAGCATTTTTTTCTCGGGGCTTTTAGTTGTTTTTAGCTAGGCTCCCCCCTTTGTTCGTCCAATGCGGCCTCCAAGGGGGAACAGTGGTTCACCTTTCGGAATATTACGGTAATGCCGGAATCATAAGGACTGTTCCTTTCCTACAACAAGTTTTACTCCCAAGCAGCTCTGCACGACTGCATAGGTGAACGGCTTTCTTGAGTTTGTTCGACGAGCATTTTCTGGAGTTCAAAGAGGAGACGCTGTTCACAGGAACTTACGACTGCCACGCTGGTCACTGTCCCCTTGAATGGAAGTGAAGCGCTGGGTATATTGTCCCACCTGCATATAAGATACTATTTTTCCAGGTTGTGTAAAAAGAAACGGGGGAGCCTGAATCGCGACGCGTTGCAGCAGAGAAGCTTTTTCGTACAAAACGGCTGAAAAGCTTGCCAAGTTGTTAGGCATCGTTTTAGAGAGCATCGAGATCATGGGCGTGGAAACGTGAGGGCTTTTGCAAGGCATCTGAGGAGCTGCGAGGATTCTGCTTTTCCAAGTCTAGCGACGGGATTTCGGCCGTCCCCTTCCATACCGTCATTCATCTGGCTCATCACCACATCTCTTCGGGCCTACTTTTTGAGCTTTATACGGTCCGGAGGCCGATGTACATAACAAACTAGAGGATAGCACATATATAAATATACATATAATATATATTTTAGAGAGCCCTATGACAGAATGACTGCCATTTTTACTTGGTGTTCCTGTGTGCATGTATACATACAATAGAACCTCCTTGGTACATTCTTGGTTATATATTTCCCAGTTATTGTAACCTTTCATCCTATTTCACCGGCACGCATGTACGCTTCTACCATGCTTGATGGCTGGCTTTCTCCCCCTCCAAACTTTACTTTAACGTGGAGCTCGCAGTGCACACGTGTCTAGCTTCACTGCTTTGCACCGGCGCGCCAGGAGCAGCAGCTGACGCGGAGGAGCTTCCGAATTAGCTCAATGGGCTTGGCAGTTTTGCTCGCTCTTATGAGTCAACATTATTTGGACACGATTTCATATTGTGTCCAAACAATGTTGACCTTAATTTTAAATAACAGTTCCGAAAAAAGGTTGACCTGTATTTCAATAAATATGGTAGTATTCCACAGCCGTGAATGTTCATGTGAAATTAAGTTGCTATCCTAGAGTTGCCTCTCGTCGCATCTATAGACCCCCAAAAACATTATTGCTGGTTATGTTTTCCCAGATCCTTTTCTTGCAATGCCCCAAAGAATGTATCGGTGAGGTTCTTCTGTATTAGGCCCCCATTGTTTCCTGTGCGTCGTCCACGTAACTCGATTTCCTTTTGTGAGCGCCTCGAGTCAGCATGATTCTGGGTAAATGGGTTTCTTTGTGTACCTACCAGATGAGGCATAATCAATCAGTGTCCTATTTCCAGTTGACTGCTCGGTCCCAGCAAGGACTGGACTGCCTACTAGCTTCCACATACTGCGTGACTAGGTATGTGGAGTCGAGATATCTTGCGCCCCAGAAATGAAGTTGCGAGTAGCAAAGTGTTTGGTTTTAGACGAGATCTAACTAGCATACCAGTAGCAATTTGAACTATTTCCCAGTTACTGGGGAAGGATGTTGGAAGACACAAAAAACAGAATGTTGAAGCTTGTATCTTTGCATTGTGCATCCAACTGCAGCATAGCCCCCTGAAAAACGTAGCTTATATATTTGAATTTTTCTTTAATTTTTGAAACCAGTTTTGAGATAGAAAAAAAATCTCTACAAGCCTCAGTTGTTTTCTTTTTTTTAGGCACTTTGGTACAAGATTTAGAGCAGTGATAGTTTTTTGGGTAAAACAGTCACTGCTATTAGTAGTTGAGCCGTATGCACAGAAAAAGGAGTTTGAAGTGGGATTATGTAGACAATGCTTGAAATAACACATAAGATCAGTGCAAAGAAAACAAACAATAAGATGTCTTTTTTGTTTCCATGTTTTGTGTTATTTGTTATACAAACAGAACCGTCAACCTTTGCAAACGCTTTATAAGTTTGCGGCGATTGTTACGGGCACCTTTTACATTCTGTGGTTTTGCTACGAGCATCAGACTTTGTTCTAAAGTACATATGAATATGAGAAAAGTAAATTTCAATGGACTTCGAAAAGTGTGGAAAAAATATAAGTGGAGCCTCAGATTCACCTGTCTGATGTGATGTGGCGACAATGGCCTTTTGGCACGTCTTTACTAGGTATGTTTGTTTTTCTTAGCTTCTGTAAACCAAAAAAGTGGTATCTTGTCTGTATATAACTACTATGTGTATTGTTTTTTCTGATAACATCCTTCCATGAGAGAAACCTGTCCTTATTCGGATGGGGCCCTTGTCCATTTTGATGCCAGTTTAGGTTTAAAAGCAATGCAGTGGTCATCGTCCATCTTGCTCTCTTCGCGACCACTCATCAGGATAAGTTCAGCCACAGCACAATTTTTTGCAAGCACGTTGCCAGGACCTTTAAGTGGCAAAAGCTCATTCTCCACCTGTAACTGTTTAAAGAGACAGTGGGAATTCAAAAATTTTTGGAGATGGTACATTTCTAAAAGAGATGAGACACAGACGAAGGTTTACACTTTGCACTTTCTGCATTTTTCTTTTTTTTATTTGATTAGAAGACACCAGTGGTCCTATCTGATGCATGACTGAAGAAATGAAATCTTGGTTTGGCAACGTTCAACTAATGTTTCAGGCTAAGAAGTGCAAAAGATCCCTAGGGATAGTTTTCTTCAAATATGTTTTTGTTTCCAAATGGGACACTCACTTCTGTACACCGTGTACATGGCATGTTGTCTTCGGTTGGTGTCAGATTAACTTTATGTTCGCAAAATATGTGCACCCTGCATGATTTTTGTTAAAACATTCCTACGAAGTGTTTTTTATCAATCTGAGACTTCGTTACACAGGCAACACTCAAAAATGTTGTTCCAGTGAGTGATGCCATGCGCATTTTAGCGCGCAGATGCTCATCAGGCAGTAGCAGCAGGTTTTTCCATGGCAAAAGCATGGTTTCAGTTTTGAGGCGTTTTCCGTCCTAATGTGTGATGTGATGTACAGGTAGAAGCAGGTCCATAGGGGCAGGCTTAGGTTAAACTTTAACCAGGGGTACTGGGTTAGCGAACGAGAGAGTGGCCAGAAGTACTGAAAGCTTTCCTTTCTCCCATCCTATCCTCCCTCAGTCGTTCAAACATGGGGACAGGTAAATCCAGAAATGTTGCTTGCATCTGCACTCCAATTAATAGAACCACTATCGGGTATTGTTTCCAACTTCCCAGAATTTATGACGAATATTGCGGCTCTGCGTAAAACTTCCTGGTTGCAAAACAACCACCCTGCCTTGACTAATTTGTTTCAGTTTGGCAACCCCTCATTGGGCAGATCATTGTTACATTTCTGCTAAACCTCTAACCCAATGCAACATCTTCTCACATTCATCGTCGTGTATGATACAGGTTCAAGATAGGATAATGCAAAAATAGTGTTTCCCTGCGTACTGCAGCGAGCATCATGTTGCCAAATTAAGCCGTTGCCATCCCGGAATAGTCGAGATGGAAGAAAACATAAAAGTTGCCGACTGGCAGTCTTCCCACCGTTCAGGATGTGAACGCAATTTTTCAAGTACAATTAATCTGCCAAACTTTGAATGAAACAGCAAACCTTACCCCCCACCCCACAATGTTCAAACCACTACCATTTGTGTCCATACATGTCCCACTTTCTCTTGGTTCCATGCTGTAGTTCTGGCTTTTTCTAGGACAATAAACAGACTTTTAAACTCCCACGCATATAACTCTCGTCATTCGTCAAGTGTTAAAAGGCTGGTTCACACACTGGCGACTGTTTGCGACCATGTGCCTTAAGACCAGGAAGTCGAACCAGTCATTATTCCGGTTCGGTTTGGGTTCAGTAGCTTTGCACTTAGATCTGGTTCGGTTCCGGTTTAGTGATGAATTTGAAATAACGGTTCGGTTACCGGTTCCCCCAACTGTAGACTGGTTCAAATCGGTCTTTAAAGAGAAAAGTCTACAGCTCCCAGCCGATAAGAAAGTGTTCAACACCACGTCATTTGCATTTTTTTAAAAAAGAGAAGGTCATTGGAAGCCTCGCTGCAGAAGCAAGAACAGCAAAGAAAATATATGCTTAATTTCGTTTCGTGACCTTGGTTGTACAGGCGCTCGGAAACAGTACCAAAGTACAGTAAACACACCTGAAGTCAGTCGGCAGTCAGTCGACGATGGATGCAGGGAGCTAGCTGTGCCAATCCATTACTCGTAGCTCGTCGCGCAACTTCGGGCTCCCCGCATCGCTCCGCCCAACGAGAAGGGCACGCGACAACCTCCGAGCAATGGATTGGCTCCGAAGGTTTGTGGCGTCATTTGCAGTTTATCGTGAGGCGATACAAAGTATAGAAGCGTGTGCCACCACGCCGACGCAGAGTCGCACTGCACACAAATGCGAAATATTTTAGTTTCATCATTATTGAGCGGTCTCCACGCCGCTGTCGTTTGTAATGTCAAAACTACGCCACCGTCACCAGTATGTCATAGCCTTCGCGCTGCCACCCACAAGAAGGCGCAGCTCGGATTTTATTACGCCAGACTGGTAACCACCACGCGAGATTGGTTCCATTGTGGTTCGGGTTCAATATGAAGTGCTTGATTTCGGTTATGGTTTGGTTTCTGTTCGGTTAAAATTTACGGTTTGGCCCCAGTTTTCGGTTCGGGTTCGGTTCGAAACTCTACTTAAAACCTCTTGTGATCTCTACAACGAGGGAAGACACTGGCGCCACCCATCAAGTGGCCGTGGAGCACTTGCAATTTCCCTATATTTTTTCTTTTTCTTTCTTTTTTGTCTTGAAAACCATCCAACAATGTCATAAATTACCATTTCATAGATAGTATGTACATGTGATCTTGCAAAGACCAGAAAATCTTCATGCTAGGGAAATGCAGTTCCCGGGCCACCTCATAGATGGTGCTAGCGTCTTCTCTCGTGGTAAAAGAATTTGAACGTGCCTTAAAACATCTGCGGATGATGCAACGCTATTTTCTGTTGTATTTCGGGCCAAACCTTTGCTTGGAGTACTTTTCTGGTGATGCAGATCGTACTTCGACGACAACGGCTGCCAGAACGATTGTGCAACCTTCTGTCAAACGCTCGTGCGATAGAATCTATGCCACGAGCCCGCACGTGGAGCTTTTTTTACGCGGATGCATGAATGGATGGATGTTAACGACTGTACCCTTTATAACGAGCGGTAGCTTGCACCATCTAGCCTAAAAACTAAAACTGAATGTGATGGTAATCGCAACCGGCGTCGGCACGAGGATGCGAGACTTGTATACAATGTTGAACAGGTTTTATTTACAAGGTCCGAGAGTGAGGTTTGGCGTCCGAAACCGACGTCCCACCCAACGAGGCTGGACATTTAGACTTCGTCTTCATTCAAAAGCATGTTTGGGATGCCATTGGTTATGGGGAATTTTCTTCCAGTCTCCGGGCACACGAGGTCTCCAGAGATGACCTCGACCTGCCAAGGCAAAAAGTCGAGCATTGTTGTTACTCTGGACGGCTGCCGCAAGTGCACCGTCTCATTCCCTCTCCTCTCCAAGATATCCCCACAGCCCTGCATCTCTGCAGATTACCTGCAGATCATTCGCGGATTTCTGCAGTGAACTAGCAGATGTAGATAAAAATTAATCAGATGATGTGGATACTAAAGGATGCGGACATCTGCGGGTCGAGATCTACTTTTTTGCTGAGGCGGCTCACAGTGTAGAGTGAATAAATATGTGATACTATGAATAGCATCATCGAATGTTTCGAGGGAGCAAATTACTGTTTTGGAGAAAAGGAGCCAATTGGGAAGAAAAATGTTATTTACATTAAAAAAAAAGATAATCTCATTTCTTTCAAGTTGTATTGCCACGATAGACCTTGTTGACACTGAAAGGTGTAGAGATGCTGCACTGGACCTACTTCGAACAGTGCATGGTGTGCCTGCTTCAAGAAGTCCTGGTCGTGTTCATAATTTGGAGCCAGACTCTTGGGCAGGTCCGCAGCACAGCCGAGCTGAAACCAGAGAATGTTGCTTTCTTTGAACTTGAGCTTTGCACGTGTGTGCAATAATCGGCCCCAGGTTGGGCATCACTGCCTTTTGCGACCCTGTGCGCCTCTATCAACCCCTCCAAAGTATGAATAAAGTATTAGCGTTAGTATTACTATAACATGTTTTTAGGGATTGCGTTTGTCTCTTCTTTTGTGCCGCAGCTTTTAGCTCGAGATATTAGCTATATTTTAAGTATATTCAAACATTTTCAGACGTCAATAAGATGAGCAACTGAATTTCTCATTAACTTGATTAAATAGCCGCAGAAAATAATCGTGTTCTATTCATATATATTTACTTTGACAATTCCAGTTTTCTGGGGATGCTGTCGGCATTCTTTATTCCCGAACAACCACAATAACGTCGAACCTTTGGATCGACGGCGTAAATTATTCAGAACAAGCCCCGCGCAACGAGCGCGTTCAAATCGTTGCCAGTGGCTTACGCTTTCGGCGGCTTGATACAGGACGTCCCAGTCCAGCTTGGGTATCATACGGCTCACGAACTCCGGGTTGAAGTCAACCGAGACTTCCTTGGTCTCCTGGGCCTGAAAAACAGCTGGAGTCGGACACGAGCCGAACTTACAACGGGACCCCCATTGCTCTTACCACGATGCCGAGAGGAAAGCCTACGTTGACACCCTTGATGCACTTGGACGTCATCATATTGTGGGTAAGCAACTTCATATTTAGAGTACGTCGGTAAACTACCCGAAGAAATCGCAGGAACAACGGTCCTCAAGAGGCAAAATAATGCCAAATTATTGAGCAGTGCAGACTGCAGCCGAATCACTCAAACAACCAAGTCGACGTGACTTGGATTGGATTCAATTGCCGGTGAACGTATCCGGCTCTTCGATGCATGAGCTTGGGTATGCTTTATCAAAAGCAAGTGACAAAGGAACTACAAATATGATTATTTACGCAACAAAATTTGTATTTAATTCTCATTTAAAATACTTTGATTACAATATGTTTTTGTTTCTCCAAGTGATAATGATGATGATGAGGCTATTCCTACCCGCGAACTTTAAAGTGTAACAAGCTAACGATGATAACCGATGCTATCGTTTTAAAGGTTTTAGGTTCTAGTACACCATATTAATGCTGCACCAATGCTAACCATCTTCTGCACGCTTCCATATTTGTCTGCTGGATAGCGGAAAAGATTCTGAGCACGCACAGTGGCTATATTCTGCGGAATGCAAGGTGCCGCACGTGCGTCTCAGTGCCTCTGCATTTTTCGCCTCAGTGCGCGTACTTTCTAGTCTGTAAGTCGCAACCATAGTTGGTATATAAGTCGCACTTATTTGCGGGGTCTGCGCGGCGAAACTTTATCAATTGGCATGTCCATATATGTGTATTATGATCTCAATTGTTACGCTAGCGGGTGCCATGCGTTTTCTCGCCAACGGATCGAAGTAGAAAAATCCGAGTGCATCTACGCGTAATGTGTGCCACAGCGACAGGAGCTCGCCACTTGCGTAATTCGGTATCATTATGGCGTCGCTGTCGTTTCTACGCTTCCCCCTGAGTCCTGAGCATAATTCCAAGAATCTTCACTTCATTTTTGCTTCCAATCTTGACTGCCCAACCCGTGCCTCGCAGGCGGAAAGTTCTCAAGTTTCGTGAAGACCTACGAAACCTAGGTCTTTATGAAAATGAATTTCGCAGTTTTAAAATAATCGCGAAAAATTTGTCTTGCAAATAATTCACCCTATGAATTATTCGCACCACGGATCATGAAAATTTGTGTCGGAGAAATAATTCCGAAACTAGTTGATTTCCGAGTTGCACGTGCATCACGTGCAGCACCATGTAGTAAATAAAAAGAACCCTGACAGACAGTGACAACACGGGCGCAATGGTGGACAGTGGCGCCATATAAGTAGCGTATATAGAACTTGCGAAAATTTTAAATACAGCACACCGCAATCTCAACACAGCACGTCGAAGTTCGTTTGATTGCGAGCTATGGCTCGGAAGTAAATAATTAAAAATCTTGCATAGCTTTTCTAACCTTTCTCTCCCCTTTCCCCGCCCCCTTTCCAGACGAAAATCTTGGGTGCGCCAGTGCATAAATATGTTTCTCCAAAAAAAAAAAAAAAAATCTCTGTACACAAAAAAAAAAAAAAAAAAAAAATCGCAGATCTTTAGGAGATGGACACTTGAATTCACGCGCACCGCCGATGTGGTCACGTTTGGTAAAGAAGTCCAAACGATGTACCTGTGGGGACATGTAAGTCGTCCAGTTGTTACGATACGATACGCGTATTTTATTAAAACCCTCGAACATGACGCATTGAGAAATTATCTGCGAACTTTGCAGATGAAGCTGTGCAAGAGGTATTAACATCACATGCGTGGTTTTTTTTCATATATTATTTTCCTTATACAGGATTATATCAGTACTGACTTTTTGTATAAAATAGTTGCCGAGATATTTGCACGTAAACACACGATCAACGATAATAATCCCTGGAGAAGGGGAACGAACGACGAATCGTTATTCTTGCCCAGCTCGCTTGCACCTTTGCATTAATCGCATTATCAACACGATCTTATGATTATATATATATTTATATATATATTACATCTGCATTTTGAATATATATTTCGCAACATTTTTTTGGTGAAAAACATGTAATAGGTACAGCCCCTCTACGGGGCCCCGTTTTCGAGTCTGCACGGGGCAGTACGCCCTGCACAAAAGCGATCCTGTCCGACATCCAGTCTCATCAAATTAAGGCAAAATTTTATTTAATTATTGTGCTAAGGAAGCAATACATAGCTAAAGGAATAATATATACTACATTATGAATGATAAAAGACATTATACAATAATTTAGGTAGGGTGACCAGGAGTCCCGTTTTGGCCGGGACAGTCCCGTTTTTGAGGTCCACCTCTCGTCCCATCTCTTTGTCACAATAAAAAAAAAAATCATGTCCGGTTTTCGCAGGAGTGCATAATTTCGAAATTGGCACCACGCGAGTTGAAGCAAACCGAAACTAGGCAACTGTACCGAAAGTATGCCTACTCGGAAATGGCTATACGCACGACGCTAAACTTGGTGGGTGTCGTATGAAACGAATAGTTACAAACAGCATCAGTTTGCAATAAAGAAGAAAAAAAGAAAAAGAAAGGTAGCGTAGCTGAGCGGGAAGGTGTCTGCTTCTATGCAGCGGACCCAGGTTCGATCCACAGAGAGTGGTTACTTTTTTTTTTTCTCTCTAACTTTTTTTTTGTTGAGCATTTGGCAATATTTACATTTCTTTTTTACATTAACACTAAAAAAAAAAAAAAAAAACGAATGTTGTTGACGACATTTTGTTGAACTAAACGGTATGGGACTCCCTTTCCTGGCGGCTTGGTTCATTGCTTGGGTTAGCCTGGATTGCCGGCTGGACGACGCCGAAGCGGAGTGTACTGTGGGGCCAAGTGGGTTAATAGTTTTGTGATGACCAGCCGCATACTGTCGCTGACAAGCGGCGTGAACGCAGGCGGGGGGTATTTACCCAGAGAGTAAAATTTAGTGCAATATGGTGACGTTATGAAATAACAGCAGTTTTTTTTTATTGAACATTTTCTTCCAATCTTAACCTTTAGTACAACCCCGCTCCTCCTCCTCCGCCCTCTCGCTGGGATGTCCCGTTTTCTACCTTGAGGAATATGGTCACCCTAAATTCAAATAATAATTATTATTCACAAATTGACGTTTCTGAAATTGACGTGGAACCGAAGCCCAAGTTCGGTTCCATGCGAAAAGATCCCTCTCATTCTTAATTAACTCCTCTCCTGACACGAACTTGATAAACTCTCAACATTCACGTTTTTTAGTTTGTCTGTAAGCTTTGGCTGGAGTTTGTTCAGAGGGCTCTAACATAGTATAAAATTCAAAAGCGCAAACAGCAAGGAAAAGAAGAGGGGACAGGACAGAGCGCTCTTCTTTTCCTCTTCTTTTCCTTGCTGTTTGCGCTTTTGAATTTTATACAATGTGTAGCCAACTAGCCCAACAGTTAATTTTGGCTCTAACATAAACCGTCTGTTCACAAGTTTGCATGCACACGAAAATTAACGTCAGCAAATAATTCTGCTCTAAGATAAAAAATAAAAATAAAAACTACAACGATAAAAAATTATTATTTTATGTATCAAATATTTTAGGCCGAGGCTACATCCACGCGCGGGGACGTAGCCAAGTCGGGAGGAGATAAGGCTCCATCCACGCAAAAGGTCACGTGACTTATAATATAAAGAGATAATTTGCTTTTGTGTACATATTATACCTTCTTATAAGTAAATATAGGATATAAAAATAAAGTGGTTATATTTCATTGTTGTTTTAAGGTTAATATGTCACGTGACCTTATAAATGTTTAGACAATTCATTAATGGTTTACTGTTTTCTAAGACTAATAGCAAATATGATGCATCATGAAAATAGTACCAATTGAGACGTTGCCTCGTCTTTTTCTACCTTCTGGTGTGTCCTCTTTTCTGCTCCAGTCTCAGGTTTACAATCATGTTCAATATATATCTTTATATTTATGTTGTCCAGGAGTCACACACACGTGTGGGCGGCGTGCGTGCCATCCGCGCGTGCGGGCGGTGCGGGTGCGGCCTCCGGGGCCTTCGCCCATGTGCGCATCGCTGCTGAGGCGAGGCGGAGAGGCTTCGTGGTGTGTGTGGTTGGCTTGGTTCGAAGCCTTTTAATGTGAGCTTATGTGTACCGAAGGGGACAAGTACGTGCCCACCGCTTCGTACGTTCTTGATTTGCGCGCACGCTTGCAATCACACAAAGATTGTGAGAAAAGGGAAAACATGCACTAGTCCCATGAATAACAAACATACTGAGAGCATTCAATCGAGAAAACTGGGTAAAAGATTCCAGAAACGGTTTATTCCATGACAAATAAGACAGTAGCCGATGCGCAGATGCCACTCGTCCACGAGATCACCGATGAACACGAAGCCCTGCTTGCGGCAGAACTCCTGCAGGAGCCAGTTCACGTCTCTGTGCCGATCATTCAACGCCTGGATATCGGCACTCTTACTACGCTGACACTCCATCGAAGAGAACCTGTTCCCCCGCCTAGGAAGGACGGAAGAAAAGGCGATCTGCATCGTCGATTGCGTCCCAAAATCTGAGCGGCCAGCCAACAATACTTGTCAACGTACGCGCTGGCACAAACGCTGGTGTTGTTTGTACCAAAATCGAGCAGGGCGTCAGACACCTTGGAAAACAAAGCCTCGATCCTAATGCCACTAAACGCCCGCACTTCGACAGCCTCCCGATTATTCGATGGGAAATACTAGGACAAGTATTTCACCGTCGAACCCCCGGCAACCAAAACTTGAGGCAGGAAGCGCGACCGTGCTAATACTCAAACGGCCAAGCTCCTTGTCCGAGAAAACAGAAATAAAATAAAAACGCTTCAGAGAAAGTCAAAACCGCTTGCGGAAGACCAGGCAGGCACAGTAGACAGTAGTCCGCGCACGGCAGGAACGCAAGGTGCAACGGCCGCCAAGCAATGGAAAAACAATGGGCGCAATGGGAGGCTAGACCGGAAGTTGATCGTAGTGCGCCGGAAGTGACGTATTGCGTGGATGGAGCCTTATCTCCTCCCGACCCTCCCGACGTGGCTACATCCCCGCGCGTGGATGTGGCGGCGCCCTGGAATTGGCGCGGACACTGGTCTATTTTATGCAGTACCAAGTTGATCTGTGTTATGAAAACCTGTGTTCAAGCTAAAAAGAAATATATATATATATATATATCTGGGCGAATCATAACTATTCTTTCAATCAAGGTTAGTGGAAGCGGAAAACGCAACGAAAGACCGATTAAATTGCGGAACACGCGAAACCGAAACATAGAGGGCGATTCAAATTCGCATCGTTGAACGAACGCTCAAAACTAAACTCAAGAAACCGAAAGTGAAAGCATGACTGAAATCGCTATCGCTCGCCGCTAGAGGGAATGCGAGAGTTTCCGGTTTTTGCTCATTTCCGGGTTTTGCAATTTGTAGTTTGTAGTTTTGTAGCTTTCTCCGGTTTTCTAGTGTCTTTCGGTATTTCCGTGGTGTTCGCGCCCGTATCCGTGCAAGAATGATTGAACGCTTGAATCGAGATTCTGCGTAATATGCGTGTCGCTGTTCGCTTTTAGCGAGTGGTTGGAAAGCCCTGCACGCAATGGGTAAGTTCGAGCTCGGTCTTGCGCTAGCTTGCCTTGCGATTTGCGCGTCAAATGTGGGCGTGGATCATTGGTCCATCTCGTCGTTTCTGCATGTTCGCTTCACATGCTGTGGGCGCGCATGATCACGAAGCGCCCTGGAAAGGCAACTACTTTGAGTGGTGATGCATAGGGGAAGGCGGTGGCTGCAATGAAGTGCCTGTTAATTCCCCTGCTCCCGAGGCACTGCTCACTCTGCTTCTCTCACTTAGCCAAAAATACAGATGACATCGCCGACATCCTCTCGGAACTCAAGCTCTCGGCTCAGCAGGAAAAATCTTTGGATGAGTCTGCTCTTCTCGGTCACCTGAAGAAGCTGCTCGCTGTGATCAACGCTGATGGTAAGCCACGAACGCCACTTGGTGCGGTTTCATTGCACCATGTGGGCAGTTCTTACTTCTTGCTGCTACAATAGACCATTTGCTAAATCCCCCAAGCGCCCCGGCGCGCACTCGAGGAATCATGGGAACGGTGTTCCTTCAACTCCCTAGTCATCGGTAATTTCGGCCGCTTGCATGGTTACAGTTTTGGGTGTACTACAGACTCACCCTGAACAAGCCCAAGGACCTGTCATATCACTTTTAAAATTCTTCGTCAATGTCAGCGTTTTCGATACTGTGCTTGCTGTCCACCCTTTAACCTGGTTGACCTGCAGAAATCTCTTACATTATTATCATTCTCGTACAGCTTCAAAGACGCTGATATTAAGTTAGAAACACTGAAAATGCTATATATAGCCCTGCTGACTCCGAGCTAAATCCTGTTTTTGTTGTTGTGAATTCTCAGATTTTTAAGAAATTCCAGCTCAAACAACAGTCACGAGAATAATAATACTGCAAGAGGTTTCTGCAGCTCAGGCAGGTTGAAAGGTGGATCGCATGCACGGTATCAAAAATGCTGACATTGACGAGAAATTTTAGACCTGATATGACAGGTCCTTGGGCTTCATAAGGCGCTTGTTCAGGGTGACTCCGAATTACACTCAAAACAGTGTAACCATGGGATTGGTAGAAATTACGGCCCACTAGGGAGGTGAAGGAACACTGTTCCCATGATTCCTCGAGTGCGGGCCGAGTGCGGGCCGGGGCACTTGAGAATATAGCAAATAGTCTTTTCCTAGGTCTCTAAATTTGTTTGAAATTCGGTATACGTACAAGTGTGGCAAAATTAAACTGATGTCGGTGCAAGGTGCGAAAGGCTCTACGGCTAGCGCGCGCACATGGTGCAGTGACCAGTGTCATCGACAAAATATTACCATGGCCCTCACGATGCACGTTCAAGCTGTGCCTAGGCCGTTTTATGTTTACGAACTACTGCCCATCTCCTTCGTGCCCTCGAGAAGACTCAGTCGCTCACATCAGCTGGGATTTTTTTTATCGTTCCACAATCACTGAATACTTGAAACCTATGAAAACAGATAAGTAAGGTACCTTCAAAGATTTCCTTAGCTGTGCCATTCAGATTTTCCACAATTATATCCCAAAACTTGTATTGAATCCTATTTATTGGATTTTTTTGAAGTGACATACCTTCCAGAAGATTGCAATTAATTTTTATATGGAAAAATATTCTTTGGTTTTATTAAGTTGTTTGTTCTAGTGAATGCCAAATATTTGTTGAAAGCTAAAAATGGGATGCCTTGAATCTTTCCTTAAGAGAACCTAGCTCATTCATCTTTTTCTTTCTTGAATTACATAAAATTGGGGGAATTGGTGGACTCATTTAGGAACTGTGCAGTTTGGAAGCTTGAAAATAATGCATGGCTGATGTCCTCTCTCGGTTCCCCGTGCCTGAAAGTGGAGGGCACGCATTTTCCCAGACATCACCCGTCACTTTTTTTTTGTGCCGAAAAGAAACTGCAGGGCAAGACCAGACGCAGGTGGCGGAACGACTTGCCAGGGGAGGCTTTGCGAGCACTGTCAAGGAGCTGCTCAAGCTGACCTCTACCACTAGGCCCGAGGTGCTCGTGCTGCTGGTGCAGGCCATCGCTGAGGCTGCCAAGAACGGTGGGCACCTCTCACCTTGTTCAGCTGTGCAGCAAAGCATTTTTGTTCTTGTTATCTTGATCTGGCAAAATATTAATGGTCATTGATTGTCATCAAATTTTCACCAGGTGCTAAATAGCCACCCCTGAGTATGTCTACCAAATTACCAAATCGCTATCATCAAAATGTGCATTATCTCGCGAGAAAATAAATTTGCACACACCCCTCCGAATTTCTGTCTGCCGCTCTACTGGCAACAACGAGCAGCGGTGGTGCTGGGATCATTGTGACGTCAAATGTTGTATCCGAGAACAGGCGCTCCCTTCTCTACGGCGTTGCACATTCAAGCAATAGTGAGCACCTATGGTTTTACGGATTGTGTCTGGTTTAGACTGTTTGGGGCGTGCAATGGAGGGTGGAGGGAATTGGTGTTGCGCTGTGGGGTGCAATAACACCACGAATAAACGCGGCAGGGCGACATTCATCCGTTTCCGACCAAGAAGTCTCTGCGATGGAAGTGGGTCCGAGCAGTCCGACGCAAACACTGGGTTCCAGCGTTCTGCTTTAGGCTCAATTTTATGTAATCTTTCAGAAAATATGTTTAGTTGAAAACATTCATATTGACTCTGGAGCTCCCCCTTACCCTCATGACGGCCGAGTTTTTTTTTTCTCGCAGTATGTTTCCCAGTGGTTGGGTTTTGTTTTCAAAGGAATAGCGCAAAGAATGGTCAATGCACAAACTTGCTGAATTATCTAGCAGGAGCACATACAGTGCTTGCAAGCTGTTCAGGTTTAGGATATACTGAAGGCAAAAAGCTATCACTTTTCTTCCATTCGGTTTCATTTTTGCACATCCACTTCCGCAACCTTCTGGCGGTTTCAGATTCCAAACCTTACAGAGCTCCTTTATTGGATGGTAAGCTCTCATACTCCAAATTAAATTTTGAGTAACCTTCGGTGTCTGAATTGAAAGAGCCGCGCTCCAATCACCACTACCGCCAGAACAGCCAACATGCGAAGCGACCACCTTTCGCGCTTCAGGTGCTTGGAGCGTCCAATTTCAAAACTATAAATGACCCAGCGAAGCGAATCACTGTGCGAATATAAAGTATCTAGTTTGCCAAAGAAATAACAAATAGCAACACCTCCCGCGGTGTACGCAGTTTCGCGTTTAGGCGGCACTTTCAAATATGTAATTGCCGTCGTAGACGTACAACAATGACTGTCAAAGGGATAAAGGCCGACCTACAGAACCATGTGCTGGGAAGAAAACCGGTTTCCAGTTTCCTTCTCTTCATTTCCTCTCGCATTCTTCTCCCCTCCTCTCCCCACAGGAGCGGTTCTCTGAGCTACTCTCCGCAGGAAGGTGGAGAATCTCCCTCTTTCTCGACTGGAGAGGAAGAATTGAGGGAGAGTCTACTCCTTTCTGGTTGCTTGTCTTCTACCTTTAAGAGGGAAGGTTCAGAAGGATTTTCAGATCTATGCAGGGAGCAAGTTGCCTGCTTCTTGCACAGGGGTTGCGGTGACATTAGAATGACACAGAGTTCTGACTGGCTTTGGTTGGAAGGATAGGGAGTAGACCTCGATGCTAGATGTCTGAAGGATCAACCATAAGTGCTTGGCGTTCTGACATCATTGCAACCCCTGCACAAGAAGCAGATGAACTTGCGCTCCGCATATGTTCTCTCACATTACCCAGTCTCAAGTGCCACTGCTGGGCTCATTAGTACACCAGCGAAATTTACTATGCTTCCTTGTAAGATGTGAACGTAGCATTAGAGAAGTGTTAACCTTTCTGAGATATATTTTCGTCAGTAGAAAGAGCACAATCCATAAAATGTAACTTCACTGACCATCCAAAAACAGAAAACATGTATTCTTAAGAAGACTTTTATGCACTGTCACATTGTTTTGTTTTTTTATGCATATATGCATCTTTGTGGCAAAACATCAGTGGGTGGTGTTTTGACCATAATCTGGTGTCTTGCATGAAAGAACATATTATATTTTTGGGGTGACAGAGGCCTTTGAATTAGACACAACTTATGAGCTCGGTGAATGAGTACCATTTGCTTTGTACTACAATTTCTTACCAGTCTGCTGTCTGGAACCTCATTGCACACTGAGGATGATAAACCCATTTAAATTTCAGATGTGTTGAGGAAACTCTGCTCGGATCCGGCTGTCATTGAACCACTACTGGGGCTTGTTCCTTCGTCCAATTACGGCGTAGTACTGCAGGCTTGTCGCGCCCTTGGAAACATTTGCTACGACAACGGCAAGTTCTTTTTTTTTTACGAATTGCGGGACTTCCCTTGCATACCTAAGGTGCATTCGCACATTTGTGGTCCACTGCTTTCGAGTGTAGAACGACATACCATACTTGCGGTCGCTTGCAGAAGCGTGTCACCTTACAACAAGGCAACACTTGCCGATTCGCATTGCTCCGCAATGCACCGCAAGGAAGTGGGAGCGAGCTCAACTTTCAGGTGCGGACAGGTTTGCGGAGAGTTGCTGTGACCAATCAGAAGCTGAGAGAAAAAAGGGAGGGTCTTGCACTTGCCTGCGCCCATTCGTGTTATGCATCCAGTTTCCCATTTAGAGACGAGCTTCTAGCTTTTGCTTTTGGGGAACAGTGGGGACTTGGGAAGAGGTTACTCCAGGGTTGCGAGAGAACAAGGTGAACAGAAGTCTCGGAAGCCAGTGGGATCACCCCAAGACCAGCCATGTAGACACTGTAACTGTTTATCACCAGGCATTGCCATGTTTATTATGAATTTCACTCGCTATTGGTGAGCTGCAAGTGCCAATGAAATTTTCTAACTGACTAAGGACTGTGATGGTTTGCGTTTGAATTAGTCGTGTGTGAATAGTGAATTTTGAGTTCGAAGAGAATTCGAAGCGAGTAGTGGTTTTGGTCGAATATTTTTTAATTGAATATTGAATAGTTTCTCTAAGCCTTTCACTACTGCACCATGCTTAAATGAAAACCCAGCTGAACTTGTGAAGGTTGTCCCCAAGCTTTCATATGACCATTTCTAAGCTAAATGAGGTTTAATCAAAGTATATTTATTGACTGTGGTCTCCGAAAGTTCAATGCCTACATTGGGATGGCAAGTAAACGGCACATTTGACATAATATTAAACCTATAGAAATGCCTAGCTGTACTTAATCAAGGGGTTTTATAAATATTCTCGCTATATGGAAATATATTTTCTTCAATCACGTATGATAAACACAGGCTGTTAAAGCATCTCCACCTAACATACTCGTGCATGCCAGTTATGAAAGTTTTACTGCAATGTAGATTTCAACATTCACAAATTTCCCGTTTTTTTTTTAAGCACACCAGGCACGTATGTGCATCATCCCACTTTGGAAATTAGCTTTCCTCCTAAGCACGCAGCTGCGATATTTGTACTTTTCGAAGTGTTGATTGCGGCGGGCAAGGCCCTTTAAGTGCGCTTCTTACCAAGCATGTGTGCGCTGCAGAGAAGCCACACCCGAGAAAGCAAGCTCCGCGGGTGTTGCTTCCCCGCAGTGCACTGGTGCTCGGTAACAATTGCGTTCAGCGGGACTAACCTGCCGCGATCCACACTTCGAAAAACATGTATATTGCAGTTCACCTCGAAGCAAATATTGAAGCGTATTATTCTGAACTACTATTCGATAATAATATTCACACAACACTACTTTTAATGCAACTGTGTGTGCAAGCCTTATGCAGATGTGCTCCGCAACATTCTGCATTTGTCTTTCCGCAACCGAACGCACTGCACTCGGACGCAAATCTGTGAACCAACCTTTATCGGTTTTATAAAGTTTTGGTTTGTACATACTTGACGACTGCCAGCTCTTAAAGTTAATTTCAAAACAGAAACAACTACATTTATTGCAAGAACTTAAACACACATGCTACGGCAGTCCCTAACATGTGTGCCGTGTCAAAAGAGCTGAAAAGTATCGTTGTTCTGAGTCGATGGCAACTCTGTACTCCTTTTATTATTTATTTTTGCATCTGCTCTCTGTGAGCTTCCGCACGTTTTCATGGCCTCGGCCATAAGAAAGTTTGGAACCCTGGAAACAAGCGAGAAATTCTGATTCTGGTTTGTGATTGTACCTGCTGCAGATGAAGGCAGGGAGATTGTGCGTTCCAAGCAAGGCATGGAGCAGCTGCTCCAGCTTCTTCAGAACCTCCTAGAAGTTGACTTGAGGCCGGATAATTTACATACAGTTGTGTCTGGCTGCCTCCTGAACCTAACAGACATGCAGGGTGAGTTCTTGGTCAGTGCAGCGGTTTGCGTTTGCTTTATGCGCCATCAGCTGCCCAGGCTTCTACAGGGAAGCAGTAGAACCTACAGACTTGTCTGCCTTTGTTTGGAGTCAGTTTCATTGTCTCGCCATAGGCACTCTGTGTGCAAGGGCAGATTTGGGAAGGATTCGGCTAGGGGAGTGGTATGCAGAGAGGTCTAACATCACTGATGGATGTGACATCACGGGTTAAAGATCTATTTTGTTGAACTAGTATTTTCTATAGAAACTAAACATTTTTACCTAAAAAAATGCTAGTGTATGTCATTCTTGCCATCAAAAAGGTTGCTCTTAAAAAGCTTAAAGGGGGGGGGGGGCTCCCCCTCCCCCCTTTAACCTCCCCTCCTTCCAAGCTTAAATCCGCCTCTGTTCTGTAGTGAAAATTTTTTACTTTTTTTTTGCTTATTTCTTTTGCTGTTTTCCAGAAATTCAGGATCAGGCTCTACAGTTGGGCATCACAGACATCCTGCTGAAATACCTGCAGAAATTTTCTAATGTCGACGATGTGGCTATGCACTGTGTTCTTGTCCTCAATGGCATTGCTGACTCAGGTGAGCGTTGCTGGGCTACGAGAAATTCTTAGTGGTTGCTCAGAGTACCTCCGGGAGATGACGCAAGCACTCAAACTTCCTTTATTCCTTCTCCCGAGCCATGTATTGATGTATAACTCTTGAAGTGCTACTTCAAGGGTCTATGCAAGACTGTTCCAGTTGGCAGAAGTTCATATCTTCAAAAAACGACGAGACAAAAATTATTTTTTTTTCATTAAGTTTTTTAAGCACCTTTTGAACACCTGGCTACGCTTTGGTTCCGCGCACTAACGTTGTGCCAATTGTTTCAGACTGTGGACGTAAGCATCTTTTGGAGACTCGCACCCTGTCATTGCTGCTGGCCAACTTGGACAGAAATTTTTCGGTGGAGGTGATAGAAGTCCTTCTGGAACTGTTTGGAAACCTAGCTGAGAATGGTGAGTGTCTCCAAACACTGCAGCATTCACCACATTGAATTGCCATGAACCAGTTTAACTTTGACTTCCATTTTAGGCTGTTGCTTTATTGGTGCAGGAAATGCGGTGGCAGTCAGTTAATTGAACGCCGTTTTAACGACAGTTTGCTTCCTCGAAAGACTCCGCCATTCGTTTCATTTACACATCTTGTCACATCTCGTCAACAACTTATTTCCATGCTCATCTCTTTGGCTGCCGGCATCCTGATGGTAGCCTAGCTTGCTGAACCCTCGGCAGTTCTGACGGGGCTTGCACTAAGCTCGAGTCTGTTTGGAAGCCTAGCATTACTTGGACTCTCGGATTTGTTTTTGGCATATCGAACCTGCCTGCGTGGCTTTGTTTTTCACGCAACTAAACCCATAGGTACAACTGACCTCGCCCATTGTCTTTCCAGATTCCGTGAAAGAAAATCTTGCACAGCTTGGATTTTGCGAGAAACTTCTAAACGTGCTGAGACAATTCCAGGGCAGCTCTTCGCCCTCGGAAGAAAAGCAGAATGTTGTCAAGACTGTCTGTGACCTCATTGTTCTGATTCTGACTGGCGGTAAGTGCATAAAGAAACATGCAGTTCTCAATTGTGAAATGCTGTTTTGTCATTTCTACATTCTGCACATTTCTCAACAGATGCCAGCATGCGGCACATGTACCAAAATGGCAGTGGGGCAGTTTACAAAACGACAGTGTCGTGGCTCCAGTCCGACGATGACACTTTGAAGGTGGCCGGCGCTCTGGCCACCGGAAACTTTGCAAGAAAAGGTGCTGCTCAATTTGCTCGCTCAGTGTAGCTCTCGGTAACAGAGTTTCTAGTTCATTGTAACTCGTTTTTAGAATTCACTGGATTTTTCTACTCTTAAAAATTTCTCAAGCTCCTCGAATTCGCATTTTTGAACCTGATATTTGCCCCTTGGATTCACACAAGACTCTGAGGTGTTAGTCCAAACAAACTCGCAAAGGTAGTCGTGGTACGTGACAGGAAGGTCTTGAAAAGGGACTTGCTGGAAACCGAGTGGCAGCCGACATTTTGCTTAAGACAGTTCACACATTTGCGTTTGACGGTGACCGACTGTGTTACGACCACTTGGTGCGTTTGACTGTGACCGACTGTGTTACGACCACTTGAAACTGATGAGAAAATGCACTAACAGGCTGGCATCGCCTATAGCCTGGCATGGAATACTTCTCAGTGTAGACTCGAGGTTTTGTGGTACGTAGTTGCAAGGGTGTTTTTAAGCAGTCGCGAGCAGTTGTAACTCGTTTGGTCGTGGTCAAATGCAAATGTGTCGGTCGGCCTTTGTCTTCTTTGATGCCCCGAGGTTTCTGGACGGTTTCCTTCGCAAAGTCTCGGGTGTCAGGAATATCGAAGGGATCATCTCGTTAAGGATGACCTCTATGCAATTCATTTTCAGCTAGCAGCAACATCCTCTTTGACAAATCGCTAACTCTTTTCCTTGTCGAAATAAAAAGGCTTTAAAAAGGACCGATCGTTTTTAAAGGACGGAGAAACTCGGTTACGACGGAGAATCCGCTCGTTGATTGGACTCGGGGATTGCGACGATCGTTGCGGGAGCCCCTGGTGAGTTTCCCGTGCTCTCCTCTCTCCCCAGACGACCACTGCATCCAGATGGTGCGAGATGGGGTTGCCAGGCGCCTGCTGGACCTGCTCAATGATCAGACGGGAAACGATGGGGACATCCGCCTTCAGCACGCCCTGCTGGCAGCACTGCGCAATCTCGCCATACCCTGTGAGGGCTGCGCCTGCCTCCCCAAGGGTACTCGTGGGACCAGAATGGGGCAAATGCCGCTGTTGGTGGTCCCGGGAGAAAGAACGGGAAAGAGAGCGACAGAAAAGTGCAGAAAGAAAGCAGACAATCGGTTAGGCGCGTTCGTTCTTTCCTTGACGAGCCGAAGTTGTTCGAGGGCTCGTCAACTTTATCTTTCTTGGTACGGTGCACGATGCCTGTGTCTTTTTGGCGAAGTAATCTAGAAAAGTATTATGCACAGACCTTACTTGGGATGTTTTGATGCTTCTATGTGTATATTAGGGTGTCGCCAGCGATATGGGCCTGTCGGGGCACCCCACTGGGGCCGCCGACGAAAGCGTCTACATTCCAGCCGCTTTGAAAGGACTGGGTGTCTTTCGAAACTGGCCGTAATGCGTGGAATCTTTTTTTCTAGATTATTACATTAACCCTGCCTGCCACCACAGCGGGCTTGAAGTAACTCGGCCCGTCACCATGACGGGCGAGTTCGGTCAAAACCATTTGCTCGTGGTTGGGTGCGACGCACTTCGAACAAGTTCCCGTCTGTTATATGCAAGCTTGTATCTTTGACATCGCTGCGCGGCGGTAGCAGCGGTTCGACGTTTCACGCACACATTGTGGGCATTTGGCACATGCATGTTTCACACTATGTATAAGCTAGCAAAAGCTACAAGTGCGAGCTCTCCGCTCTGAACGGCCTTGCCGAGCATACAAGCTGGTGCGGCACGAGAGCATAGTTTGAGGCAGCGAGCTCGCTTGTAGGTTCGGCTTTGCTCGCGTTCATAGCGGTGTGGGAAGGAAGAAAGTGAAAACAAGAGAAAGACAGACAGGGTTAACATGGGGAATTGTCCCAGTTGGCTAACCGGTTCCAAACAGAGGTAGCCTCCTGCACATGTGCAGTGTCCACAATTTTTGGGTGACCGCAAGCTTGTTTGTCAACAGTGAGTTGGTGTATAAAATGTGATTTGTCCGAGTTGCATGTATTGTAGTCGGGAGGTTGTTGCAAGTTCTCCGCTAGGTGCGGCAGGCTGCTGTGCAAAAGTTCTAGTAGAGGTAATTTTGGTTGGTGAAATTTGTATAGAACATTTCTTAACAATAACCCTTAATGAAGGAATCAGAATGTTATAAAATGCTGAAATCTAAATGTTTAGAAAGATCCTATTAAAATAGAAACACTTTCAAATTTATTTTAGCAAATGTATTTATACTATATTTGGCCACACATTCCAGGAGGTTACCTTGCAGAAATGTGAGATGTCTAGAGTCGCCAGTAAAACCGAGACAAAATGATTCATGAAAATGTCAAAACACATGCAATTTGAGTTATGTTTAGACTAATGTGACGGTTCTATGCCACATATCTCTCTGCAATGGCTAACAAGGGCTGGCAGTATCTGAATTCTTTTTGGAAATACAGAGCTTTCATTATTTTTTTGGTGTTGTCGTAAGCTTTGTGACACGTCACAACCTTGGGCTGGCAGCTTCAGCAGCTGATGCCTTGCAGGGGCATGGTATAACAATTTCCTTTAGACATACATTGTTCAGCTGCCTGCTGTGAGACTTGAAAATGTTCGTTGCTGGGCGAGTCTCTACTCACGCTATGACTCAATGTTTCTCTGACTTGTCATTTTCAGTGGCAAACAAGCCCCTCCTTGCAGAACTTGGGGCTGTGGACAAGCTACTGTCGATGCTGGCAGTGGAAACATTCCCCGTAGTTTTCAAGCTCCTTGGTACGCTCAGGATGTTGGTGGACAAGCAAGGTATGTGCGTACTGAACTTCACATTGGTGCATTTGTTCTGTTTAGATAAAAAAAAAAAACTACTGCAGGCACACCCAGTGAGTGTAGAAATAAAAATAACAAAATAAAAATTTTAAATAAAACTTTCCTCAGAAAGGCCAAGAAAATTTTTACTTGACTCTGCTTTTGACTTGACCAACGTGATCCTGAAGGATGCATTGGTTGTGCCAGAAACGACAAATTGTCTCATGAACACTGTCGTTGCAATTCTTGTGTTTCTTAAATTATTTGAAGTAGATTTAGTCTGGCATAGTGTGGCTTTGTTGGTGTTACATCATTAAACTGCTAATCATGATTGTCATCACCCTTTTTTGAGCGACTCTGCGTAGAACTGAAGACCGTTTTCTTGCTTGGCATTGTCAAAATTTATGAGGAAGCACACAAACGTCCGTATGTGGTCTGGTACCATGCATTCCTCATCTTTTTTCTTCCATATTTTTTCTCATTTGCAGAGGCAGTGGCCACCAAGTTGGGTCTCAATGAACAGTTAGTGAAGCACCTGGTTACGTGGTGCAGCACCGAAGACCACCCGGGCGTGAAAGGTGAAAGATGCCTTCTGGAGCTTCGTGTAGTGCTGAGAGGCAGAATCCCGATATTGAATTTTCACTTGAGAACCCCAGAGTTCCCTTCTACGAGGTTATGTTGGCCTACTTTCTTCAACATCTCATAATGAGCCTCCATGGTGGCTCCTTGGCAAAGCACACGCCTACAGATCCTCATTTGACGGCTTCTAATCCTTGCCATGGTGCCTGCAATCTGACAAAGTCTCCTTGTGATTTTGCTTCGTTTGTAATGCCTGTCTAGGAACCTTGACAGCTAGTGACGGTAACTGTCTCGCCTCCGGCCACGACGAGAGAAGAGGGGAAGGAGGAACTCCTCTCTTCCCGAGAATCCCTTTGGTGTGTTCCAGAACTAGCTATTGTCCTCTACAAGCTTATAAAAGATTAACCCGTCACTTAAAGTTCGTACAAAAGCAGCCGCTTCGATGGCTGGAACGACTAGGCCATCCTCTCGACGTCAGCCTCGCCATAGCTTTGCTCGTCCCGAGACGACCTGCGTCACGATTGCGTCGGATGTCACGTGCTCTAAGCTGGGCCTTCTCCGAGCGCTTGCCAGAGTGGGCCGTTTATAACGAAAAATACAGCCACCAGGCACAAAATACAAACGTGCGATTGTCATTTACGGATATTGTGGATCATATTCAACCTATTTTTGAACACGACGGGAATATTTCAAATTTCGTTGAAGTGTCCCTTTAAATATCCTGGCCAACTTTTTTTGGCTCCTTTCTCCCATTACACTTTTCTGTGACGTGCGTCGTGAAAGTGGAAATGGAGGGCAATATTTTGATTACTCGGGATTTACTGTGTGCAAGGCGGTGATCACATCGAGAGTATGACATCATTACGACAATAAGCAGCTGAAGAAAGCTACTGATGGAGAGTGAATTATTCAGGGAAATTTAGACCTTATAATTTAAGATAACATAGCTGGGCTACTGTGTGTTAAATGGAAGCTAGTAGTTCATGTTGAGGGGCTTAATGATGAAGTAAATCTGCAGGTATGTTTTCTTGTTATGGGGTATATTTTCTCGGACAAATGGTCTTTCTTTGGCAGTTTTGAAACTGAACATGGTAAGACCACCATGCGACTTCCAAGACATGTACGAGCTTGGAAACGAAAATGCAGAAGTGTTCAGAATTTTAGGTCGATTCAGGTAAACACTAGAAAACATCAGATATATTTTGGCAAAAAAACAGCTCAGATTTCCAACTCCAAACATGCAGACGGCTAGTAAATAACAAACTGCCATTATGACGAACAACAGTGAATAAAGCATAAAATTTCGAACCAGCTCTTCATCTGAAATCTTAATCTGTTCGTGACAACCTACCTACCTACTCGCGCAGTAAACGCAGTCTGCTCAAGAGTTGAGATTGTCTGGGGTCCTATAGCGAGTTTTGTTTAGACAGGTAGCGCTACCCAGTGCAGAATCCTTGCTACTCCGCGTCTCCGACTAATGTGTTTACCGCGTCCAAAAGAAAGTGGCCTCTCGATTTCTGCTCGATGACATCATAAAAGTGTCACGCCGTCGCCGGTCGCGGTCCTGGCGGCGTCACGTCAGCGATGGTGCATGTTGCAGACCTCCGTTTTGCTGCAAGTCGCTTTCCAGCTTGACAGTCCACGGGAGCTTCAGCAACCAGGAGTTGGGGCACCGTGACGACAGCGACACTTGCGTCGGCTCGTGCTTTTTCCGGAACTTCTATGTTCAACCAACAGGATCGCGGCATCCAACAGCCTGACACTCCGGCTTTTGTGACGTCTTTTCTCGCCACTTGGGGAACATTTTGGATGCACGGCCAGAATAGGATGCTAAACGCACCGGTTGGAGATGCGTTGCAGGCACCGTAGTGGCACGTACCACTTAGGGTTGCCCTCCATGGTCATCAGCCGTGCTGGCTAGTGGACGGTCCCAGAGAAACCGAGTGGTAGAACCAGGGTATCGCTTTCCTTTTTGGTTTGCCGGAAACTCCTCATTGGGGGAGAAGGGATCATGTACCCAAAAACACGCCGAAGCGCTGCGGGAAAGCGACCTGGCAGAGCGCCGATTTTGCAACGGGATACATCCTTCGCCTCGCTTTCGCAAAATGTAGATCTTACATAAAAGTTTGACAAGCATGAAGCTTGACAAGCTCGAAGCTTGAACATTGCAAACGATATTCGCTTGCAATGTTTTTCACATTTACATTCCGGGACATTTCTTCCGGAACCCCCTACCAACCACGCTATTAGACGGCGGTGCTTGCAATGGACTTGTTCCAAAACCGACGCGCCCCATTGCGGCGAAATACCACGCAGTGCACTCTGGGAACTAGTTGGCCACTCAGTTTCGGTTTCGACTGAGCAGCTTCATCTCATGCTATCACGCCGCGACCGAACGCGCTGCTTGCGTTTTCGATTATCTGACTTTTCACGAACGTACAATGCACTCATTTTCGAGCGATACAATACGAAGACCGGGGCACTTTCCTTGGTTCCCGAAACACCGGATATTGTACGTGCGTATGCGAACGTAGTAAGTCGTGGCTTAGTCACCTCACCCCACGAGTGCATGTTTGAGCTCAACTTCAATAATCCCGTCTAGTACCAGTGAACTAGAACTGAAATTTGTTCATCCTTACACGTATTTTTTTTTTTTTTGCCAAACGTCCGCTTTTTGTTACTTCATTGGGCGAAAAGCAAGCCGCATCCTCACAGGGTATCAAAGTTGAGCCCAGCGTTTACGCATGAACTTTTAAGGAAACGCAATAAATTCGACTACACTACTGCACAAAAGTTACTATGATGTCTTCCTCGTGTCATCACCTATCTCACACTCAAATTTTATGCTGATAGAAGATTAACTTTTCGCAAACGCTGAGATCGGCTAGCTACGACGGAGCCCCTAACAAGCGTCCCCTACTCCTCGCTAAGCCTTTTTGGACGAGCTTCTACTGACGCCCACGATCTGTGCCTGAACGGTGTGTCTGAAATTATCTCGGCATACTCGGGCAGGAAGAAAGCAAACACATAACAAGTATTATGGCCATTAGCAACCGTCAAACGCGCTTTGAATTCGTTCGAACGCTCGTGTGAAGAATGTCGCACCGTGCGCCGGACGGGCATGATAGGGGTTCATGCCCGTCCGGCGCACTTCCGGCGAACGGTGCGACATTCTTCACACAAGTGCTCGACTTTTGCTTTCTTAAAACGGTCTGTATGTGCGAATTTTCCCATATGATTGCAGGATAACTTTATGCGCATACGCGATGTTGAATATTAGTGGAATGCAAGCGGGTGGGAACTTCACTTCGTGCAGTGCTGCGGGTCTGTTCAGATAAGAGATAAATAAGAGATAAGAAGTGTGCTAAAATTTAGCTTTTCAATTCCGAGTTTTACCTCGCATACTCAGGCATATTAAGAAAAACAGTAATAGCAAAAAGTAATATTTCGTGTATGGACGCACGAAACAAACTTTCTGATCAACAACACTAATGTAAAGACACGAGCTCGATGTATGCATACTTATTGGTTGCTACAGCTTGTTGATTCGTACACAAGCAAGATCCCAAGATCCCCGGAGCTTCGCAGCGTCGAGATTCCCAGCACTGGCTCGTCCACATACACCGATTGGTGCGCTAACAGGAAGGCTCAAGTACAAAAATACAACAAGCATGTGTTAAGACAAGCTATACGTCTCAGGCTTGTGCTAAAGCTTTGAGGTCTGGCCATTTAGGTTAGTTTAGAGACCACAAATGACGCTCTCGGGACCAAAAAACAATCTCTTGTCGACGTGTCTATCGAAACCGAAACCATGCCACCCTCCTCCCTGGCCAACTAGTTCCCAGAGTGCAACGCGCGCCGTGTTGCATGCAGGGCTTTATGGAAGTAGTCTATTGGAGCAGGAACAATACAGCCATAAATTAAAGGGGTAATCAAAGACTTTTAGTTCATTGCCCAACATATTTTACCGTATATTGGTGCTTCCAACGTCCACCAACCTTGAACAGTACATATTGAAGACAACATCCCCACAGCACAAAGCCCTATTCGAGAAAACGTGTTTGAAGACTCCAATGTCGATCATTCCCAAGGCACGCACATGCGCTCTCATGTCGCGCGCTCTAATGGCACACGCTCTCATGTCGCTGTGCTCTCCCGTCTTGCGCTCTGGTGTCGCGGCGCTCTACTGTCGGGCACTCTCGTGTCGCGCACTGTCCTGTCGGCGCTCTCTTGTCGTGCGCTCTCGTGGTGCCCTTCCGGCCGCCGGTAAAGGCCCATTCACACTCTTGCGACTGCTTGCGACCTCTTAAACCTGGGTTCCTTAAAACTTCTTAAACCAGAGAACACACTGGCGCCATCTATTGGGAAGCAGTGTAAACACGGCGGTCCGGCATATTTTTTTTTTATTTCTCGCGCAATATCCTTTTTTTTTGGCTCGAAAAACTTTTGTCAATGTTATAAACGAGCCTTTCTATGGGTATTAAGCACATTTGACCTCGGAAATCCCGCAAAACCTTCGCTTTTGTGAAATGCAGTTCTAGGGTCACCGCATAGATGGCGCCACAATGTCAGTGTGTTCCCTCATTCTAGAAACATTTAAGAAGTTGTAAGAGATCTCGTCTCTCTCAGTCGTACTCGGTCGCAAGAGTGTGAACGGGCCTTAAGGGGGAGCCCGCTCGGCCAAACTCCGGATAGGTTGTATCGCCGAGCTCTATGCGGTGCAACCACTTTATGAGAGTGCGCGCTCGACCGTCGGCCGCTACCTCGGCAGTACCGAAACGTGGCCGTCCACGCCACTACACCTCAGATGAACTAAGAGAGCGGAAGAACGATATTCATGCTTTCACATTCACAGCTCATAAGAAGTGCTTAGGTGTCATCGGAGTTTTGCGCATTAATGGCGCTCCACGCGCAGCGAACTGACGACGTTGCGAAATATTTGTGGCTATTCTTTGGTACCGAGAGTGGCCCGACATCTGAGCTGTGGTCATGCGCAGGGGAGTCTGTGCGCCTGCTGGCCTGGCTGGTGAAGAACAGCGCATCGAGCGAGGTGAAGGCGTCGCTTTGTCGCGGGGGAGCCCTGCCCCACCTGGTGGCCATGCTGGGCTCGGAGCACGGTGTCATGCAGAACGAGGGACTCCTGGCCGTGGCCCTGGTGGCTGCCTCGCCCCCGGGTGAGGTGTCCGGCTGCGATGCCGGTTTGCCCGCCTCCTTCCTGGGGTTTGATTTTGGTCACTGCGAGAGCGGGGTCTAATTTGCCCCCCCGCAGAGTGAGTGGAGATGACGTTTGTAGACGGTTCGTCTGCTAACCCGAGGGGAGAACATGGTTTGTCTGCTAAGAAGCGCCATCCATGGACGTAAATAAAACGAGAAAACACTGAATATCATCTGCTAGCAGACCAGCAAATAGAGGTTGGACGTCCGCTACAAACTGAGCGCCGCAGGGAAGTGAGATTGGACACGGGCTGAAATTGTGATTGTCTGCTGTTTCACGTGGGAATCCGCTGACAACCCGTGCTTCGTTTGCAAGTCTTAAGTTGTTTTGTTGCCATACACAAGCTGTCATTGACCAATGGGGGAAGGAGGCTGTGAGACCTCTGATGCGCTAAAATATTGTCCGATTGTGAGCTCAAGAACTGGTTAAAAAGGTCTCATTGTTTGATTATGTGCAAGCTGTGGTGCCATGTCCAGTCAGCAGCCGAAAATGTTCTCGTTCTCACCTTGACCAAACTGAGACCCCTCGTAAGGCTAGGAGTTCTGTTGACTGGTTCGGTTTGAGCATAGGCAGTGCTCGAAAAAGCATGCAACTTTTTCTGCAACTTCCTTGCTTTTGTGCACCCGTCCCATCTGCAGACATTGCTGTTGAAGAGCTCAAGAAGACTGAGGTGGTTCCACTCCTGCACACCCTGCTAGTGTCGCCAGACATTGCTTCCGAGCCACTGCTGAACAGCATTGCCCTGACCACCGCCCTTTCAAACCTGGGTATGTCTTTGTCGACGCAGCGAGTCGGAAAAGAACCGGAGTGGCATAGGCGGATTTTTAAAGGAACGCTGCACTCCAAAAGACATTTTTTCTATATTGCATCTAAGGGCACGGATGTCACATGGTGTACTTTCTCCCCAAAAAAACATCAACAATATTTACTTTGTAAGGTGCACTTTAAGTTCCTAGTTGTAGTGTCTGACTGCTCATGCTGACTCCAAAGTGGCTCCTATTGTACCAAGTGGCTCTTATTTTTATAAAAAGTATTAGTATGGTGGAAAGTGCTAATTTTGGGCACGAAATGTTAGCGGTATAATTTATTGCTCTTCAATACCTCTCCTGAGTAAAATGTAAAAAAGCGCCAATGTCGTGTTCACGCTAAAGGCCCTTTCACACATACACCGCAGTAATAACTCCACACTAAAGATGTGGTGCTGAATTTTCACTACTTATGAGCACTGTACCAGCACTCCACTTATGTGATCCCACCTTTTTCCTGCATAAACATACAATGGAGTGCTAACACAATGCAAATTTTGCGTTTCCTCAGCGCTGCGCTACATGTGTGCATAACAAGAAAGTTTTTTCAATCTCAGTTTCGATCATGCTGGACTGTAAAAAGACTTTGCACTACGACGGCATAAACAAAGTATGCGCGAATCACACCAAGTACAATCGCAACAGCTTGGCTCTTCTCCCACCGTTGCTCTCACTCCGACGTCTCTGCTGCCTTCGTTAAAGTGGAACGTTTGAGATGCGCTTTAGTATTTGCCAGGGCATCCGGGCTGACGCGTTTCTCAATCGCAACAAAGCAGACGTGACTGTTCTTCTTAGTCAGCAATGCTCGCTTAGCTCCCACCCTAGCTAACTAGCACCATTTTTGCCGATGTCACCATTGGCCAGGGAGCTGCACTTACTGAAAATGGTCTATATTTTGGTGTTTAAAAAAAAAAAAGAATCATGCCAGAAGCTGAGGGGGGTTATCTTTTGGGAGTGGGGAATCTCTCGGGATATTAGGGTATTTGTAAGCGTGAATCTGAGGTGGCTTACTGAGAGTGAGGTTGCCAAACAAAGATGCCCCTTTGGGGCAGTGGCACTCCTGGCCACACTTTTTGGCCAAAGTTTTGTCACCAGTAGCATATCAAGGGACTATGCCCCTGCGCTTTCTTTCTCCCTTGTTCCGCCGCAGTCTTGTGGACGTTGCCAAGGTTAAGCGTGCGGTGCAGAGGAGCCAAATTCGTCGCAGTGCACACCTTCCTGGTAGGGGTTTGCGAATATACAATTTTTGATTGCGAATCAAACATGCATACTTGATTCGACTGCTAATCAAATGCATGTATTTTAAAACATATATGAATATTCTACATTTAATGAGAATTGAGAATGGATGCTTCAAGAAGTGTTAAGCAAAGTGCTGACCATAATATTTAATAAAATATAGCATGAGGAATTTTTTTTTCAACATTATCTTTTAAAATTGGGGGTTTAACTATAATTATAACCAAAGAAGGTAGATCTCTATAGTGAATAGTGACCAAACTTTTTCTCAACCATTGAGCCGGCCAAGATGCTCCAACACGTTAGCTGTTTCCCCTAGCACGCTGCTGGAAAGCAATGAAGCTTGATGTGCATGCAACAGGCTTCACTGCTTTTCATCAGCTTGATGCCAGAGTGCTGGTGTGAACCAGTAAAGCTTGACACGAGAAATCAGACCATTCTGAAGACATTTGTCATTTTTTAATTTCCAGAAAACTCTTAACTAACCTTACCAGTGTGCTGCATTTCGAATCAAATATTAAACACTGTTTGCAAGCTATTTGAAGTTTGAAATGTTTACACCACCTCTATTTCTCGGAGAAAACGGCCCATCATTGCCCGATGCCAGTGTAGCGAGAAATGTTGATGTTTTATTTTTTTCAGACCACTCGGCGCTCTGGTTTCTGACCATTTTCATGAAATATTTTATCTGGATTTGGAAATATTTTTTATTATATCCACTACCCCGCTTTGAATTTCTTTTTTGAAGGTGGTCTTAAATCACATTGAAAGTATTCAAACAAGAACTTGAACATGGTGAAAAAAACCTTGAGTCTGGGGGCGAAAATGGGGACAACACAACACCATCTCAACCAGCTCACGTGTGGAGGAACCCTCATTTCGTTAAAAGCTTGCAACAAAGATTAATTTGTTATGTCTACTATTTTGCTATTGCTGGGTTGGTTATAGATGGAGAGACCCTTAGCATGTAGTACACATAAGTTATTATAAGAGTAAACTTGGCAGGATGACTGTAAAAAGCGGGGGATTTTTTTGTGCTTCCTTTTTGCTTTTGTCATGCTTCTTTGTGTAGTTGATTGCACCTTGGTTTAACCGAGCCCCTTTTGAATGTCTCCACAGGACCACTCAAGCCCATGCTGGCAGCTGGTGGCTTCAAAGAGGCACTGACTCAACTCAAGGGCCACCACAACCAGACTGTGTCCAGGGCAGCTGCTCAGGCACTTGAAGTTCTGGAAAAGCCATAGCACCACAGCCGTTGAATTTACGAGCTAAAGATTACTCCCTATGTTTCCCCGAAAGCCAGTTGTTTTGCGCAGCTTGATTGGCTGGTTTCTGTGTGGCGAGTTCTCCCGTCCTCTGGTCAACTGTACCTCTTGTCTTGGGCCAGCGTTTACTGTCAAACATTGTTAAGTGTTATAGCACAGTTACTGCCACTGTGAAACGAGGCTTGTTTAGTGGTTCATTGCCTCCATGATAGTGGGGGATATTGACTGTGAGGCTGGCCTTTTTGTTTGTGAATTAAGTGTACATTTATGAGAGCTTAGTATACATTTTTTAAGTGAATGCTATAATTTTTTTTAGTAAAGTGAACCCTCTGTTCTTTTTCTTGCATGTAATGAATGGTGTTCACGAGACTTAGTTTTTTTTCTGGTCGCCGTGCTCTCGGCCTGCAATAGATGCACAAACTTTGCTTGCTCCAGAAAGAGGAAGAGAAACAGAGAAACTAGATTGCACAGAAGTCTAGCGTTATGAATGTGCGAGTTTACCGAGTAATGGAGTATGAGGCATGTAACCTTTGTTACGCAATTTTTATATTTTTTGTGCGCATGTATTTAAATGGATGACTGCGTGCATGCTTTAGGTTTTCTCGAAAGAGTTTTTCTGTAACTCCTCTTTTGGGTGAACATCTCGTGACATGGGGGCCGCCAACAGTTCACAACTGTGGAAACGAAATACAAACTTTCATGTTTCCGTTTCTAAGCTCGTTAAGCACCGTAGAAAAAAATGACACCAGGGCACAGTTGTTCTTGGTCCTGGAAGGCTTCAAACTGACGTGACTGTCATGTTAACTGCTGCAAAATATATAAAACATTCATTTCCAGACACGAGTGTGTTTCCCTATGTCAACTTTTGATATGTTTCAGCTTTCCATTTACTGTTACGAATGCTCAGCTTTCTACTATGCTGCAACCTCCCAAGTTGTTTTTACGCATGCTTTGCATTTAGCAGAGCCCATTCAACTGCCAGTGCCGCGCAGCAAAACACGTCTCTCACTATTGTTTGGCTATTGACCATTCTAAGAGAGCAGATTTGCAAATTGCCGCACATATTGGCTCGTCACGTGTTTTCTCGTATGCATTTGCGACGCATTTTTCTGATTGTATTTGCCCATCTCATACACCGTTCAGGCAGAACCAGTTTTGTGCTTGCTGAGCTTTCCCATACAAGTTGTTTTGTGCATTGGAGTGGTCCAGTGCTAGTGCCGTAAACCAGCGGGATATTGTTACAATCCTCACTCGACACTGTTGCACTATCTCACTTTTCCGGTAGCGTCGAAGCTTGCGACTTGCAATTCTCAATGACCGGATGCTCGACATCCCAGTGCTTTGTGCAGCCCTGTGTCTGATGGTGACGTGGCTTCCTCAGAGTTGGCATACAATCTGTATATGCACACTCGTGACCTTCAACAGGCACACCAAAATAATATATTTTATTGTCCCGCATGAATTCAAAATGACGCTTATGTGCGACCATAAAAATGTTGAGTTTGGGAAAAGCGTATTGTTGGGAGGGGAAAGAAATGCTTGTAAAAGTTAAACTTAAGCCAGAGTTCAAGTGAGCTGGTTAAGGGGAGGACACTTTTGAACCTTTGGCTTAATGTGAATGTATAACTCGCAACTGCCAGTAGTATATACTGGCAGTTGCGAGGCAGAATGCAGTGCAAAGTTTCATCTGTGTACCATGGATTGTGAAAGAAATTAGAGTCGCTTTTATGGGGAACACACTGACATTGTTTAGGAAACTAATGTCTTCACTAGGTATGCAACACAATGCCTGGAGACTGCAACTGTGAAAATAAAATTTCCAAAGAGCAATTTATTTTATGCTAATATCTCGCTGAAAAAATCTAATAAATATTTTGCCTTTTATGTCGTCGAGAAAATCTTAACATCTTTTATAAAAGACATTCACAAAGTAAAACAAAAATGCCATTTTCCAGTTAGGAATTTAATGTTAGTTATGTTTTTTCCCATTATCAAATGATAGTTTTCCTAAAGTAAAATTTATGCCAAAAAGTGGAACGGAGAAAAACGCATTTAAAGTGCTCGAACCCTCTACCTTTTCTTTAGCATCAGTAAACTGAAAATAATCTTTTTTTCCATGGTTGTGTTTTTTTTTTTTTAACATTAAAATTTTAACCTTTGACGGGAAACGGGAGACAACCACATATTTTCAAAATATTTGTGCTTGGGTTTGTGCCCTTTGTGTACTACACTCTCCGGGCTCAGAATACATATGTGGAAAGATTAATTTAAAGCTTCCCTATCGCCGAAAAAACAGCGAGGGAATCTTTAATGCTGCGTGCCCCTGTGTTTGACTTTTGGCTACAAGTATGTGTCCATAAGCAGACAATGTGCTCACTTTTAAATTCTGAGAGTCGGTGCAGCTACTGATTGCTTGTGTGGTCGAGGATATATCTTCAATAATTGCAACTAGATTGCCCACGTGAGGGACAATGCCCCTAACTGCTGTGTAAAGGGTTGTCCGATGCCCTGGTTACATCCGATTTTGTCGAGTTGCACAAATTTGCAAAGGACAAACTTGTCCAGTTGGATGTTTTTCCGGTTTGCGTTGTCGATGCTCCACATATCCAATGCAGGCAAACAGAATGAGGGTTTCTTGCCTCCAGTCAGTGTTGCTCATATTTTGGAAATACAATTTTATGGAAGTCTAGATTGTGGGAAGTGGGCCTTTTAAGTTGGCATCTGATATCTTTGCTCTAGGAGAGCAGTTTGGTCGATCCAGTACAACTGCTAATCTGGGCCCTTTAATGTGTGTCTCACATGGCTGATGGTATAGTTGTGTCTCGTTTATTTGGATACCGCGCTATATACTATAGGCCAAATTTTCGGAGACAAACTGGCTAAATATGTGCATTTTTGTCTCAGTATTATTGACAATTATTTGTGGGGGAGCGAAAGGGTCCAAATTAATGAGACGTGACTGTATTATAAAATAGGTTATAAAAAGGCAACTCAAAAATTCTCTTAATATTTTTTTAAATTTGCATTGGAGGCAACAAAAATACCTTTTTGGGTGTTGGTGCCTCTTTAATCTGCTTCCTAATCGCAGTCAGCCTAGTTCATTTTTTTCATTATTACGAAGAGCTTGTACATTTATTTTAGTCGTACGATGTATCGTCATGCTCATGTTCAAAACAGTGAAACATTGTTGAACACACTATTAGTGTGCTGTGTGAAGTTGATAATGTGCTAACATTGCCTTCTTGTTTTTTGTTGCACAAAAATGTGACTCTGTATAGGGTGTTTTCACATGACGTCAATCCGCCATTTTGTTCTAAGTTTGTTTTCTTCAAACAAATTTACTAATGTGCAGGATTACATTGCAACCTGTTGAGGAGATGTCAGCGTGATAAGACTTATAAGCTCCTATGCTCTATGCATCTAAGGGGTACTGCAAATCTTTGGAATGCTTGCCTTCAGCACACGTCAAACAGCTCGCAACAACAAAATGGGGGACAAAATTATGTCAGTGAAAACAACCTATTCAAGGAGTAGTCCGCTTTTTTTTTTTCTTAACTTGAATTACCAATTAAGTTCAGTCATTTTTTTCTGTTTATGACAGTTTCTTCGAACTTTGTCAATGACAGCACACTGTTGCTTTTTTTTAGGCAAGTTCTGTAAAAAATACATCTACTACGGTAGTGTGTATGTTTTGCAAATATGAAAACTTTGGGACTACTTGATCTTTTTATTTTATCTTGCAGCTGCAATAAAAGGGTCACCTATTTCTTAAGGTGAAGCTTCGAAGTCTTGGTAAGCTGTTCAGTCTTTTCATTAATATTTTTTTCAAGCTGTCTCAACCTAATGACTCAGAAATGTTTGTTTGGCTTGTCTGATGTTTTCTGCTGGGGACCAAGTCATTTGTAGTGCTTGTGATTTTCTGTGGGGAAGAAACTGAGTCACAATGATCTCTATATGTCTGTGCATTGTTTTGTCCGAGGAATTGTCCCCAACATGTTTGCACATGAGTTTTCTCTTACTTGCAGCTTCAGCAAAAACTTTTCTGTGACTGAGATAGTAATTTCCCGTGGTCATCCTTTAGGGGTCGCAGTTATTGGATATTATAGAGGTGTTAATAGTTCACATGCTGATCAGATGCAGTAGATTTTATATGTATTCCATATATTGTTTGTTGGCGACAAAATTTTCGAAATGTGACTCGAGTAACTTTTATTAGTAAGCATGCATTTCAACGTGCCCATTAATCATCGATGACTCGCTGCTGCACAGGAAGTTCCGTAATTTTTTTTTGTTTCATTTTGCAGCTTTTTAATCCTGACCACCGCACAGCAGTCTCTGTATTAACAGGAAAAAAAACTGTCAGAGAATTTTAATCGCATATGATACATGTCTCCCATTTTTTCTTCTCGGCATCTATTTGGATGTTTTGTCTGAAATTTTTCAGCAAACGTGTAATGCTATAGATATGCCTAGATCTGATAACCTATGGAGGTACAAAAATATTCATTCCTAGATTAATCAAGCTCACAACAGGTCAAGCCCAGCACAACATTATTTTCACTGTTGATAGTCCTAGAAGCTCCTTCCCACCAAACTACCGTAACTGGTGTAATTAACACCCTGACTCAGCCTCTATCTCTGCACTGACCGCCAACTTGGCTGTCTTATCAGTAGTGAAGTGGAGAAAATATTTTGGGGGCTGTGTTTATAGTTCGCACACTTGTGAGATGATATATTAATATGCTGGCTCGGGCGTTTCCTTTTAGTGTGGAAATCTGTTTCCGATTGTACAACCATTACCTTGGAGATAAAATAGGCTGTCACTTTGGATAGTTATTGGTAATTGATTTGACACAATGCACACAATCATTTTTTTGTAAAGATGTTATTTTTGTGTCAGTGTTTTTATTTAGCCGCAGAATTTGTGCAAAATAAAATGGCGAGACTTGCATATAAAATGTTTGCTTTTACTGCAGTACACCGTCACCCAGTGGTTGGTGCTACCGTTTGTATATGCCATTTCATTACATCATACCAACTTCACGCAGGTTGTATTATCAGCGCAACCGAACCAGCGTAATTAAGAGGATATCACAGCAAGCCCTGCTATGTTGCATGATTGGCATTGTTTCCACACCACAAAGTAATGAATGGATCCCCAAGTCTTGGGGTACTTCACTCTTGTCATCAAACTTGGTGTATCTATCGTTGGGGTTGCGCACGCCAACGTCCATCGTCAGTTCGACCATTGCATCTTTCCCTGATTGAGCCTACACCTGGAGACTGCAGGTAAGTCGGGGAGCCTTTTAAATTCTCATCTTATTCACAGTAGCATGCAATGCAAAGAACCATTTTTCAGCTCTATCATACAATCAAACTGCTGAAACTATCGCTTAATAATGTCCTCGTGTCCCGTGGTAAAATAAATCGTATCGTGCAGCGTAGTAATGGTGATCTAACTTAACTGATCGAGAAAAGAAAAATATATATATACAGATTGCACGTACAGACACTAAAGTTCAAATGCACTTTTATACCCGATGTTACAGAGTGCACATACAGACGGTAAAGTTCAAATGCATTTTTATACCCAATGTTGAATCGCATTCAACTACTTTGTTACACTGATGAATGACCTAGGTTTGGGCCGAAAATCTACCAAAATGCCGCTCACTCAAGCTCACAGCAGTTTCGGTATGGTGGGCTAGAGGATAGCTTCGGTTTGAGCTCAAGTACCAAATGAGCGTGCAACACATTTTGAGCCCATTTATTCACGCTGAAATGAACTATTGTTTAGGTCGTAATAATTTGATCTAGCGACCAGGGTTCTAAAGATTCGAAGAATTTAAAGCTTTTGAAAGTTTTGACCTTTGAAGAAAAAAGGCATGTCGCTACGAAAGCACGGCGGCACGGCGGCATGCCTAACGCTTCATGTGACCTACCAACTTCCGGTCGGGAAAGAACTTCCGGTTGCTGGGGTTGTTGTCGGTCGGCGACGTCGGCGACGTGCTTGAGGTTGTGCGAGTTCCCTGCATGGTGCGTCGTTTCTCGGCCCTGTTGCGCTCTCCGAAGCCGCTCCAATGTCTGCGCGAGGAGGGAAGAAGCGAGCCAAGGTGGTCTCCAAGTCCACCAAGGCCGGGGTACTCTTCCCCGTCGGGAGAATGCTCCGCTACCTCAAGAAGGGCACCCATCACTTTCGCATCGGCGCCGGTGCTCCTGTTTATATGGCTGCGGTGATCGAGTATCTCAGCGGTGAGGCGATCTCTTGTCAAAACTCTTCGCCAAGAGACCCCCTCTTGAGCGCTCTAACCAAGTTTGATGGGGAACCAAGAGTATGAAGTGGGAAGCATCTCTTAGATTTGTTGCTCTTCTCAATTTTATTGTGTACTTGATTGACCGGCAGTCGGTTAGCACCACCCCTATTTTCATTTATTATTTTTTTTTTGTTTCTGCAGCGGAAATCTTGGAATTGGCAGGCAATGCTGCTCGGGACAACAAGAAAGGGAGAATCACGCCTCGGCACATTTTACTCGCTATCGCCAACGACGACGAACTGCATCAGGTACCCAGGATTCAATCTAATTTGTGTCTGGTGTCTGCACAAGTTGTATTAGTTAGGAAAAACAAATATGTAAATAGCCTGCACTGATGTCGCTCCGTGCGTCAATTTTGTGGTTTTTCGGCTGAATGTATCACTTCTGTTGTGCCAATTTCGCTCTAGAGTTGGTACATTGATAGAAGCATTAAGAAAGAATAACCGCCACACTGAATGACGTCATGCATGTATGTGTGCACACACCAATTCATATGCTAGTACACGTGCATGTGTCAGCACGCACGCACTTATAAAAGCACATGTTCACTAATCCAAAAATGAAAGCAATTGCACATGTTGGGCGTTTATGCGTTTTACATACGGCGGCACTGGTTTAGCGAAGTAGAAGGGCATTTTGGCCAGTGCAATATGTCTATTAAGCTGAGGACTTTAACTTGCATCATGCAGCACCAAGTATGTGACTGAACAATTGCACGCTCATTTATATTCAAGCGAGTAGGGACGATGAGTCCGGGATACCTGGACTCGACAGCCATGCACACTGCAGCACTGAGCTGTTTTTTTTTTTCCACACTTGTACACAGCTTCCACCGTTCACTTGCACACTTGATCCCGCTTTGACTTGCTTCCCAAAGAAACCAAAAACTCCAGAAAGACAACTTTTCTATGTCTCTGCGCGTGCAAGGAAGAAAGTGTTGCTCAGGGCGGCCCGATCTCTTCTTTCTGCAGCTGCTCAAAGGGGTGACGATAGCCTCGGGTGGCGTGCTACCACGCATCCTCCCCGAACTGCTGGCGCGGAGAAAAGGTGGCAGGTTCGTGATGCCCTCGCCCAAGCACCAGCCGGCCCTGCCTGCGCTGCCGGTCACGGCCGTCCTTTCGCCCAAGGCTCCCCCAAAGCCGGCTGCGTCCCCCGCCAAGAAGGCCGTCGCAGTTGCCAAGAAGCCGGCTGCCGCGGCTACGGCAAAGGAGAAGGCGGTTCCTCCAAAGGAAAAGGCCAAGCTCGCAAAAGGAAAGGTACGCCGGAAATCTTTGCACTGCCACGTGCCCTTAGGGGAGCGTGGAATAATTTTGTCACTTTGGCCAATTGCACCTCAGGGTGAGCATTTCACGCTCGTGAAGCACGGAACAGGCGTCGCTTTGGTGTTCTCGCATATTGGTTTTCATAAGAAGATTTTTAATGCAGAATGTTTTTTGGGGTCATTTTTTATGAGAAAATTGTCATGAATGAGCATCATGAACGAGTGACACACTAGGAGCTTTACAGAATCCAGTGTCCCCCACAAAACTTAGCGAGGAAATTGACGTTCTGTGACCTCTGCACTAGTCCAGCTTCCTTGCTAAATTTTGTAGGGGGAAAGGAACCTGGCGTCGAGTGACCGATAAAATAATCCAGTTTCCCCGCTGAATTTAGCGGGCGAAATCGACACACGACCAGTAAAAGAATCTAGTTTCTTCACTAAAACAAAAAGTTTGTGGGGACTTGACACATTCTGTGCTCTTTAGTCTGGTCAGCATAATCAAGCTTGTGCAATATATATTTCTTTGTGAGGTTTGCATTTTTTTTTTACTTTAGCTGCCCATTTTCCACCATGCTTAGATGGTTTCCCACCCCTTTGTGAAACAAACGAGAAAACATCTCTTGGCAGCAGACAGTTTTAATCTTATTTTGGAAAATATCAGTCTGGCTTTTGCAATGCAGCACACGGACTTTCGTTCATTCTTTGCTTTACGTGTGCATCCCTAGGTTTCTCCCTTTCGCCAGCGGACTTCCCGTTTGAGAAATTTTTGGCAAAGGAGGGGCAAGGTTTGCGCTGTCGTTCGAAAAATGTACCTTCTTGTCTTCCTTTCAGGATGGGCAAACTGCAGCGGGGGACCAGTCTCACGCAAACATCACTGTGTTGTCCGAGAAAAAACTCTTTCTGGGCCAGAAAGTAAGGATTCCTTGTTTCCTTCAGGTGCACAAAGGAACTTGTGCACTTGTGGATTTTTGTGTATCCTATGCTCGGTTTCACGTCAAGAAAAAAAGCAAGGCTTGCGCATTGTTCATACGTTGTGCAAAGTAGTTCTTGCAGGATTTGGTTGTCGGAGGAAGAGACAATGCTTTTGGCATTTGAAGCGTGTACGTCTTCTTAAGATAGCATATATCGAATTTAAAATGTACCTACATATGTCTTATTTTCCCTCACAAAAGCGAAAATTAGTGATGCTCCACGAGGAGGCGGACTTTTTTTACTACGGTTCTTGAGGTGAAAACGAGTATAGGAGGTCCTTTTCGCTTTTTATTGTAACGAAAGCATTTCTGTGAACAGATTCTGCAGTCTTTGTTGGCCCCCATCATGAAGAAAGAGATAAAAAGAGCTCTCTAGAGAGGACTCCTAACTATTGTGCGTCTTTGTACATGTAGCACATACTTTGCTTACTTGTAGGACAAAGCGCTTGTGCCTTGGCAGGCTGGGAGTTTTGCTCTCTGGACTGTGATGTTTGCAATCATTTGTTTGTGGCTTGGAGTGGTTTGAAGGCTGTGATGTTGAAGGCTGTAACAGCAATCCGAGAACCATCGTGGCAGAACGTCCTGTGGTTTAAAACAAAGATGTGGGCCAATGTCTTGAAAAAAATTTGTGGCACTCCGGTTGGAGGGTTGTGACTTCGCGAATGCACCTAACGAGTCCGAGGACAACAACCTGCACAACCGGCTCGCCGACTTAAGGTCTGGAGACTACGACGAAGTGAGGACGGTGCTGGAGCTCGTTTTTGTATCGGATTCTGGATAATCGTTTAAGGGTTTCGATCCTTACTGAAAGGTATTAGTGAAGAAGCTTTAAAATGACACATACCAGACTGCATCTGCTTGCTTCTGCTGGCCGCCATTTTTTCATGGCCGCCATCTTGAATTTGGGTTCCAATCCGATCAAGGGCCCCCTCCCTATTCTGAGTGAGTGAGCTCTAAATTTTAGGTTTGGGGGGTGACTTACTTTGTATTTCATGATAGCTACAAAAGCTCCATGAATAATGATGAAGTTGTACATGTTGACACCTGAATATTTTATTTTTGGCGAATGCTTCCACACGCAAGCTACCGTATTGAGAGTCTATACTCTGGGGTCACTAGTTGTGGGCAGTACAGAGGAAGGCGACTCCAGGCGAGGGGAGAAAATGAAAGCACTAGGAAGGTTGGGGAGTTGGAGAGAAACCTCCTCTGTTTTCTAACGTTCCTAGTGCTCTCCCTTCACCCTTCCTTACTCCCCTTCCGCCTTCCTAGGGCTTGCCCTTTCTCTCTTCTCCTGGCGTTGCCTTCGCATGCACTGCACACAACTTGTGACACTGAGCATAATGACCAGGACAGAAGGAAAACTTAGCTTCTGTTTCTGCTCCCTTCTTTAAGACACCGAGCAAGCACCCACCCAAAAGTTCGAGGTAATCATGAAAGAATGGAGGTGGGCGCTTATTAGGTCTGAGAGCAGAAGAGGCACATTGTAGAACTGCTTGGCCCTTGTTTGATCTGATATAACGATATAGGGGGACTATAGGGGTCTGGCAGAGCTAGTTATTAAAGCAACCACACTGTTCTCGTCAAACTTCACTGCATTTTGCCGGTGCGTGCACGTAAAGCTTCACTGCTTTTCGCTGCTTTGGTCAGAGAAGTAGCTGAAGTGGAGTAGATCCCGGTTAGCTCGGTGGGTTCAGACGTTTGCTGGTGTGGGTGCTTGGTATGGCCTTTGCTTATATTTGAAATGCTTCAAAAGTAGTAGATTGGACGCCTATTGCAACGAGTGTACATGCTCGTTGTTTTACATTATGTCGTCGCATTTCAGTTGGCAGCTTACGTTAGTGTCCTTGTTCTCCCACGCTTTGAATTGAGTATCTCTATTGCTTTAGCACTTCCAGTTGTGAGATGCAGTGGCTGAGCTTTCACTCTCTGTGCAGCTTACAGTGATTCAAGGCGACATGGCCAGCGTGACTGCGGATGCTGCAATTCACCCCACCAATGCGAGCCTATCACTCTCTGGTGAAGTTGGTAAGCATTATTTTAGCTTTGCATCGCATCCCTTGTGGGGTTCTCCATTCCTCGCATCTGTTGGTTTTTGTTTCAGCACTATAGTTGCGTGGAGTTGGAGGCTATGACACAAGATAGTGCTTGTGCTGAGACTAAGTTACTGTAAACTTGTTTATTTATCCACATAATTTAGAAAGATGGCTAAGTCTCAAGTTACTTAAAAAAATGTAACCAAGTAACAGTTACTAGAATTTCATTATAACTTATTGAGAGCAGAGTTATTGGAATTACAACTAATTGTACAAACTTGAATGTTGGAAGGGGACATGGGCCGGGGAAAAACATTTTTTTGTTATTTAGGATAACTGAATGAAATTTCTGCAGTTTATAGGGCTTGATCTTCTTTTTCTAAAACTTGCGGGGATTACATACCTTTACGTCCGGGGACCGTCCTCAAAGGGAACCGGATGCCTGTCCCACTGCACCGGCCGACGGCTACCGGCGAAGGCGGTCGCCGCGCCTAAAGCCCCTTGATAAAAGCGTTTTTTACAAGTACCGCCAACCATTGTTGTGGAAGCGCTCGAGACACGTGGCATGAGCGGGTGCTCCGCCGCCATTCGCTTCCAAGGCCCGCTCATTTCAGTGCTGCGCCGCCATTTGCTTCCAAGGGCCGCTCGAGACATGGGCCTCGTGCACCCGCGCATTTGACGCTACTTGCAAGACGAGCGCAAACACATCGAGGGGCTTTAGCCGCGCCGTGTTGGCCAGCGCCATGCCATCAACAATGATCCCGGTATCCAACGGCAGTTATTGGGAAATGGGGGTCTCCAACACGACACCGCGGTCGAGCGAGCCGCGGACACAGGGTGCCCACTGCACCGCTGACCTGAGAGCCAAAGGGGATCGCGAGCAAAGTCGTCGTTGGTCAGACAAGCTCATGCCGCTACTTGTCGTCGCAGGAGTTCAATCCAGAGCCTCCGCAGACGGACGTCCGCTCGGAGGAGGGACCGCCCACTGGGCTGCGCGACCTGCCGCGGGTCCCCCGAAACGGGCGATGCTTGGAGGAGTGCGAGAGAGTAGGCCAGTAGGATGGCTATCTCTTTCCAACATGATTTGGAACGAGCAGGCTCGAAGCCAGACAACTTCGGCCAGGGCTTACGCCTTCTCGGGGCAAACTAACTGGTGTTAGTTTTGATAGAGCATGCTTTTTTAACGTTTTGAGCGCTACGCACACATACAAATTTCCATGTTCTTGCACTCATGTGGGGCGTGACAACACACTTAAAAAGTGCCTGACAGAAAAAAGCCGATCTGCTCCTTTTAAACCACCGAGTGCAATGAAGAACTAAAATAACGTATGTGAGACCTCTTATATTTTAAATTACTCACAAATTGGAAAAAAGCCATTTTCAAATGGTTAAAAAAAGTTTGTTTTCATAAGCATTAAAACATACATTTTAATCGAGCCGCAATAGCTGCATTCTGCATTTCTTAAAGTATATGTGTGGCAAATTTGGTTGTGATAGGACAATTTTAAGAACAAAAGTTGTGCACAACATGTGAAGATGCCCCAAAATTAGAACAAGAGGAAAACACATTCAAATATTACCATAGATGTGCAGTGACTCTTTCAAGCGAGAAAAACATATTTTATCAATTTTAATTAAAAACTTTGAGCTACAAAAGAATGTGACAGAGAGAAAACTAGACCTGCTTCTCAAAATAAATGCGATGGTAGGCGACATCTCAACTTGAAGAACGACGGGCACGAAAATGGCTCGAATTTATGTCTTTCTAGATTGCCTGCATTTCTTCAAATGCATATTTGACAAAACTCGCGCTCATATTCGGTTCTTATATTTTTTTATACATAAAATATGAAGATTCAAGGATAATTCAAGGATTTAAAGACACCTTAAAACCCGAAATCACTTTTTTTTCCAAAATATTGATGTTTTTCTGCTCACATCTTCTCTTAGTTATTTTATTGCTTTGCTATTCAGTTTCTTTGTGGCTCGAATCAAACTTGTTTGCGAGCTTCTGTTAGACATCAGTGTCCTTGTTTGCCGCTTCAGGACAAGTCCTGGAGAAGGCCGGTGGCAAGGAGTTTGTGCAAGAAGTGAAGGATCTCTTCTCAGCGCACGGACCCCTGGAATCCGCAGGAGGTAAGACGCAGTCTTAAGTGCGTTACTTTTAAAAAGTAATTATAGCCATTTTCACCTCAAGAAAAAGGCAAGTTTTGTGCGTTGTTCATACCCGGCACGAAGTAGTTCTTACGAGATTTGGTTGTCGAAGGAAAAGTGATGTTTTTGGCGTTCGGAACATGTATGTCTTGATAAGATAACACATATCTTGCTAAACTACACCTACATAGTATGTCTTAATTGTCCACATAAAGGGGGAAATTGGTGGAAAAGTCGTTGAGGCTGGACAGCGCTGTTGAGGCTTTAGCCTTCTATCGTTCCACCTCCATGCCTTGCAATAGTGTCCAGAAGTTAAAGTCTAAACCCACCCAAGATGCTTGCGGAGGTTGGAGGAAGAGGACCTCTTTTCTATGTATGCTTTTTTACAGTGTTTGCAGTGAGCAGTGAAGTTATCGCCACTATGTTCGACAAGGTCAAAGTGCAGTTCATAGCCGGACCATGGTGACACCTGCCTTTCATCATTCGTGGCAGCCTCTCATTTGAGCAATAACAGTTCACCACTATTTAACTATTTTCCTTCTTGTGACCTTCTCTTTCCCTTCCTCTTTCTCGTGAGAGCTTTCTAATTTCCCTTTCTCAGCTGACAGGAGAGGGAGATACCTATGAATAGACAGGTCCATTACAATAATAGGGAGGGGAGCAGAAGGCTAAAGCATTTGGAGCTGAATAAAGTGAAGAAGACCATTTGTATCAAACAAGGTTTAAAAAAAAGAAGTGAACAAAAATAACTCAAAGTTGTCTCAAACTGCATTCCACTTTTCTTTTTAATTTTTTTTATGCATTGCAGAACAAAAGACGCGGCTGTGGATCGCAGGCTTACGGCCCGCGATCCACAGCCGTGTCGACCAGTAGAAACATAGCCTTTGGCACCGGTCGGTCAGCATCTACTGGCGCCGTCTCGCTTTTGCAAAGAAAACTGTCGCCGCGACTGCTGCAGCACCGACGACAGAGCCTCTCGTTTGGCGTTAAACAGTTCACCGTTAGTTGTCTATGCGTCAAATGTTTCTGCCAGGTGTCTGTCGCTTGGCTGAAAATGCAGGGGTGTTCAATGAGGCCGGAAGGGGTAAAGACGGGGTGAGAGAGTCACGCACAAAGAGGTTGAAATAAAGTAAATGCTAAATGTTTTTCCGCACAATGAAAAAGGAAAAAGCGAAGTAGAAAAACGTCTGCCTTCTGCGCTGGCACTTTGCTCCGACGAAAAAAGTCTTGAGTTCTTGTTTTAATTTGTAGCGTCTAATGTGGGCACGTGGTGAAACCCGCCAATAGCGTTTGCAAAATAGGGTCATTTTTTCGCAAAAAGTATCTATCTTTGCAGAAACATTTTGTTATTTTTTTCGCAAAAAGTATTTAAGCTATTGTTGCAGTTACTTTAAAAAAATGTGTTGAGTTACTGCTAAAAGTTTCCAAAAAAAAGTAAAGAGTTACAGTATTGCGATACTACCCAAGACCGCTAAGACGGTCCCATAATGTTGTGGATGTGTTTACCGTGTGCTTACTGTGAGGGTATTTGGGTGAGCATTCGCCTTGTCGTCCCTCTCATTGCCATAACTCATCTGCATCATTTATGGCATTTAACATCCAGCGCCATCTCATAAATAAAATTAACGAGGCTTTCCAGCGCACAGAAATAGTGGCCCGCATTTTATGGCTTGACACGGATGCAAAGAAGTGGGTTAGACATTTACCAGGCGGAATTTCAAGAGCTCAGGAGCGAGCTAGAATAAAATATGTCCAAAAGTGTGCAGAGCTGGGCATTGTGCCAACTATCCTAATGGAAGTGAATGGTGGTCCACATCATATGCTGTCCACATGCAATGGTCACAGCGTCTAGTCATCGTGACTCGCAGGAATTTATTTGCGTGCATTGTGTAGACCATTAACAATCGCTCATTATCGTGAGCCATCCTTGAAAGGATCTTCCTCAGTCTCTCAAGTGGGGTAAAGGAGACCAGGAAAGCAAATTGCTTTTCACTGTCCTACTCTCTCCCCAATTTAGGAAAACAGTTGCAGTGTCCTGAATGGGAGAAACAATTAGTTTGGAGGCCACGCGTTTGTGTCTAAACGACTCTTTTACATCATATGTTGGAATTGCGATGCTTAGTTAACTGTACGTTACACCACATTACTAAATTTCTTTTTGGAACATAACCTAATTTGGAAAGAAAGAGTATCGTAAAGGACTTCATTTTAGCGAGAACCTAATTTTTGCGACTATTGTGAGGAGTAGAACCCGCCAATATCTTTCCCTATGGTAACAAATACATAGCGTATCACCCTCATTTACAAAATCTCATGCCTGCGAAATATTCCCGAAAACCACACTTCGCCAAACTCACGAAATATTGAGTTTGTGATAATGAAGTTGTTTTTTTCTTTCAATGTACTATTTGCATTTCAGAATATCGTCTTGCCATTTTTGTAGAAGTAGTACTAGCTCCGAAACACTCTCATTCATCCAAGGCTTAGTATCTTTGTTTTAGCTTTTCAAGACATATATCTCAGTATTGGTATTCCTAAATGCTTTTTCAAGTAGTGCCTCTGCCCAGCACAGGTAAAAGTATGTTTTGCAATTGTTGTAAAATGTTGATATTCATGATAGGGTAAGCAGTTGGACCAATCACTACAAATTAATTGTTACAGAAAGCGCAAGAAGCAAGGGCAAGAAACAAAAACTTGTTTCTTGTTGCGACATGGTTGCTATAAGGAAGCGATCGCCTGGTTTTTTCATAAAATTTAAAGGCTGCCTGGAGAACTACACTCTTTTGTGGCTGAAAGTGCTCATCCTAGGTCCCTGCTTAGGCAAGGTGGACTGCCAAAATAGAAGCTGCATTTGTTCTGTGACATTACCTCAGGATAGGGCTTTCCTTGCAAGAGGCAAGAACCCAGTTCACTTGACAGCAACGCAAAGAAAAACGAGAAGGGGCGATCGTGTCAACAAAGGCAGCTATTCTCTTCTTAGCTCGCTCGTTTGCCACCGACTAACAGTCCTCTTTTTTTCTTCTTGCGCATTAGCGGTGATCTGTCCCGGACACCAGTTCCCGGCCAAGTTTGTGATCCACTGCAATGTTCCGTCGGGCAGCAGCGAGCCCCTGGAAAAGTGCGTCAGGAACTGCCTTGCCCTCGCAGACGAAAAGAACATCCGGGTTTTAGCGGTCCCACCGTTAGCAACACACAGGTGAGGCACCCTGCATTCAGAGAGGTGTGTACAGATTTTAAATCATTAAAAGTGACCAGGCCATCAGTTTCCACAAAATTGTAATAAACTTTCATATATCGAAATACCGGGCATTCCTGAGAAAAGAGAACCGTGTTTTTTTGGCCCATGTAAATAGACTACACTTCACAAAAAGAAGCTGGAACTGTGAGAATGTGACGCTAGAGGTTGCGATGGAATGTGAAAGTTTGACAACACGACATTACCTGGTTTGAAATATAAAAGAGAAAGACAAAATTTCTCTCGTGAGACGTTTTCCACTTAAACCTAATATCGTCAAAACGAGAAATGGCATTGTGGGCGTTAGTAGCATCTATTCCAGCGAAAACTACTTGTCAGCAAGAAGAGATTACTGTTTCCTTTCACACTGACAAGCTTTTTCACTAATATAATGCCACATGCATCAACAGTATCAGTTTTTGTTTTGACAGAAGTAGGCTTGAGTGGACTTTGGCTCGTAGAAAAATTTTGTCTCTTGATTATCTTTTGATCCGAGTAACGAAATGGTCTCGAACCTTCACGCTGTATCCGAACCGCTAGTGTCACATTCTCACAAAGTTTCAGCTTTCTACGGTGCATAATCTATTTTTATGCAGGCCGAAAAATGTGGTTTTCTTTTCTCATGAATGCCCGGTAGTTTGTAGCTTCAGTAATTGTGGCCAGAGTGCTGAAGCAATAAGGAAATGTGCCACTGTGCTTTTTGCTTTACCAAATGAATGGTTGGTCGGAGAATTGCCACAGACACATCCCAGCAGCGTAGGGTATTTTGACATAAATCGGAACGTAACCCATTGTAAAATCCAAAATGAACAAACACCCCCGAAAAGTCGCCCATCCCATTTTTGTTCTTTACTAAATGTCTTTTTGGAGTGAGAAACACGGAAACATTACCCGCTGACAAAATCAGCCGAACATAAGTATGACCCGACTAGACCAGCTCGGAACCCGTCGTTGAACATTACCTATGCCATCAAATTCCTGCCATGTTCGACGGGACTTCCTTCAGCTGCCCCACTCGCTGCTAAAGAAGAGTGCTGGGGTTCCAGACCGGGTGGGTTAGAGGGAAATGCTGGGTCATGCATCAGCCGGGCCTCATACTGGATTAGGCATACTTTATTTCACTGGAGACTGCATGGTAGCGATAAACGTGTACGAAACAAAAGGACTGCGACGAGCGAGTTCTCGAGATTTTTTTACTGTCTCATGTATCATCCCATTGCGTTTAAATGAGGAAATACAAAACTTGAAAAGTACTAAAAGCAAACAAGTGTCAGTGCGTGTGCAATTGAGCAGACGCATCTGAGTGTAAATACCACTGTATTGGGCAGCAGCTTGTGCGAACTTGCCAATGGCAGTGGAGGTTTGCAGTGCGCGTGCCTTTCACTGTTGTTACCGCTCTCAGGTGTGTGGCACTTACTGCCACTTGATGCAGTGGTGTTTTCACTCAGATGTGTGTGCTCAATTGCGCGAGTGCCTTCAGGCAGCTGATCTGGCAACTTTGGCTACTCGATGAGCGGCCTTGGGAAGGCAATGGAGCTCGTTACACCTTAAAAGGAATGACTTAACAGGAGGAGCTCACACAAACGACAAATTTCAACTGATGTTTTATGAAGAGAAAAAAAAAAAGGAAAAATATGGAAAGTCTATTTAAAAATTACCTTTATTGTAGCGTTAGCTACACTGGCCGACGTTGAGCAGTTTTGCGGTGCCCTCATAATGAGCCGTGCTCATTATGCGGAGAGCTCATTATGTGCATAATGAGCACAGCGCAGCACGCTCCGCATAATGAGCACGGCTCATTGTGAGAGCCACGCGAAGTCGCCGCCACGTGCTCCGCCGCCGCCACGCTCGCCTCGCCGCCTTGCCGGTCTGCGTATTCCGGAGGAGTGACGTCATAGCCGCGGCAGACGCACTGGCGCTGCCGCGTGCCCAGCTGTGCGCCTCTGCTGCTCAGTAGCCAAGTCTGACACTGCACCGGAGCCGCTTGATAGCGCCTCATTTTGCGCGCATAAGCGTACGCTATGTATATCCTGGCATAGCCGAGCTAAGCCACCGCAATTTTTTTTTGCATGAAGTTGAAAAATATGGAATATGTTGTTTGTGTCTGCCTATTTTACTGTTTTGCTACATTCAAACTTATATCTGTATTGATGTCTGACTCTTTAGCAATTTTAGACCCCTGTCACGTGTATTGCACTCTTTGAATCTCTGAGGCTTTTAAACTTGCTGCAGAGGCTAAGAAAACAAAGACATGCAGCATATTCTGTGTCTCAGTTTGATGTGAAAAACCAAGGTAAATTCGACATTGTTCCCATTAAATCACAATGTCATCACAAGGCACATAATGTACTCATGTAACAGTTGTGTCCCTCGAGGTACAAAGTGCATTTGGGGCACCAAGAAAGCGTGTGACGCTTTTTCATAACGCTTGAGCTGGCAAAACTAGCCCCTAAACAAAACATGTGTTCAGTGTACGTTTAGGCTGCCCCAGTGCATTTTTAGGGCAATCCACAGTGGCCCCAGAAGCATGGTTGCAGAGTACATCCGAGTCGCTTCCAATTCATGAGGCCATTTTTGCCACGGGCTAAAATAAAGCGTAGTTGGCAGTCTCATTGCGCATAAAGTGCAGGTGTCTTTTGCAAAGAGAGACGGCGTTTGTAAGCGGTGCAGCGGTTATCGAGGCAAATACAATCGCTGCATAATTAGCTTGAGCAAAGAACCCACCTCATGACTTTGCCATGACTGTCTGTCTTGGGTAGCTCCCCGCTAAGAATTTGGGGGTCGTTTCGAGGTATAGGGTGGATCATGCGATTTGTTATTGCTTTATGAGATTGTGTAAATTGGTTTCTGAATTCTTTGTGTTCAATCTTTTCATAGAGTTTGTGTTTACAGTGAAACCCGTTTAGAACAAACCTGCATACAGTGAATTATTGTCGATATTGAACTCACAGAATTTAAATAAAAATGCATGTAAAAAGTATGTTTTATAACAAACAAACATATGGGCTATATCAATCTTTTTCCCCCGGGAAGGCTTCCAAAAGCGCGCAAACAATCGTCTTCTAGCCTGTCCCTTCCTCCAAAAAAGAAGTAGGAGAGGAAGAATATTCCAAAAGCTCAAGTTGCGAACAAAATTGAGCGAAGAGAAGCGGTTCAGGAGGGAGGAGAAAGCTAAAAAATACACTCTGCACGCACGCACAGAAAAAAAGAGAAAGCTTTTCATCCCAAAGCCCACCAAGCCCACCAAGAGAAGTGATTCAGAAGGGGAGATAAGCTAAAAAAACAACCCCTGCAAGCATGCAAAAAAAAAAAAAAAACTTTTTAGTGCGTTGTTACAAGGTGAAAGTGAAGAGATGAGAAAGAAAGAGAAGCTCTCGCCTTACAACAAACTCATCGTGGAAGTTCGTTATAAATGGTTTTTGCTATATCGAACTGCTTGCTATATCGAACTAATCGTAGCGCCGCCTGCTGTTCGTTATAAACGGGTTTGACTTTAATTATCAGGGGTGGAAGTGCTGTGCCAATTGCGCCATTGTACGGCAATCCACTTGCACTGCGTCATCCTGCTGGCAAGCGTGTAAAACATGCTCGCCAGTGGTTTGTTGCCTGCACAAGCTGAAGGTCTTGACTACGATTTCAGCGTGGCATCGCAGAAGCAACAGGCAGCCCAGACCATCCTCAAAGCCATCTCCAACTACTTTGTCAACGTCATGTCCAGCTCCCTGAAGCAGATCTACTTCGTGCTCTCGGACATGGAGAGCATTGGCATCTACACCAGCGAGCTCGCCAAGCTGGACTCCTAGGGCGAGCGCCAGTCTCTCCCGTGGTCTGAACACAGTCCCTGACGTCATTGAGGACGACTCCAACGGATTTGCTACTGTGCATGCGGCACAGGGTCCTCTGCGAGGCTTCCACATAGTAATTTGAAATCTTAAATTCTTGAGTCTTAAGACCGGAAAACTGCCAGCTCGCATGTCCCTTGTTTTTTTTTTTTCTTGGCATCAGTCTTTTTTTTTTTTCACGTAGGTGCAGTACATATTATTACTATTTATTTTGTAGGGTGGGCATTCCTCTGTTTCTGTTTGTTGATGTTTTCTTTATTTTATACATATATTATTATTATTTGTTGCGGTGACTGGGCACAGTTTATCGTATCATAGTTTGACTTCCTTGCTTGCACTTGGGTGATGGCATGGTCTGCACATTTGTGATATGAAATGAAATGTCACTGGTGCAGTTCCAAAGCCTTTTGTGATAGTGGGACTGACGTAGTTGCTGATGGGAACTTATGCGGGGCATCATTTTCCTACGGTTCACTAAATTAATTTTTTGATAAGCAATTTTCTTTGGATAGTGAGGCTTTTTTTACGGTGCGGTACCTATCTCTTGTATGGCTCCTTGTTAGTTATGAATTGTTTTCTATAGCCGGAAGCTGACACCTTATACTTGATTCTGATGCCTTCCTTGTCCTATGGGGTGGCATCACGTGACATACAGCCTCTTGCATACATACAGCCCCTTGGCGGAGTCCATGCTGGGAACATTTCCCCTTTGTGTTTCTATGTGCGTAGACCGTGTTTTTCTGCACATAGAGTTCACTCGAGTTCTCTTGCGTTGTTGTTGACTCCACTTGTCGAAGCAGAGGGCCACATAAGAGCACTCAATTTCTATACATATCTGCATTTATTTGGTCAAAATGGTAGACACCGCTCTGAAGACTCTGAAAAAGAAAAGAGTTGGGTAAGCGTAGGTTTACGCAACTTAAATACGTCTCTGATCACAGTTCTCGAGTTTGACTACGCACGGCTTACCAGAAGTGAAGAGGCGTTTTATGAAGTCGCCCTATACACATACATGTTGCACTGGCCAAACACACAACCAATCCTACTCGCAGACATTAGGGAATTTGACGAATCAGTCGCACTTCAGTGATAGTGCTTGTGACAAATCGGTTTGAAGTCACACTTCACCGATAGTGCTTGTGAAAAACAAATCGGTGTGGTGATGCAGAAGTGTTGTAAGGATTGCCAAAATCTCATGGTGTCCGAGCCAAGAAAATTAAGTGTTTGCCCAGTGCATTCTAGCTTCTGCTTCAGGTGACTGATGTGCGCATCTTTCTGTTCTAACGCGATAGCATCCCCTCCTGATTTTGTGGACCCTTCTGGCCTCCTAATGCGCAGTAGGTATGTGCAGTAGACCATTTCGGCTCACTGCAGTACGCACTCCTTCACATCCGCACCCTCTTCGAATGACCTGACTCTTGACGTCGTCCTTGAGATAACCCTAGAGGCTGTCCACGAATTTGTCCTCGACGTCGTCCTTGAGGTCTTCCTGAAGGTTGTCTTAGATCTCGTCTTTGACGCCGTCCTTGACTTCCTCCATTGCCTCATAACAAAAGGAGGTAGACATGACGAGTGCTATTGCAGTTCATATACAACCAACAACGGTGGTTTCTGGAGCCAATTTTTTTTTTATCAACGAGTGTGTCTGGTACTTTTTTTTATTGCTTTGAATCTAGTCGAGGATAAGTCGCATGGCGACTCGCATTCATTTGTGTTCTGGGGAGGTTTACATATAGAGTGTCCGGCCAAAGTTTCAAAGAGAAAAGTTCTTCCCAATTGCTTGTGATTTAGTCTAATTGATTTCACAAAAGTGCATCTGATTGGTCCCTAATTAGGGCTTTTTAAATATTGTTTGTTGGTGGGACAGAGCATGACAAGTTCTTCCCACAAAGCCCTCCATTCTTTCCACACTGCCATTCTCGGCTTTGGCAATTTCTTGAGCTACCGAAACTAAACACGTTTTCGTGTTTAGTTTTGGTAGCTAGCATTCAAAACTAGCATTCAAGTTTTCTCACGCTTTTCAGTAGGGTAATGTCACATGTATAACATGCAAGTCGAGTTGGGCAGTCTAAAGAACACGGTATTTTGTGCATTTCTTTTTGTTTTGCTCGCACGAGCTTAACCAGCGTTCATTTCACACCATCAGACTTGGAACTCATCGGGAACAAGCTTTACCACCGAAATTCAGCCCACATTACAATACCGCATTGGATTGTATTATGGTGGCCGAACCCTTTGTGCCGGGCGATCGCAGTCTAAGAAACTGGATCTAGCAAAAAACAATAAAAAAAACATCTGACGTCACGTTTTCAGCATTTTCAGTAGAGCATTTCAACCCCTGACGCCAAACTTAAAACTTCAGTAACTTCTTAAAAAAAAAATTTCTGTGACTTGTAATTTTGGTTACTATACTCCGTTTCATGATAACTTGGTGAACTGTGGAGGCTGCGGCGCCCACGATCCAATAAGAGCGGCGTCGGAGCTAGTCACGTGATAACACTCCATGGTCGAGGCCACGGAGGCTTCGTTACCGCCACAGCAATATTGTCTGTGACAAGAAGTAGTTCTAGGTTTCTTTTTCTTTTAACGGCAGTTGAACTCGTGCTATTCTATTTCTTTCGAGAATATTCCGGGTGTTTCAGCGAGGACTGACAAAAATTTCTAAAATTAGTGCATTCGAGGTAAAGAGATAATTTTCTCGTGACTGCATTACTCAAGGTGGCGGACGTCAGAAAATGTGTGATACTTACTAATTTGTTTGTTAATTAATTAAAAACGACATTCACTTTTGAATTTGTGAAAATAGACATATGGTTCCAATTAGAAACTTGCTGAGCATCATCGAAAGCAGTTTTCAGAAAGACTGAGCGCGTGAGAGCGTAGTAGTGCTCTAAAGTTACCACTTCTGGTGCAAGTATAAGGCTAGCAGTTGCGATAAGGTGCCCCGCAGTTTCTCAATCTCTTATCAGAGTCCCAGCCTCGTACCTGCTCCACGAGTGGTAACTTTAGCGCACTACTATGCTTCTCATGCTTTCAAAGTCTTTTTGAAAATGACTGATTTAGTGGTTTTCGATCACACTCGGCAAATTTCTAATTGGAACCATGTGTCTAGTATCACTAATTAAAATCAATTAGTGATTGTATTTAATAGGTGAACTAAATAGTAAGTATCACACATTTTCTGAGGTCCGCCACTACGAGTAATGCGGTCTTGAGAAAACAATCTTTTTACCTGAGATACACCAATTTTAGAAATTCTTGTCAGTCTTTGCTGAAGCAGCCGGTAAAAAAAAAAATAAGAAATAAGCATTGACGAATTATTAAGTTTCAATTATATTTAAACTAAAAAAGTGACAGCACATCCATATACGCTCCTGATTTTCTCTCCTTGTAGTGCTGGGGCCGTTGGCAATCACAGCCGTGTAATTGACCGCTTCCGCTCAAAACATCGGCCTGGCGTCGCGGGTAAATTGAGTGTATGGTGGTCTCGTGAACTGTTGCCGAAGAGCTCGCTACTAGTGATTGACCGAATCTGCCGAACTTCAGATTCGGCAAAGTTCGGCAAATGCCAAACTTTTGAAGGAAAGTGCGGCAAAGATTCGGCAAAAATTCGGCAAATGTCTGCGAATGTCTGCGCACGCGTTAGAACGCGACGGGGCCATGTATTGCAAAGGGATGCCGTGCAGTCGTGCGGTTACCATGTTGCATTGTAGTACAACCAGCGGTTACGGCGCGGTGTAAAGTAGGCAACACGGTGACTGCGCGTTTGTGAGTGAGTGTGGTCCTCTGCAATATTTTCTGCCTCAAGAATAGAAGATTGGCCAGTGATTTATGCAGTCCACTGCGCAAGTGACAAATGATGCGGTACATTCTGGATAACGTGATTTTCATTTGACCTTCCCAGCGATGCAACGAGGTAGTTGAAACATTGGCCGACAATTACTTTAAAGCACTCCTCGCAGTTATGACAATCCTGTTTTCGGCTCACAAATAGTGTGTGGAACAACAAAATAATAATGCTTTCTTAGTTAGAGTTATTTCGCGATTTTCATGTATCTGCATAAAACTAAACACACAACTATAATGCTGGACGTTGCACATTCGACATTTCCCATCTTCCTAAACGTCCGTGCATGTCCTAACATCCGAAACCGGCATTTTAAGGGTTAAAAACGAGACTGCGAATATGGGACACACACGTCCATGCAAAGCTGACATCAAGTGGCTTAAATCGAAACACAGGCATATTTACAATAATGTTGTTATCTCTTCTGGTAAAGGCTGAGCAACCGTTGCATTTGTTTTCGCACACGAAACGGTGACTGCCAAAGAAAGCAAGAATGTAGTGGTATTGGTGGTATTGCCTTCATTTTAACAAAGTACACACACTTGCAGGCTTGCGCTGATGATGCATCAAAACCGAAACTCTCTTAGCGTGATTCGTGACTGTGCCACGCTCGCTACTACCCAACCTCGTTGTCATGCCACTTCTGCAAGAAGTCACTGTAAAATTGCCAGTAAACACACAAAAACGATACCGATACAGTTATCTTTTAGAATATCACCTTATTTAGTAATAACTGTGTCAATATGCATTACATGTTGCATTTAAGTTTTAAAGAAATGCATAAAACCTTTTTTCGCCAGAAAAAACTAAATATCAATGTTAAGTCTGGTAACAATGTATTTTTGCCGAATCTTTAGAAAAGTTCGGCAGAAGTTCGACCTTGCCGAATCCGGAGATTCGGCGCCGAATTTTCGATTCGGCAAAAGTTCGGCCCATCACTACTTGCTACTCTAGCGGACAGCAATGTTGAGGCAATGGACGTTCACCCGAAGTTGGTTGGTTTCGCAGCAGACGACTCTTGGCAAGAATGTGACAGTTGGTTCCTTGGCTCAGTGACACAAAACTCCGGTGATGTGGTGTCACGTGCCTCGCTCCAACGCTCTATTGGGTCGCGAGGGCCGTAGCCTCCACAGCTCAAGAAGTTTTCGTATAACGGAGTATAGTTCAAATGTGTCTAATAATGTGTTTAATCAATTGTGAGGCAAATCAGTGATTCACAAAAATTCACCAGTGCTTCACTCCAACAGTATATTGTGTGCCTTCTGTAGGTACTTTTATTGCATAACTTTTATTTGTTTGGGAACTTGTATAAGTCTTTCTAAGTCTGGCACACACATACAGAGTATTCTGGTACATGGAAACATTTCAGCAGCCTCAAATAATTTGTAATTTTGTCTTGGGGACTGCTAGGTAGGTCTCCACCAATCTAGCGTGCAATGTTTTTGCCCATATATGGTAATATCAACATTTTTCTAGCGAATACTGCCTTTTTGAGTGTGTATTTTGTAATTGTGATTAACAATGCAGTAGAAATCTTGCTGATTTTTATGTGCTGGCAACCCTATGGGCATGTCATCACCTGCCCCTAGTGTTTGTGGTCATGACCTAAATAGTATCTCATTGGAGCATCCTTTTGGAAGGATAGTTGTTGCCGTTTTTGGTGGTACTCAATATGTTTGCACACCATTTCGTGAAGAGATCCATTAATGGCTTTTGAGGAAACTTTTACACATCTAATGTAAAATTTGTAGTTTTACCTCTTCACGCTTTCCGAAATGCAAATCTCTTTTGAGGCTTGCATACAATCACTGCCAGCAAAGTTGCCATCGAGAGGTAATTTTTGGAAAGGTCATCTTCATTTTGTGTGCAATTGTTGAAACTTCATTTTAAGGGCACACCCCTGAAAACTGCCTGAGTTGGATGACTGCCTTCTGGCCAAGTACCACTGCACTGTAGTCATAGCAAGCAATGTGTATGTCTGGTACATCTTTCCTCCCCTGATACATAGCGAATCGGATTTTGTATGGGTTTGTCACTTTAGGGGCGTTCAATCGGAACCATGGTTTGGAGGCCTGTACCTTGTGCAAATGTTGTGCCAGAGTGACGGTCATTCTCTCTTCATCTCGTGTGACACAGCTGTTTCTCAAAATGGTGTGGGATGGTTGCATCTGTTTTTAAGACACATGCTGCTCTGTACCCGATGTCATTCTGTCCTCAATAAAGAGGGGGCACATGTTTTCTAAGATCAGCTTGTTCGGGGGTTTATTGCTGGAAGATGTTTTGGGCTGTCTCGCCGCACTCTCCAGAATGGCTGCCTGTGTGACGAAAGAAACAAGTGTGAACTAGACACTTCAAAAGTAGAGAATCCTAGAAAGGAATGTTGCGACTGAACCCCGATTCCTGAGAAGCTGCGGACGTGAATCTGCGCTTGTAAAGAAAAGGCTATCATCGATTTGTGCATAGAATTATTTGCCTTGTTGCTGTGATAGCACTTTTTCGAGCATCGAGCGTATTGATA